ACGTAAATGGAGCTGACCTTAAATGTCACACTTGTTTGCCGATGCCTTGCCGGTTTTGCTATGCTTTCTTGTTCTTGTTCAAAAACGTGTTTAGCAAAGCGGGCGCTTGGTGCTGCAGTTACAAAAGTGGGAAACCAATCAGATTTCCTTGAAGGAGAGGCGGAGTGGGAGCCTGTGAGAAGGACACATTCTGGCCTCTTGGCCTTTCTTTATTTTTCTTCCCGTCCTTGCACTGCCGTTGTGTTCCTGTGCAGTGATTTATTGAGAGGCCTGCCACAAAACGATGCCCTCCCATTTGCGGATCTCTTTTCTAGTGAGTAGTGAAGGCAAGGCGTGTCTTCCCAGCCGTTCTTTTTCCGTTCTCTTTTTATTAGAATGGCCACTACAACAGCGCAGGTCCAGTCTTGCTCTACTGAAGTCGATGGGATCCCCCCCCCGCCCGGTCAATTTGAGCCCATAACGAATTTACAAAGCTTTTCAGTAGGACCATACAACAAGGGGTGGGTGTTTTGGGATATTTGTGGGATGTTTTGGGAATGCAGAAAGGTACGACTCTGGAAAGGGATGGAGAATTCCCCTTCCAGGAAAGATAGTGATGTAAGCGCACAAAGTTGACCGATAGGAACGGGAGGTTAGGAAGCCCTTAGCAGTGGTGGAACTGGGCCGAGGGGGGACAATCGTATTCATCAAGACAATAAAGCAGGAGATCCCCCCCAATTCTTTTTTTTCTAGACAGGGCAGGTAGGAAGGGGTAACATCCCAACTCAGATCGGGGGGTGCAGCACTCCCACAGTGACCTCTGTTGTCCTAGTGCTTGTTTCCGAGAGACCCTGCATGGTTCCTGATGGGGCTCCGTTTGCAGGGATGGGTTGTGCACAGCATCTCCCCAAGCCGAGCCCTTCCACCCCGTAGCTTCTGGGACTCTGCTGCGGAATGCTACTGCTGGATCCCTCTCTCAGAGCCCTGATGGGGTCTAACCAGGCTAGGAGTGGACAGACAGCGGAAGTGACGGTGCCCCCAGGCCTTGGCTGCTAGCCCACCTCTCCCTTGGCCTAAGAACTGAGTAATTTGAGTTGCACAAAAGGCAGTGGGCTTGGAAACTGAGTGGGGAGGAAGAGGAAGCCGCGGGCGAAGAACAGAAAACCACTTCCTGGCCCCTTCAGCCATCTGGCGGTCTCCCAACCCCTGGTTTTAGCACTGCTCTGTTTTCTCTCCCTCTGGGTTCTTTTGGGTTGGTCCTTCCCCTCTGCAGGTGCAGAACTCAGACAAGCCCTTCTGTGGCTGGAGCTTCCTTTGAACGCCTTCCAAATTCTGGTCGGTGTCTCTCCCTACTCCAGTGGAGTGGCGCTTTGCATCAAGGATGTTACAACCAGGAAGCAAGAGTTAGAGTGCTTTGTTTTTTAAAAAAAGGAGAGAAAAGCCCCTGTTGCCAGAGTTCAGTGCCTTAGTTTGGGCAGATGGGAAAGGACGCATGCTTCACGGCCTGCATAATAAAATGAACCTGGTCTTCTGAGACTAGCCCTTGTGGGCTGGTGATTCATTGCAGCTGAACTTTTGTACGAGATGAGTCAGTCCAGGGTTCTGTATGCTGGTGCTGATTTTTCCTGTTTTTCCATGAGGCAATACGTTGACTAATGGGAACCTCAAAGGTTAAAATTGTACACGTGCATTCGCAACTTTGCCACGGGACTCTAGTGCCTCCCCTTCCCGGGTTATATTCTCTGAGCTGCTGGCGAAGATGTGGAGCAGCCCCTGAATACACACCCCAAATAGCCAGCCCAGTTTCTGGAGTGATGCGGCAGAGCCTTTATTAAACCAAATTATTCTTAATCTTTTCTGAGTGAAATTTGGCTATATAACTTTCTGATTCAGTCTGTCAGGGGCAACTCCTTCAGCAGGTTTTAATTGTCTTATCACCATTTCATTGTATAGTTAAAAAACCCTGTTCTTCTTTATCTACTTGGACTTCTTCATTGTGTGCTGCCTTTATGCTGTCCGTATCGTTTGAAAGTTTTATTTCAAAATAAAAGCCCATCTTGAAAAGTGCTGGAAAATAAAGCTGGTTTGTATATCTAAGTTCAGGTTCACATTAGGTGCACCGGTTTAGTTGTGAAAAAAATCCCTGCTGCGTGACTTTGGGCAGTGAATTCTGCACTAGAGTTAAAATTCTGCACCTATGTTATCAGAATATCTGACTGAAAAAATCTGAATTCTGAAATCTGCATAAATTATAGAAAATAGCTTTTTTATGAATTCTCTTATTTTTGTACAGTTCTGCATCGGTTTATACTTTGCATAACTCATTCTGGGCTTGTTGGTCTTGAAGATGGGCAGGGCATTGAGCTGCATGGGATTCTGACTCTGTCCCCACCGCTGTGTTTTCGTCTGGAATAGATTGCGCATCGCTCAAAGGATTGGATGTCACTGACCTCACAATTAGCAACTAAAATATTTGGAATTCGTAGGGAGATACCTTGGAGCCCATCATAATCACATTGCGTTTATATCCTATCTTTTTTCCTCAACAAGCATCCTAGACAACTTGATGGCACACAGCAGTACTAAAATTAATATTCGCATTTTGGTGGCTACAGTTTTCTTTCATTTCATGTACTGGGATTGGTTAAGAATATAAAAGATTGCACCAGAATAGGCTTGTAAAGAAGTAGACTGAAATTCTTCTTACGTGCTTCCAAAAAGACATCTCCTCTATTAAGTTGCTTCTTTGGAAACTCTGGAGGATGATCAGGAATGTTCCACCCTGATACTCTTTCCACCTCTTGGCAGCCTTCCATAATTCCCAGCCAACTCCCATTTATCCCCAGATTAATAGGAATCTGGGCCAAAGCACCTGGGCCAAAGCACTGAGCTGAGATTTTCATGCGATGTGGGCATGGGAGAAATGGCAGTTGCCTCTTAGAATAAACATTTCTTTGGTCCCTCCTAAACTTGCTAGTTGATGAACTCTTGCTAAGTGCCTGTTGGTATATTTTGGGTGCTAGAACAGCACTGTCAGAACCAAGTGAACCAAGAGCAGAGAAGTCTATAATTCATGTGGGCATTCTTCAGGTTTCACAGAGGTGGAGACCTTGGACAGTTGCTGATGCAGCACTCGCTTCCAAGAATTGATATCTCTTATCACTCGTTCCTGTCCTAGCATTCAAGGTCCTGTTCATAAATCCCAAGAGCTGTTGAAAGTTCATCTTTCCCAAATGGATCTTGCTGCCTTTTCAAGCAGGAGATATCCTGGAGCTAGTGGCTCAGATTTCCTGTATGTTGGCTAAAAAACCTCTTTCTTGTGCTTCAGAAGGTTTACATAACAGGTTTAGAATGTTTTCAGTGTGTGTGGGGAGAAATTTTGCATTGATCTTAATACTGTGAATCCTGCAATTGAATCACGGGTCTCAGAAATGAGCGTAACTGCCCAAATTTATAGTGCCTTGTTCAGGATGCAAACTTTTATGCGTGTGGGGGCGTTATTTGTATCTTGGAATGTGAAATATTTTTTTCTCCCCAGATTTTTTGTGAGGAGGGGGAGGTACTTGACAACAGAGAGTGGAGAAAGAAGGTTGAGAATGGCCTGGTGAAACACATCCTCTCAAGTGGACTTGCAGCAGGGTTGGGATTCTGTACTTTAAAGGAATATGCAAACCTTATCATTCAGAATTCATAAACTCTAAACACATTCTTGTTTGTATATTGTGAAACATGGCAGATTTTTGGTGAGAATGCAAAGACATTTTATGGCCTGGTTCTCAGATAATGTAACTCTCCAAGGCTTGTTGTGCCAGTGGGTACAGTGGGGGCTCACAGTAGCTTCAGGTTATGTGTGAACCCAGCAATGGTGGGTTGTTAGACTGGTTGGCCAGGTCCATGGTTTGCGCATGATGAGCCACTGTAACACAGTTCTCTTTTTAAAAATCAACTTTCTGTGCCCTTCCCAGCTTAGTTTTCTCATATTACTGAATTTCTAAGGCACCTTATTGTGGATCATGGCCTCACGAGGCCCAGGGTTATCGGGAGAGTCTTCTCTGAGGTTGCAAGCACGGTGTGGGCATGGCTGAAGTTTCCTGGAAACACTCAACTACTGATGCACAGAAAACTAGCAAATCAAGCCAAAAGCTAAGATCGATTCCCCAAACATCTAGTCCAGGGGTCTCAAACTCAACTTACCTGGGGGCCGCTAGAAGTAGATTCTGGGTGAGGCTCGGCTTCATCAAGTATTCCACCCCCGCGGTGGTAGTGGGCCGCTCATCCTGCGACCGGCCTGGGTGCTGCCGGCGCTTTGAAGGCCGCAGGGCCCCTCCCCTGTGCCCGCCCGTCCCGGCAATTGGCCCGCGGGCTGCGAGTTTGAGACCCCTGCTCTTGTCTCTGGTGTGGATGGAACTTTGTTTTCTCAGACTTGGGCTTTGCAGCTGAGGAAGCACCAAGGCTTTAAGAGTATCTGCCCCAATTATCTACAATTTCCTATCCTTGCTTGTAAACAGAGACTCGTGGGTTGCAAGAAGCAGAGACTCGTGGGTTGCAAGAAGCAGAGACTCGTGGGTTGCAAGAAGCAGAGACTCGTGGGTTGCTCCAAGTAGGGAGGCCTTTGCCCGTTGGGAGAGCACTGCCATTCCTTCTTAGGCCATCCATAAGCAGGAAGTGCCTGGCACAGGTTCCCCTGGGCAGTGCTGGAAGGCATTATCGTACCTGTGGTGGAGTCCTTTGCAATAAAAAGCAATGTTCCGTTCTCATACTTGGATCCTGTTTATAAGCCAGCCGTCCTCACCCGGGTGCCTTCAGATAAGTTGGACTACAGCTGCTGTCATTCCCAGCCGGAGGTCATAGTGAGAATCCCATCCCTTCCAGAGCAAGTGTTAACGAGCCATAATTCTTACCCATTTTTTGCAGCTGGGGATGATGGGGGATGCAATCCCACAGGTGGGCACCAATTGAGGAAGTCTAAGATAAGTAGTTTCCACTGAACGCAATAAACTAACCGCTTGTTTTTCTCTTAGGTCGCATTGATGTTGACCATATGATAAAGAGGAAGATGCAACTTATGGCAGAGGCTGAGGTAAACATATTTGAAAGCGACTTAATCCAAATTGGCAAGGAAGAATCCCTAGGCAGCATGAAACCGTTACTTTCTACATTTGGATCTATGCATCACATCAGCCTGTCACTTTCGAACAAGACCACCGTGTTGGTGTCATGACGGTGGATTGATGAAACTTCTTACTGACCTTCTGGTTGGTGCACTTCATAGGACTCTAGAAATGTGGAGCTCCTTGGACAACAGCAAGGCCATCTCATATGTGCTGCTACATATTTTTAAGACCCAGGAAGCAAAAGAAGGTCCACTTAGATGATACTGTAGGTTGCAGAAATCACTCAAAAATAGCTTTTTAATCCTGTTGCTTCTTGGATGTCCACCAGACTTGGCTGGGCTTGGTTGCCCACCGGACATGTGTGGTCACCAGGATGTTCCCTACCCCAAGGGTGGAAATTTTGACTCTTGCCTTGTAGAACACCAAGAAAGCTCAGTTCAGGGTCAGGGGCCGTTGTGTGTGTTCCTCCCCATCCCTGCAATAGCTCTTACGTGGCCCTGCAGGCGCCTCGGAGCACAACGCAGCAGGCATGAGCCTCAGCATCCCCCTTGCAGGGAGGAAGGGGTGGAGGGGATCGCCCTGGCAGTCATGACTCGCAAGTGCTGCTCAAGAGAAGGGCTCTTGGTCGCATTGGTGCTTTTCGGGAACTTGGAGAGACTCAGAAGGCAGCAGGGGTGTGCCGAGTGACCTTGCGCTGCCTCATCTGCCTCAGGCATAGTGGGCGGCTTGATCCCTGATCGTCAAGGTGACGTTCTCTGAATATGCCGCTCAAGTTCAGCTCTCAATGGATGCTTTCATAAGAAAGAGTCCCATGCATGCAGCCTGGGAGCTGAGAACCCCACACCAGGAGTGGGGAACGTGTGGCCCCCCGGGTGTCTCTCCATTGGCCGTGCTGCTTGAAGTCCAAGAATGGTTGGTGGGTTGTATGTTCCACATTGCTGTGCCTTCCGTCACAGGAATGTTCTGACCTCTAGCAGTACATCTTTTCTTACTGGCAAAGAGCTGCATCGGACCCAGAGTAGCCTGACAGCATCAGATGCTGTGTCATTGTGGACACGGGCCCGGCCAGTCTCTGGGGAACCCTCCTTGGTAGGAACTCTGCCTAAGCTCTCAGCAGTCCAAAGAAAAGTGGAAGAAAAACGCATGCACTGCAGCTTTCCCCCTATATGGGTAAATGCAAGGAGACGTTGGGCGTGTTCTAGGACTGCTTCCCCCCACCCTGGAGCGCTCTGGATGTGTTGGGCTACAGCTCCCATCATTCCCAGCCAGCCCAAGCTATGCTTGCTGGGAGTTAGAGTTGTCACTGCGAGGCAGCAGGTTGAAGAAGGTTAGGGTTACAGAACCATCCTAGGTCATCAAGGAAGCGCTGGAGGCCAGCAGGTCGAACCAGCAAGGGAACTGCTGGTAGCCTTTGGACGCCCCAGGCACTTTCACAGGCACGCACGGCGCACACACGGCAGTTCCGCAGCAGCTAGCAGTGTGCAAAGGGCCCCCTGGAGGCAGTGAGCTCTTGTAAACCTTGTACATTGGATGCAAATGTATAGCATTGTTGCAGCGGGTCCTCAGCCGGCTGAGTGCAGGAAGCCTTTTAGTAGGGCTACCGTATTTCCCTGAAAATAAGAAAGACCGGGTCTTGGATTAATTTTTGCTCCAAAAGACGCATTAGGGCTCATTTTCAGGTGATGCCTTATTTTTTCATGTACAACAATCTACATTTATTCATTTATTCATGTACAGTAACCTACATTTATTCCAATACAGTATGTCATCTTCTTGTGGAACATCGTCATAACTCTCCAAACCCCGAATTGTGTTGCAGCGGACGTACTAAATGCATCCGTCTGGCTGATGATCTTAACTGGGGCTTTTTTGCGGGGTAGGGCTTATGAGCATCCTGGAAGAAATCATGCTAGGGCTTATTTTCCGGTTAGGTCTTATTTTCGGGGAAACAGGGTACATCTGCCATGCCTGGAAGGAAAAGGAAAATGCATACAAACTTTGAATAAAGAACTAATAAATGAGGAGCCTTCCTGCATAGCCTGAGCTTCCTTCCCCAGACAACTTCTAAGGAAGCAATGGGGAGTCACCGTCTGTGAAGAAAGCGGTCTTGGTCCTGCCGCATCCTCCTCGGCAGCAGACGCTCTGCCACCTGACCTTCGTGATCCGGGCACTGGGGCATCCTGCTGTGTTTGCACTGGCCGAGTCAGGCCACAGGGACAGATCAAACAACCCAGTGACCTGGCCTTCCTCAGTCTTATGAACATAGTAAATAGAACGAGGCAGCCAAGAAACATCAAGTTCCTGTTCTCGGCGGAGCTGCAAGCAAAGCGTTAAACATTAACAGCTACGATATAAGTGTTCAAGTAGCCAGGGAAGCGCAAGCGTGGTTGGCTGTTTCTCTCCCCCTCATAGGTGATGTCAGTGCCATATTTCTGTGCGCAGAAATTCTTTTGAACCGAATTTCTTTAGGCATTCTTTTTTCCCCATTGGCAATGTGTTGTTGTTGTGATGAGCCGTCGAATCATCTCCAACTTACGGCAACCCTATGAAGGAGCACCCTCTAAAATTGTCCTTCACGGCCCTGCTTAGCCCTTGCAAAGTCCAGGCGGGGTCGTCCTTTGCGGAGTCCATCCGTCTCCTCGTTGGCCTTCCTTTTCTCCTTCTGCCTTCAACATTCCCCAGCACGATTCTCTTCTCCAGGGAGTCTTCCTTTCTCATGAAGTGTGACAGCTTCAGTTTGGTCATGGTTGCTTCCAAGGGAAATTTTGGCTCAACTTGAGCTCAGACCCCCTTGTCATCTTTCTGTCATTCCAGGGTATTTGCAAAGCTCTCCTGCTTCAAAAGCATTGCTTCCTTCCTGCCGGCTTCCTTCTTTGTCCAGCTTTCACACCCTTCCACAGAGATGGTTGCTGTTGCTGCAGTTCTATCCTGCCTTTCCCCCTCTTGTGAGGGACCCAGTGCAGAGCTCCATTTTGACCTCGCAACAGCCCCGTGAATTGGGCTGAGGGCCTGTGCTTGGCTCAAGGTCACCTGTTCAGCCCCACGGCTGAGTGGGGACTAAAACCCTGGTCGCCAGTCAAGCAGTCTAGCTGCCACGCCACAAGATCTGGCTTTTTGCAGGCGAGGGGTATTGAACTGGCAGGTTATGCTTACATGCTTTCTCTCTCCCATTCCTTCCCCATATTTACCAGCAGTTGAAACCAGCTTTCATGAAAGGTGTCGACAGCCACTTCACGGAGTTCATAAATGACTTCATCGCAAAGTCGGCGTCAGTGGAGTCTTTTCCCTCGGCTTTCTCAGCGGCTTGTTCAGAGAACGACGGCTTCAAGACCAAGTATGTTGGTTCCTGGCTGATGCTCCCGCAGGGTTGATTTTCTTAAAGCTTGTTTTTTCTGAGATGATGATGGTTCTTTCTTTTTCCAGAGGTTCAAGAACACCTCCAGAACATGGGAAAGTGTTTATTATTAGGCGGTCCCTCCTGGAGTGAGTATGACACTGTTGCTTGCACGGACCCTCTTGGTGCCGGGAGCCGTTCCCGTGGGTGGTGGCACAGGAGGAGATGAAGTGGCGTCGCTGCACGCTTCGGCTGAGAGGGGGCACCCAGTGCCTCTGGCAGCGCTGCCGGACGCTGCCTCCTCCGAGGCTGCAGCTTGGGGATGGCCAGATCCCCATTCGTGTGGCTCTCTTGCTTTTCGAAAACAGTCCTGCAGTTCAGGAAGGTTGTTAGGCCCCGGGGAGCCGCCGGCCCTGCCGCTGGGTGGGACACAACCCGACCTCAAGCAGCAGAGCAGAAGAGTGGTGAATCACACGCCCTCTTCCTCCTGCGCGGGTGGGGCCTGCAGAGGGTCGGCTGGATTTTAGGGGTCCTACCTCTTAGGCAGACACTGCAGAAGGGGCGACCCGGGGCACCCCCTGAACCGTGGGAGAGTGGGATTCTGATGCAGCTCTTCGAGTGCAGCAGCCACAGGGGAAAACACGGGCGGCATGGGTGGGAGCTGTGGCGGAGGTGGCGCAGGAGACATGGAGATGGGGCAGCGGAGGCACCAGGCGGGTGGGCGGAGGCCTGAGGGTGCCCTCCTGCCCCCTGAGGCAGAGGCCGCGGCTTCCCGGGGTCTCTGCAGGTGGCTGGCTGCCCCAGCCTTGTGTGTGCCTCCTTGCACCAAGGGCTTCCCCACAAATGGCCACCTGAGGTCCTGGAGCACTGGTCACTGCCTCGCCCCAGGCCAGGCTCTTTGTCCCATCCTCCCCTCTGGGCCCACTGGCAGCAGCTTCCCAGGATCCTGGGCAGATGTCCTTTCCCGCCCCTGGCTACCCGATCCTTTCACGTTGGTGTCTGAGTCTCTCAGCGGGGTTTTAGCTGGAAATTTTGAAGTGTTGCTCTTGCACTGGCAGCAGAGGCACCTCCCGGGTTTGAGATATCTGACATTCAGGGACATGTTCCTGCTGCAGCCCCACTCAGGGTCTCAAAGGGCCAGAGGAAGCGCCCTGTTCTCATTCTGACAGATAACAGTGTTGCTGGTTATCACCCAGATCGGTTAAGTTGAAGTCTGGTCAAACTGGAGAGCCCTCCGAGTGGGATGGTGGAACTTGGTGTCCTGCAACAGCAGCGGGTTGGACCCGATGGCCTTCATGGCCCCTTCCAACTCTGCGATTCTGTGATTCTATAAATTATTATGGATAGATAGGCTAGGAAAGAGGGATTGTTTATGGGAAGCCTTCCAGTGTGTTTAGCTGCTTTTGCCAAGTGTGGTTGATTTGGACTTCCTCTGTGCTTCCTCTGTGCTTCCTCTCTCTTTTAAAATGCTTTGTTATTTAGATTTGGATAATACAAGATAAAGGCAATGCCCTTGGATTCGTTTTTCAACACCAGAACTTCGCTATGGCAATTTACTATACATTTCCTAGTTCTGCATTTTATACTCTCTAGTACAAGGGCAGGCATACCAGAATCTTGGCCCGCAACTCCCACCAACCCCAGCCAGCCATTGGTGAAGGAGAAGGGAGTTGTCAGCTGAAACATCAGGAATGGGAACAAGTTGCTTTAGTATTTCAAGAAAACCCAACAGCAGTTTAGGTGAAGCTCGTGCTGTTTGTGACCCTTCACCTAAAGGACACTGGTTTTAGTTACAGCTTTTAGCAAGTTCAGTTTGGTACATCAGTTTTCCCATGATCACAGTGTCTCATGGAAGATAAAAAATCTGTGTAGGAGGTGTAAACATGCAGGACTCATTGCGAATGAATTAAGCTACTTGAAGCTTTCTTAGGCAAGGCCATGGAGCGCAATTCACTGGTAAATTTTCTTGCACAAGCACCACTGAAATGGATGAAACTAGTGAGTGCTCCCACAGATTTCCTGGAGGGCTGTGCCCCATATTGATAGACAAAGGGTGTGTAAATAAGCCATTTGGTTTCTTTCTCTTCCACCCGAGTGTTGCTTGGGACAATATGCTTGTTATGCTACATGTAATATTTCCAAGAAGAACTAGAAATACTCAACCAATGCTAAATCTTCTTCTGTACATTCTCCCATTAACCCGGCGGACTCCCAAGGGTAGGTGTTTTGTCGCTTGGACAGGGACCTGGTTCTGGTTGTAGAATAAGAAGCAAGCAGAGCTTTGCTTGGTGAAAACTGTCAAGATGTCTGTGGGAAGGATGGTCCAAAGGAACCTCTTCCTCTGTGCAGTGTGTAGGATAGTATGCATTTCTTTGAGGGAAAGGAGGAGAAGCATTGTTCCTATTGCTTAACATCCTGTGTGTGTTGTCAGTTGAGTTTTCCTGGAAATTACACATGGGAATTGTGCTCTGGAAAACCCGATGCCACGTTGACATCTAAAAGTGAGCTAGGTGGGCAAAATAGTTCAGTGCAAAACTGCTTGGTGCACCTGCATTTCTATGGCTTCTAGAGCAGAGGTGGGCTGCTTGCCCTCTTCCAGATGTTTTGGCTACAAGTCCCATAAGCCCTAGCCGGCACAGCTCATGGTGAGGCTGATGGGAGTTGTAGGCCAGCATGTTGGGAAGACCACAAGTTGCCTACCCCTGTTCAATGACTGGGCATCTTGGACCTGCAGCCTTGTAAGGTTACAGGAATGGGAATGAGAAGCTCCCCCCGCACCTCCATGAACTATCCTGAGGTCTCCTCTCCCTCCCTCCCTCTCTCACAGTGAGCTCTTTGAAGTGGATCACATCCGAACCATCTACCACATGTTCATCGCCCTCCTCGTCCTGTTTATTCTCAGCACGCTTGTGGTGGACTTCATCGATGAAGGACGGTAAGGGTCGGCCGTGGGCTCATCAGTGCCGGGCTTCCACATTTTCACCCCCCAAAATTATATCTCAGTCCTGCAAGTTAAACTAAACATAAAAGCACGAGAGCAGAAGAAGAGGTTGGAGGCGAGGAAGCGGTGCCAGCGCCCCTCCTTCCGGACATGGGCTGCCTCAAATGGTGGCTTTTCTGGCATGTTAGGAAAAACAGCTTTTCGCGGACCTTTTGGCCAGTGCGCTCGCAAGTGGAGGTGGTGTCAGGGGCTTGAGTAGGGCTAGCAAAAGGCACTGCTTGTCTTGGCCTCTGTGGCATGGTAGCGAGGCTGCTGGCCTGGGGACCCAGGAGAACCGGGTTCCAGTCCCCACCTGGCGAGGAAGTTCACTGGGTGACTTTGCCAATCAGTCACTCTCAGCCCAACCTACCTCGCAGGGTTGTTGTAATGAGGATAAAATGGAGATTTTTAGCCACCTTGTATTCGTTACAAGAGGGAAAAAAGGTGGAATATAAATGCAATGTGATGGGGATGATGAAACAGAAATGGAAAATTTAGCAAAGATTATATCAGAACAGCTATATCAGTCTCCTGGGTTAAAAACAAGAGTGAAGGGCAAATTCTTAATTTTAGTAGCTAAAAATGAAAATGCTGGAAGTAGAAGCTTTTGAACCGCATGAAAGCATTCCTCTCCTGTAGAGGCCCAGAGCATATAGCGCATGGCATTTTCAGGGATGCCTTTTCAAAACTTTTTGATTGTTTTGTTTCTACCAGTGCTTTTTGAGGAAAGCCATCATTCTGCAACCCTGTGCTGTGTGTTCAGAACTCCAGGCAAGCTTTATTTGAAACTCCACAGGTCTAGCAGCATTCTTGTGTGTGCATGCACGCACTTAAGGGGGGGGGGGGGCAGCCACAGGGCCCTAAAGTAATTTGGAGGGGGTAAGCTCAGATCTAGGTGCAGATCACCTGCTGTAAATCGACCACCATCTTCCTTGTGCGAGTCGAGAGCCCCTGTTGGCTCCTTATTGGGAAGTGCTTCCGAGCAGACTTGCTTAGGAATGGCCGAAAGCACCCAGTAGACACAGCTGAGTTTGATTGGTGAGAATCCAGGTTCTGCCTGCAAGATCCTGGCCGTGGTCCTTCCTAGGCTACCCAGAAGACGTGGTCACAGCGGGCGACCTCCCTTACGCATCTCCTGTGAACCCAGGAGTGCCGCAAGCGCACGCGTGCCATGGAGTGCTACTGAGCCTCTACCGGGTGTGCTGGGATAATGCGTATCTTATTGGGTTTAAGGTTAGGGTTGGTTTTGCTCTTACCAGCTTTCCTTGGCCTGGCGCACTTCAGGCGTTGAATTAGGGTTCCCACCATTCTCGTGTCAGCTGGGAATTTGGGAGTTGTGGCCCAACACATCCTGCTGGCAGGAGGTTGGGGAGCCTTGCATGACGATGTCTGTCTGTCTGTCTGTCTTTCTGTCACGGGGTATGTCCTTCAACGATGCAATGCGTGAGATAACACTTCTGCTCTGAGAGTCAATAGCTGTTCCTGGTTTCACCGGGCAAAGTGGATTTTACCTCCAGGAACGGGGCTGCCTTAACGCTTTGGTTTGGTTTCCATCTCTTTGAAGGTTAGTGTTAGAGTTTGACCTCCTGATCTACTGTTTCAACAAGCCGTCCATCGTCGTCGCTGCCTGGCTCTGCATGTTCTTGCCCACGTTGCTGGTGCCCTACAGCCTCTTGGTCCAGTGGGCCAAGGGCTACCACGATTCCTCACACAAGACCACCCGCTCAGCCTTCTTCGGGACGCTCTTCATGCTCTTCCAGACGGTCTGGCTTGGCGTCGGGCCGGTCTACATCGCACTGGCCTACGACCTACCAGTAGCCTCTCGTCTCATCGTCATACTTGAGCAGGTGGGTGGCAGAGCAGTTAAGCCACAAGCCGGTGCTTTCAGAGAGGGATGCAGTCTCACAGGAAAAAACCAACGACCTAAGTGGAAGAGCCGGCAAAGACCTTTTGCCAGAAAGCGTCAGCCAGTAAAATGCTTCTTCAAAATTCCTGGGCTAATGACTTTAGCCAACCTATCATTTAGTTCTTTCAAATTTTATTTTCTTAACATAAACACTACAAAAAGAAGAAAAGGATGTGTGGAATAAAATGAAATAGAAAAAGTTGCCGTGGGATTTTAAACAAGTACAACCGATACATCCACACCCACAAATTTATCTATCTTTCTGTCATTCACTTAACATGTAGGATGCATTCTGGGCTTCCTCATCTGTTCAGCTTAGGAAACACCCAGGTCGGTGGGCTTCTGCTTGCTTTTAAGAGGCTGAATGCGAGCATCTGGCAGTCAGACGGATCAGAGCTGGCCGAGCCTTTGTCAGACACGGGGCAGGGATTTTGGCCACGGCTGCTCATTTCTCCTTCCAAAGCCAAGGGAGATGGGGAACCCGCAGGGTCCTTGTGGACCATTCATACTACCTGGAGGAAGCCCATTGAATAGCCTCCTGTCGAATCATCAGTGACAAGAGACTGTGGTGTTTGCCTTCCATTCAAAATGCCACAGAACGCCCAGCGTAAGATGCAAAAAGAGTAATTGGAAGATGATGCTCCACCGAAGGAACTGCCAAAGAAATCTGCGAGAGAGCAGTGTCAGCTTGCCTTGTTCTCTGGAGCCCCTTTAGAAGCCACCTGTCTTTCTGACTCCCCCTTGCAGGTACGAATGATGATGAAAGCCCACTCGTTCGTCAGGGAGAATGTTCCTCGGATAACCGCTGCCGCACCACACAAGTCAGGTGAGTGGCTCTGTCTTGCTGCAGCGGTGGGCATGAAGGCTCCCCTGTGTTCGTCCCTCTGTCATCAGGACTCGTCTAGCGACACCAGGTTGTGGATCACTGCAGGGCAGGCAAAATGGCAGAGGGTGACCCTGCTCTTGCGAGGTGGTCATGCGACTCGTTAAAGCTCATCGCAACAAGCGATGCCTTGCAGAGCCTGTTTTCGAGGTGACATGGTCTGGCCACAGCTTTGTTTGTCTCTTGCTTGTAAATGTGGGAAGATCAAGAAGAAAGAGAGCTACCTTGGCCATTTCAGATGGTTTCAGCGATGTAAACATTGCACGGGTTGCTTTATTATACAGTGAGAATACCGGAACAAAGAGTTGCAGAAACATGTGTTGCTGAACTGAAGCTGTAAGAAGCAGCCAGATGCTCAGTCGGAATGGGACAGGCCTGGCATGTCTACATACTTTCTGGTTTGTGGTATGATCTGGTACTAAATGATTCCCTCCCCTCTGCTTTTCCAGGCTCACTCCAACTGCCTAAAATTTCCCAGTACCTGTATTTCCTCTTTGCTCCCACCTTTATTTACAGAGACAACTATCCAAGGTAATGTCAATACGATTGAGCCTCTTATTTCCCTTTTCAGCAGAGGTAGCTGTTTTATTTGACTGGTGTCTTCTTTGTCCTGATGCCAATGTTTTGACAAGGATGTACCAGGACTGCTTGTTCGCTTACAGAATGGATGCCCAGCTCTCTGGGGGCCTGGCTACACATCACTCTCGCCACATAGCCACCCTCCTGCACAAAAACTGCCGTAAAGCGTTCCCAGGGCTCCCCCAGCAGCCGGAGGGGACCACAAAGGAGGGGTCCTTCCTCTCTCCCTCCCGGGTGCCAGGTTTACTCTGGGAGGTCAGAGGGAATATTCTGAACAGGCCCAGCTCTTGCGGTTTGCTGGTCGACTGTAACACTTACCGCTTTGTGAGGCGGATGCTATATGGGTTTCTGACGTGGCAGCATAACCCACTCATGCTTGCCAGAGGGAAGTCCAGCTCTGCTTGAAGGGTTCCTTCCCGTGGGCTCAGCTGCCCCTTTGCCCAGGCTGTTCCCAAGAGCAGCAAAGTGACATGGCGTTTCTTGCTGCCTTCTGCACACTCCAAAGTTGCAGTTGGCAATTTCGGTTGACAAAAGGGAGCCAATGATCAGGGCCTGAAAAGTGTTCCTTGTGCAAATAAGCCCCATTCTTGGGGCCTATTTTTAAGGAAAGCTTTTCTCAGACACTCTTGGCCAAGCGAAGTCTGAAAAGGTGTGGGGGGCACAACTGGAACTTTCATTAAAGCCTATCCTTGAAAGCCCCCCCCCAATATCACAAAGGGAATCCTGTATTTGAATTCTCCCCCAAGTGGAACTGCGGAACATCAGAGAAGAATGAAAGCCGGCGTAGCAGAACGGTTGGAGTGCCGGACTCCGGTCCAGGAGATCCGGGTTCTAGTCTCCACCCAGCCCTGGAGCTCCCTGGGTGGCTTTGAGCCAGTCACAGATTCTCAGTCCAGCCTACCTCACAGGGCTTTTGTTTTGTGAGAGGAAGAGAACTATGTAAGCCCCCTCGAGTTTCTTGGAAGCAAAACAGGTGGGGCATAACTAAAATAAATATAGTAGGGGAGCTTTTTGACCCAAGGTCACTGCAGATACAGTGTTTGGTCCTCTGCTTTTCTGAAACTGCTTAGCTCCACAAGGGGCATGCTGCTTAGTGTTCCTAGATATTTGACTTGGCTGTGAGCTTGGCAGAGCAAGTGATAGCGAGTGCTGAGTGCTTTTTCACGGTACACAACAGCAGGTACACCTCATCACTCCCTTGTTCTTCGTCGTGGCCTCTGTGCATCACACATACAGGTGCTGCGCCTGCGCAGTGCCTAGGCCAGAAGATTAGAAAGCTAACGGTTTTTGGCGGGAAAACGCTCCGCTCCCCTCCCCCCACAGTATAAATAGAGCGGAGCGTCCGCCATTTTACTCAGTCTCTGCAACCGCCGTTCACTGTGCCTCGTGCCTGTTCGTCTCTCGCTTAGATCTCGCCACATGCTCCTTTACGGTTATCTTGCTCGACTTACCTTTTCCTCGTTATATATCCCAGTTTCCCTTGTTGTAGTTCCTCTGTTCATTCTTTTTTCTAAAAAAAAACCCACCCAAAAATATTACTTACCCTCTGTACTATCATCTCCTTTTTCCTTTTCGCAAGGGCACAGCGGGCGGCATTCCGCAAGTGTAGTGAGTGCGGCTCCAAAATGTCTCCCGCAGATCCGCACGACTCATGCCTCCTCTGCCTCGGTGAAGGGCATAGGACCGACAAGTGCAGGCATTGCCTGGCCTTTACCAAACAGGCCAGGAAGAATAGGGAGAATTGCCCCAAGTTACTTTGGGACCAGGCCTTGCTTCAATCTGACCAGCTGGTCTCAAGGCCTACCCCCTCCTCGGCTGCGCCCCCTCAGCGCCCCACCTCTACTCTGGCTGCGCCCCCAAGCGCCCCACCTCAACTTCAGCCGGTCTGCCGCAGCACCCTTCGGATAAGGCGCTGCTCCAACAGAAGTGCAACAACTACCTTCTCCTCCAACCAAACAAAAGGAGAAGCGTAAGCATTCAGAGCCGGAAAGGCCCTCTGGCCATAAGAAGCCAAGGAAGGAAAAGGCAGCTAAGGCAGCCCACAAGGTCAAGAAACCCAATCGCCCCAAACACCGAGGCTCGGGTTCATTGGGGTTCTCTGTACCAACTGCCGCCACAGTACCAACTCCCTCGGGACCGGCCCTGCAGTCCGCAATGCAGGTGACGCCACCGGGATCCCCCAGGCCTGTTGTTCGGCCTGAGAGCGTGTCTCCTCCACAGGAGCCACCACTTAGGGAGTCCATCTCTGATGGAGAAATTAGAGATTCCCTGCCGAGGCAACGCTCCCCGACGCCAATGCCTGCTTTTGGGCCACCTGAGAGACCAGGCTCTCCTCCTAGGCGTAGGAGCCGTTTGTCGGAGCGCCATGCAGATGACTGGGCTATGCACGGCTATGGTGGCCATCCTGCCTGAAGTGGACTCCATCCATATGCCTTTTTTCCTCCGGACCGTCGATCCCGAGAGAGGCACTGTCCACTTCTGGCCGTACGGAACGCAGACCTCCGTCTCCTGAAAGCTCTTTGTCCAGTGGGCATTACCGCTACCATCAAGACTCGGATGAGTCAGAAGTAGACTCCACGTCTCTGGATGTGGCTGTTACTTCCCAAGACCCGGGATCCCCGGATGAACCCCATGTTTCTTTTTCGGAGCTGGTTTCCCATCTAGTCCGGTCGCTGGAGATAGAGGCCTACCACCGCCCCGGGCCCAGCACAGACCAGTTTTACAACATCGTCCGAGGGGAGCAATCTGCCACCGTTGCCTTACCGTTGATTACCACGCTTTGCCAGGCAATGGTTCAGCCCTGGGACGAACCAGCTTAGCCACAGGCGACATCTCGCTGGTACAAATCTATGTACCGGGTTGGAGAAGACGACATCCCATTCCAGCTGTGCCACCCGAAGCCTAATTCGGTGGTGGTCGAGTCGTCCCAGGGCAGGGAGGCTCGCGGACGTACAACACCCCGAGATAAGGAAGGAGGAAGGTCGACATGATTGCGCGCCGGGTCTATGCGGCTGCAGGACTCGGTTTGTGTATTTCAAATTATGAGGCTACACTGGCACGTTACCAGTACTTCATTATGCAGAAGCTGGAAAACCCAGAAGCTGGACCAGCAGGCAGACCTAGCCAAGGTCTTCTTAAACGAAGCAAAGCAGATGACCATTCAACAGTTGTCTACCACGAGACATCACGTAGGCACTGATTCTCGGGCCATGGTCAACGCTATCTCCCTCCGACGATACGCGTGGCTCAGGAACTGCAGTTTCCCTGAGGAAATGAAGAGGAGGCTAGAAGAAATGCCATTCGATGGCTCCGACATCTTCCACGCAAAGACCGATCGGAAACTCAAAGCCATCCATGAGTCCCGTATGATGGCGCGTCAAATGGAACTCCCACAAGCAAAACATAAGTGGCCATGGTCCGGACCCTACGGGCGCCAGCAATATCAGCCTCGCCAGCAGTTCCACCAGCACCAGCAACATAGAAGGCAACAGCGCTTCTCCCAGGGCTGTAGGCGGTTCAACACCGAGATATGTCCCCGTTGATGGTCCCGGCGAACTAGTTCATCTCTCCAACTCCCATCTTCCCCTCTCCCCTTTGGGAGTCAGCTCCAAAGCCGACTTCCCATTTGGGAGGCCATTACATCTGATAGGTGGGTGCTGTCCATCATTCAGCTCGGATATAGAATAGAATTTGACATCGTTCCACCGTCGAGCCCTATCCGATTTACGCCACCATCTTTGGTTCTGTGCGATGAAGTCCTTCACCTTCTTCATAAGGGAGCGATTCAGCAACTCTCTCATGCTGATGGGCTACACGGATTCTATTCTAGATATTTTATAGTCCCCAAATGGGACAGTGGTCTTCAAGCTATCCTGGATCTAAGAGGAGTATATATCACACCAAGGAAGTTCTGGATGACCACTTCACAGAATATTCTTCCGTTGCTGAGGGAAGGGGATTGGTTCGCCTCATTGGACTTTTGAAGGATGCGTATTTTCATATTTCTATTCATCCTTCCTATAGACACTTCCTTTGTTTTACTGTCGGATCCGATATTTTCGAATTCAGTGTTCTACCATTCGGACTGGCTACGGCACCAAGAGTCTTTACAAAGTGTATGGCCCCGGTTTGCGCCCACCTACGACTCCGGGGTATACAGGTCTACCCCTATTTAGATGATGGGCTAATTGTGTCACGGACTAAAGACAGTCTTTTAGCGGCTCCCCGCGTGACTTGTGCTTTGCTTGATGACCTCGGACTCTGTATTAACCTTAAGAAATCGTCACTTGTTCCCACGCAGGTCATCAGTTTCATTGGAGCACATATCGACTCCACCCTGCACCCTCTTCGATCCTTCACACCCTGACGTGGTGGATTATTTCCCGCAACCTATCTGTAGGCGTTCTATTCCGCCCACCCCAACCGACAGTGACAGTGTACACCGATGCGTCTCTCATCGGATGGGGTGTGACATGTGCAGGACTTCGGGTCCAAGGGGCATGGACCCGACGAGAAGCGGGGAGGCATATCAACTTCCTCGAGCTTCTAGAGATTTTCAACACTCTCATATCTTTCGAAACCGTCTTACACCGCCAAGTTGTACAGATTGCGTCCGACAGCATGGCTGCTGTTTTTCTATGTCAACAAACAGGGCGGGACAAAGTCACCTCTCCTGACCTGTTTGTCAATGCAAATCTGGGACTGGTGCATTCCTTGGGACATCATGATGCTGGCGGTTGATCTTGGGGGAACCGACAACGTAGAAACCGACGCACTGAGCCAACAGATGTCAACTGCCCACGAAAGGGAGTTGGATCGAGTGGTTTGCAACCAGCTGTCCCAGTTATGGGGACAACCAGATATAGACTTGTTCGCGACCTGGTCGAACAGGGTGTGTGAACTGTTCTGCTCCAGAGCGGGGCTGGGATTGGACTCAAGGGGAGATGCCCTAATGATCGACTGGAACAACCTATTCTATGCATTCCCGCCAATCCCACTCCTCATGAAGGTAGTGTCGAAGATCGTGCACGACAACGCCACAGGAATTCTGATAACCCCATGGTGGCCAAGGCAACCCTGGTTCACCACTCTCCTCACTCAGTCCAGAGGAGTTTTTCAACGACTTCCACTTGTTCCTCATCTGTTAACACAACACAACGGGACAGTCCGACACCCGGACCTACAGCGTGGTACTTCCGATAGATCTGAATTTTCCGTCAGCTCCATTGCCGCCCCGATCAATGCAACCAACTCCTCCCTCAGAACCGTCAAGGTCCACTTTGGGACCGATAGTGTTATCCTTGGATATCCAGGCAATTCTCGAATCTGCACTACGACCTTCCACACGCAAGTCGTATTCAGCAAAGTGGAGAAGATTCTCTTCCTTTGCCAGTGCCTGTTCCTTCTCTCTGGAGTCGGCTTCGGTCGAGAATATTTTGCAATTTCTATTCGACCTTCATCACTCGGGACTCAAGCCTTCATCTATAAAGGTCTGTACGGCTGCTATCTCGCATTTTCATGGTAGCATCCAGGGGTCATCTGTTTTTTCTCAACCCTTGATTCGCCGTTTCCTTAAAGGGCTACAAAATTTGCACCCGTCGGTCCGACCTGTTATGCCGACGTGGAGTCTTTCTGTTGTACTTCAGGCCCTTACAAAACCTCCATTTGAACCTTTGGCAACAGTGGATTTACGCCTAGTTTCATGGAAAACTGCCTTCCTTGTTGCAGTTACTTCAGCCAGAAGAGCCAGTGAGCTGTGTGCTCCACGCATAGACCCACCGTTCTTGAACTTTCACAAGGAAAGGTCGTCCTCCGAATGGCCTCCGAGTTTCTTCCCAAAGTGGCTACACCGTTTCATTTGAACCAAGACATCATCCTCCCTGCGTTTTTTCCATCTCCGTCAACTCCAATTGAGCGCTCTCTCCATACGCTGGATGTTAGGTGCTGTCTAGCCTTTTACAGGTCTCACACAGAAGCGTTCAGGAATTCCAACAGACTTTTTGTCAAGTATGCTGCTCCTGACAAGGGCTTTCCAGTCTCATCTCAGCGACTGTCCAAATGGATTGTGCAGACCATAGTCCTAGCATATCAATTGGCAAAGCTTGACTTACCCTCACTTCCGAGGGGGCATTCTACGTGAGCAGTAGCGACTTCGTCAGCCTTTGCAGCAGGGGTTCCAATTCAGGATATTTGCAAGGCTGCGACTTGGGCTGCTCCATGTACTTTCGCCAAGCATTATCAGCTTGATGCACGCACCAGAAGGGATTGTTCCTTTGGTAGAGCTGTGCTCTCTGCCATTCTTCACTGACGACACCTTCCCTCCTCCAAGTCTGGTAGGCTTGCTAATCACCCATATGTGTGATGCGCAGAGGCCACGACGAAGAAGAGCAGGTTGCTTACCTGTAACTGATGTTCTTCGAGTGGCCATCTGTGCATTCACACATTCGCTCGGTGTCGGTGAGTGGACTGTTTTTTCTTACTGTTGGTTCCATGTTATTCCTACGGTACCGATTTTTTTCTTGCTGTGATGCTGTTTTTCGAACGTTAGGGGTCGAATGTCGGTCTTCAAGACTGAGTAAAATGACGGACACTCCACTCTATTTATACTGCAGCGGGGAGGGGAGCAGAGCGTTTTCCTGCCAAAAACCATTAGCTTTCTAATCTTCTGGCCTAGGCACTGCGCAGGTGCAGCACCCATATGTGTGAATGCACAGGTGGCCACTCGAAGAACATCAGTTACAGGTGCTCTTCCTGGTGCCAGCATTCTGCTGATAGGCTTGAGTTTGGCTGATCCTTGTAGCACCAGTGTGACTGCAGGCCCAAGTTTCATAGTGGGGAGCATAGCCAGTCGGTTTAAAATGTTTTAATACTTGAGCAATCCCATACAAACCAAACAGACTTGCCTTTGTTCAAATATTTGAGTAATAACTTGATAAGTTATTAAAGCAACAGAATGAGATTCAATAAGGGCAAGTTCCAAGTCCACCTAGGAAAAAGAAACTAAAAGGCATCGATACCAGATGGGGAATACGTGGCTCAACAGAATTGAAAAAGAAAAAGATCTCGAAGTAATTGTGGACAATAGGCTAAAGTTGAGCCAGCAATGCAATGCAACTGCCAGAAGGGCAAATGCTATTTTGGATTGCATTAACAAAAGTATTACTTCCAAATCACAAGAAGTAGTAGTTCCCCTCTACTCACTAGTCAGACCTCATCAGGAATACTGTGCCCAGTTCTGGACACCAACATTTAGGAAAAATGCAGAAAAATTAGAAAGGGTCCAGCGGAGGGCAACAAAAATGATCCAGAATTTGGAAACACTGCCCTGTGAGGTAGAGACAGAGAACTGGGCATGTTCAGCCTTGAGAAGAGAAGACTGAGGGGGACATAATATCCCTCTGTAAGTATCTCAAAGGCTGTCACAAAGAGGAAGGTCAAGATCTCTTCTCGCTGATGCCAGAGTGTAGGGCACAGAATAATCAGTTCAAGCTGCAACAACCCAGAGTTGGGATAGACATCAGGAAACGCTTCCTCACAGTCAGAGCAACACGACAGTGGGACCAGCTGCCCAGAGAGGTGGTGGGCTCTCCCACACTGGAGACATTCAAGAAGAAACTGGACAGCCCTCTGAGTGGGATGGTGTGACTTGGTGTCCTGCAACAGCAGCGGGTTGGACTCGATGGCCTTCGTGGCCCCTTCCAACTCTACTATTCTATGATTCATTGATTCTATAAGTTGTGGGATTGTGCTTGTGGTAGACTGTGGCTGCCTCCTCTAGAAGTAACTTAGTTTCTTAGAGTAGGCTTCAGCTGACACCAGAGAAGTGCCAGCTGCCATTGCAATGCTGTGCTTTCTTTTCTCGGCAGGACACCAACAACAAGGTGGAGTTACGTAGCTACCAAATTTGCACAGGTGAGTGGTTATTGTTTCCTGGAAATCCTGTATTTCTCTATGTGCTTCCTACTTTCCTTATGTGGAATAGAGGCTTGCAAACCTGCAAATGCTACTGATCCATAACAGTCTTCATAATACCCTCTGCTTGCATACACTTGTGCCAGTTTATGATATTATAGATGCAAGTACAACCAGTATTTGCCAAGTTCCGAGACTTTCCTGCAGACAGGCCGCTGTTGTGAATGGCATGCCTTCCAAATCCATCTTTCAAACAATGACTGCACAACATCCGTTTATTTCAGAATCCCGAAAAGTTTCCCTAACTTTAATGGCAACTGTCACAAACAAAGCAATTTTGTGTGTTCTTATTTTTCACTGTTGAGCTACTTTCAGAGATCAACATATTTCTAAGAAGTGGGTAGTTCTACCTTTGTAGAGAATAGGTCCTCAGTGCATATGATTTTAAGCAGGCAACTCATGGCTCTTTGGATGTTGTGGCCTACAGCTCCCATCATCCATTGCATTAGCTATGCTGGCTAGGGTTGAGGGGAGATTTGATTTGATGTATTACATTTGTGTGCCAGCCCATAGCCCCTAGGGCTCTCTGGGCAACTTACAGCAAGACAAGATACAAAATACAATAATCAAAATTTTACCGTAGCAAAAATACAAAATCAATATAAAGACTATATTAGACTCAAAGCAAGTACAAATTGAAATACAATACAAAATTGAAGTTACTTAATACAATAATATTCATAATGTTAAATAATGAAATATAACAACCCCACCATGCAAACCCCCGTGCACCCCAGCACAGATTGGCTAAGGAAACACAGTCAACAATTCCTCTATACCACAGCACAGCAGAAAAAGGCCCAGTCTTTGGGGAGCTGGCATGGCATGGCTCCCATTAAGTTGTATCGTCCACCCCTGCCTCCTTGGCAGCTCCGGAACACCTCCCACAAACACCCGAGGAAGAGGTGGCGAATGTGCAGGGAGAGCGCCACTGCCCTCCATGCTGGACTGCGGCAAGCAGGGTGCGGTGATGGAAACGGGCAGGTGGATGGAGATGTAGGCGAAAACCCATGGAGGACCATGAGTTGCCCATCACTGGTTTAACGAGTAATCCCAATTAAAACAATTCCACAAGGCTGCCTTCCGATTGGTTCTCTTATTAATCTGAAAAGGATTCCGGACTGTGGGAGTGAGCACAGGCTCCATCACATGGAAACACATGGAGTGTGTGGGCCAACCTGTTTGTGTGTAGAGTTAGCCTGCCGGCAGCGCACTAACCCCGGCCTCCATTGGCTGGCCTGCCATCTCTGTGCAGCTCACGTGGTCACTGTGTCCTCAGGGAGGTCACGTGGACTGGCTAGCTCTGCAGAGAAGCGTGTTCCTTGTGCCACTCTCCTGTCCACTTCAGCTCTGACCACGGGGCCATCTGACGCTTCCTCAGAGTCACTTGAAGGGGACCCTAGACCAGTGCGGGGAAGGATTTCCTGCTGAACAAACACATTGGCCCTTCTCCGCTCAATCCTTGATGTTAGCAAGCTGCCGATCGAGCTGAAAAAGCAAGGAGGCAACTGATGGAGGAAGTCGGACAGACTCCACTTATTTGTGGGTTTGTTGTTGGCCCCTTCCAGCCGTCATCTTGTCTCCCAAGGAGCTTCGGACTTCTCCACAGGCAGAGTTTAGTTGTCAATAATCAATAGGCTGCAGCCCTAAAGGCAGTGACGGCTGCTGTAGAAGCACCATCACCATTTTCCAACTGTAGTCAAGATTTGTGGGTTTCAGCAACTGAAACATGCTTTTCTTTCTCTCCCAATGCTTCCTTTTCTGTGCTGCTTTTATAAAGGGCTGATGGTTATTTCCCTCTGGTTCAGTTCCTAGGCTCTCTCTTCTATGTTTACTACATCTTCGTGCGACTCTGTATTCCTGTGTATCGGAACTACAGTCACGAGCAGTACAACATTCGAGGGGTGGTGCTTTGCATCTTCAACTCCATTCTGCCAGGTGAGCGCTTAGGTCATTGGTCCCCAAACTAAGGCCCACGGGCTGGATCCAGCCTGCCATGCCCAGAGGTTTTGCACTCGCCCCATGTGCCCGGCGGCGGCTTGCTCGCGATGAGGTCATTTTGGACTCGCTCGGAGAAAACGATCTCACAAGCTAGTGCCTTGCCGTGCGTGCATCTGGCGGCAGCTTGCTCACTAGGAGGTTGTTTTGGACTCACTAAGAGAAAACGATCTCCTCGCAAGCAAGCCGATGCCTTGCCGTGCGTGCGTATGGCGGCAGCTTGCTCACTAGGAGGTTGTTTTGGACTTGCTAAGAGAAAACGATCTCCTCGCAAGCAAGGCCAGTGCCTCGCCCTCTCACTGGCCTGCACCCCCCCCCCAACCGCCAGTACCGCTTTGGCAGCCTGCACACAGTGCTGGCACCTGTCAACTGGCCCCGTTGAAAAAGTTTGAGGACCCCTGGCTTAGTTGGATCTGCCCGTGCCATCTTTCATCTGTACCCGTGCAGGTGGAATAGGGCAAACAACAACAGGCAAAGCACAAGTCGGTGTATCAGTGTTGGCCCATGCACTTGGTCAGACCTTAGCTCAGCAGCTCAACAATACTCACGGGCCCAGTTCTCTCATGCTGACCGGGTTCACACAACACAACAAGCACCCCTGCATGGGTAATATGGTTCAGGGTTTTGGGTTTTTTTTTACAATGATGGGCCTGACAGACGATCAAGTGGTTTCTATTTTATCATGGCTTCCATCCTCCCTGCTTAATCCTCCCAACGTATCCCAACAGTCACTGTGCCTGAAATTCAGTACCAAGGTGCATTTCTTCCTGCATTTGTTGTCTGCCTCTTTCTCATTGGTCTATACATAGAAGCAAGATGGCTAGAGCAGCTGCAGCAGTTGCCTCTCTTTACAGAGGACTCTGTGATAGTTGCATGCCAGGACCATGGAGACCACAATCCCGGGTTCAGACAACACAACAAACCATGGTAGTGCAGAGAAATCATAGAACAAACCATTGTTTCTGAAGCCCAAACTTACCATGATGAAATACTATCTGGGTTCTGACGACATGACAAACCAACAATGGCGAAAAAGCCACCATAGGTGGTCATGTTGTATGAACCCAGCCAGTGCCTAAGTGTGGGCTGATGAATTAACCAACCAGCCCGTGGTTAGTTGCAGCTGTGTGAACAGCCTGTTCTTGGGTTGTTTGGTGTGGTATGCAAACCTAGAACTTCGGTTTTTTTAGGAAGAAACATGCATCACATTGAACAACCCAGGAATATTCTGTTGCTTAACAGATGAGTTGTTAGAGGATACCTCTAGTGATGGGCTGTCACTACGCTCAGACCATTTTCTGTAGTTATGTTCCTTCAAAATGTCAGTGAATATTCCCAGTATTCGTCTTCTTGTTCTCAGGCCAGAAAAGGAACAGTCCTGCTTTGTCCATTACTGTTATTAGTCTTGACTTGACAGGTACAGCATCCAAGTCAGAGTGACAACTGGTTGTGATGAATGAGACTGTGCTTATATATGTCTTTTTCCCCTTTACCATTTCTCAGGTGTTTTGATTTTCTTCCTGGGATTTTTCGCATTCCTTCACTGCTGGCTTAATGCTTTTGCTGAGATGCTGCGCTTCGGTGACAGAATGTTCTATAAGGTAATTATTAAGCTAATGATCTGATGCGCTTCTGGTTAGTACTTGTTTGCAGCTTTGTAGCAAAAACAGGTGGACAGGGACTGCCACACAAGGCCCGTGTGATGGAAATGCTAAGTAAAGGTACGTCACTTGGTTATCAAGGTGCCGTCTTATGCCTGTTTAGACAGAAAATGTCCTACAACTCCTTCTGTGCTCTGGCCAGCTTGGAAAATGTCGGTTGCAGATGCTGGCAGATGTAGGACATTTTGTGTCCGAGTATGCCCACACTTGTGCACAGTCTTGTGAAAGAGAAGCGCCCTAGTTTTATAAAGTAGTGATTAGGGCTGGCAAGTCCCGGAGCCTTTGGCAGTCCGTATCCCAGATGATCTTCTGAACCTTCTGCTCCCACCCGAGGCCATCAGTGATCAGCTTGCACACCTTGAAGGACAAGGGTGGAAATGGCTTCTGAACCTCAGCCGCCTTCTGTATTTTAGTTTTTTGAGTGCTTCCCGTGCAGGATGGCAGGATCCTTGCAGCCAAGGTGGGCAACCTGCAGCCCATCCCCCAGGCCGCCTCAGTGGTCGTGATGGGAAGGAAGGGGCAACGCCACATTTCCGGCCATTTATTGGTGTCGGATTTAAGCCTCGCAGGCCTGAGTCCAAACGTCTGGCAACTGGGAAACAGTGATTTGAGGAGAGGTTGCAAACGAGCTTTTAGGTGGGGGCTAGAATAAGTTGGGAATATCCATCGCCATGTGGTCTTGACCTCAGCTGCTATAGATCCGAATGCTCTCTTGGCAGTTGCCACAGAAATGCAGGAGAAGCACAAGCGTGCTTGGCACCGTGAATGCTAACTCTTGCCTCTGCGCCCCTTAACATGCTTCCCCTTCACTTTCAGGACTGGTGGAATTCTACCTCTTTTGCAAATTATTACCGAACATGGAATGTGGTGGTACATGACTGGCTGTATTACTATGTATACAAAGACTTCATTTCGGTAAGCAACCGTGTGCAAAAGCCCCCTCTTAATTCCTTGGAATCTAGTTGAAAAGCTTGAGAGACCCCCAAGCATAGGAATGTTAACAGCTAATGGTGGTTATTCCTTGCTCGCCTAAGAATGTTTGCCTTCACCAGACACCCTTCCCTCTCCTCTTGTCTGTCACCACTAGCTGTTTGGGAAGAAATGCAAAGCGGCCGCCATGCTGTCGGTCTTCACGCTTTCTGCCATGGTGCATGAGTACGCCTTGATCATCGGCTTCGGTTACTTCTATCCGGTCTTGTTCTGCCTCTTCATGTGCTGTGGAAGTAAGTGGCCAGTGTGTTTCCCAGCAGTCTTGCTGAGCAAAATGTTGGGGATCAGAGAATGGCTGTCGATGCTTTTCATTTCTAGAGCGTGAGGCGCTGGGTTCAAACCTGCCAGGCATTCCCACTACAGGGCCTCTCACCGAATGCAAGACAGTCGCCCCCATCTCAGAGCCAGCCCTTTGGTTGGTGAGGAATGGCCTGGACAGGACATGGCTTGGTCCCTGGCAGGTGGCGCGTGTGCACTGCAGAAGTGTCAGACTGCAGCTGCCAGTGTTCCTGACCAGCAACCAGGGCGCCTGGGTTGGTGGGAGCTCAGGCCAAAATCTCTGCAGTGAACCAGGTTGTAGAAGGCTGCCATTTCCCCCTCAGATATTCTAGACCAGGGCTCAGCAACCTTTGAGACTCAAAGAGCCATTTGGACCCGTTTCCCACACAAAAGAAAACACAGGGAGCCGCAAAACCCTTTTGACATCTAAAATGAGGATAACACTGCATGTATCATTTTTCACCTTAATGCTATGTATATCTTCATTATGATTTAGCTGCAGCTCTTGTTCAGTCGCTAAAAACTGTTATTTTTAATCTTACGTTATAAACTAGTAGGACTCCTTTCATATGTTTTGAATAGGAGAACAGCTTCCCGCAGAGTCAAAGTCAGTGCTAAAGGGCTGCATGCATTAAACAGCAAACCCCATAAGTTCATCAGCAGTAAAAGCAAATGAATCTACCCACGTACCATTAAATGTTTGATTTTCTTCAGAAACTTTTCTTTTCTTCGATTTATCCATGGTTGGCCAACCAGGGGAAGTCGCAGATATAGGTGTGTTTAGTGACTGATTAGCAGATAAACAGTCAAGTGCTGTGAATTGTGACAGGTCCCAAGCGCAGCTTTTAACATTCAGCGGAAGGAGATTATATTGGGACAAAGAGAATCCTTGCAGCAGCGTTTCTTTCCTGTAACATGAGAGCCTGCAGGAAGCTTGTTCCACTCTTTCCCTGCACAATAGCAGAGGAATGTAGCAATTTACTTAACCAGCCTTGTCACAGATCAGCGGCTGTGATGCGTATGTTGGGCGACAGGGTCGCAGCAGAGAGATTCAAGAGCCACATGTGGCTCCGGAGCCGCGGGTTGCCGACCTCTGTTCTAGACCAAATACTTGTGTATTGGGTTTGGTTTGGGAGGGGATGTTACATGAGTTCCTTTGGTAAAGTTTTGCATCCGAATTACAAGTAGAAGGCGTGCAACACTGGAATTCCCTGATACAGATGTGGGAACTGGCAACCTGGCCCTGCAGAAATGGTAGCTTACAGCCCTATTCGGTTATTCAGTCATGAATAATATCATCGAGCCATTCAGTTCAATAATGAAAACTGCAGGGAGTTGTATACCGAGATATCAGGAGGGCCACAAGTTTCTCAGGGCATCAAAATACCTTCCACTATAAGACTGAAAGGTTTCTATGCAGATGACCCTGTGCAAATTGACCTACTTGGCATGGAGAATGTTTCCAGTGTACCATTTTCTAGGAAACACCTATCACTGGCCGTGTCGGACGTGCCCTTGTTTAATGCATCACACGGGTTCCGGGGTCTAGTAAACGTTGCCAAATGCTACAGCGCCCACATGACACACTTTCTTACGCTCGCTCCTGGTGAGCCATTTGCTCCCATGGGGGAGGGTGCAGCCTGTCTGGAGAACCGGGAGGGAGACGGCGGTGCCTTCCATGGATGCATCCTGAGAACCTCTCGCTTTCCTTCCTCAGTGGTTTTCAACTTTATTCTCCACGACCGTCGGGAAGGCCCCTTTTGGAACGTGTTCATGTGGACGTCCCTCTTCCTCGGGCAGGGCATTCTGATCTGCCTTTACAGCCAGGAGTGGTACGCCCGTCTGAACTGCCCTGTGAAGAACGTGAGTAACCCGCCTGTCATTTCAAACAGGAAGAACAGGACTGAGCTGCTCCATGCAGGAGCAAGAATGTGGAGGCTAAAAATGGAAAGCGCTGTTGAAAAACCTCAGATCAGGTTTGCTCCTAAGGAGACGAGTGGAGATTGGCCCAACAGAAAGGTAGCAGTGTCAGAAGAAAGGACAGAAATGACCAGCCAGGAAATTGGTGATCAAGACACATGTGTTGAGATGCCGTATTGCCAGCCCTTCGGCATGTGAGCTTGAGACCTGATTATTCTGAGAGAAGTATTATTATTATTATTATTATTATTATTATTATTATTATTATTATTATTATAACATTTCTATGCCGCCCCTTGCCGAAACCTCGGGGCGGCATAGAAGTATCAAGCAAGCAAAATTCTAGCACCCATAGGAATTCATTGATAGAACTTAGAGCCGTGTATTCGAGTCCTTTACAAGACGCTTCTTTGGCTCAGAGGAAGTGCTGTACTTTTCATACGCACACACCTGCAAGAAGAGTGCGTGGCCTCATACACAAATGCTACAAAGGTCTGAGCTTTTACCACTCACTCCTCCAAGACTGAGAAATGTCAGCAGGTTCTTGCAGGATGGAGGGAGGCAGCCCGAGAGAGTGCAAAGCCTCAAGGGAACGCAATCCCTTGCTCTGTTTTCTGTATGCTGAGATTTCTTCCCCCAGTTCAGCTTCGCTAAGTCCAGAAAAGGGTTCTGTGCAGCCTGCTGCTTGAGCTCAGGGGCCAAAGCAGCCCTGTGGCCGGTCACACAGATAGGCATGGTGAGAGATGCTCTGAGGTGTCTGTGGAAGGCTCAGACCGGCTGGGGCTGGGACAGATCCCTCATCGCCTGCACGCGGCTCTGCTTGGCTGGAGGAGCCACCAAGCTCCGGCTCGGAATGGGGGCAGGCAGCTTGGAGAGGCCTGGCTTATTCCCTTATTTTCAAGCTTTCTCAGAGGTGGGAGTGCAGCTTCACAAAGGCTGCTTGGGGAGCCATTTTGTTGTTTTCTGTTTTCCATTTCCACGTATGTTTTACAGTTGTGGGGGGCTGTGAGGGACACGTGTAGCCCCCTCAGAGAGAGGGCAGCTTCCATCTCTTCCTGGGCATGACCCGGCCTCTCCCCTTCTATCTGGCTCCCCACAAGGGTGGCTCCAAGACATTTCTGTATTTATTTATTATATGTCTATGCTGCCAAGTAGTCTAAAAGACATGGATAATCCCACAACTTGAGAGGCCTGTCCCGGACTCGTCCTTGGCTTGGCGTGCTCACGTGATGACCAGACGAGAACAATATTATCCGTGCAGCTGCGTGAACCAACCACGTTTAGTGGATGATGCTAGATGTGTCTGCAGTCTTAACGGTGCTTGTCCTCTTGTGTCTTTCAGCCCACCTTCCTGGACTATGTGCAGCCGCGCTCCTGGACTTGCTATCTAAAGATGTGAAGTCCTCTCAGATTTGTCTCTGGACCAAGGCCAGCAAAACAACAACCAAACCTTGAACCAGTGATATAAAAACTTTAGCTCTGGCCAGCAATGGCCTTGTGTCGCTCAAGGCATTTTGGACGGTCACGGGCTAAGCAGGCAGGTCTCCATTCCATGAGCAGCTCCAACCTGAGCCATTTTCATGCTGGTCTTGAAAGCTGCTGAAAAGTTGGTGTAAGAATTCCAGTGTTGATTTGGCCTATTGCAAGCAGTGGTCTCTATCGCTCCTTTTCTCTCACACTCTCCAGGAAGGGCAGTATTGTGTTTCCGGGTTAGCCTTGCTGGCCCAGCTCTGACATTCCTTCAGAAGCATCCTTTGAAATGGGACATTTGCTCAGTGTTTTTGGTGTCCTTTGGCTTACTGGTCTGACCTTCCTCTGACCACACGCAGAAGACATGAGGGAGAGTCCGAGGCTTTCTCTTAAGGGTACAATTCTCGTGGAGGTTCTTGTCTTTCCAAAAGCACAGCACAAGGAGGGCTGGGTGAGGGAAAAGGCGTTCCTTGGGTGCTCTTCCAGCCAGGCAGCTACGGTTACTTGCGGTCTGAATTTATGGATGCTCGGATGGAGCCGTCGCAGCAGGGGTTAACAGCTTTTTTCAAGGAAGTATCCCTAATGTATGCTTTTGATTTTGATTGATCTGTTCATAATTCGGGGGGCGAGGTGACAAGAGCAGGTATTTATAGAAATTTTGAATCGCCCTGAAGAGAATTGGTCAGGTGTCTAACATCCTCAAAGGTTTATGTGACTGCCTCTGTGAATAGGAACAGTGAATTGTGAAAGGCATGCTTAACTATTTGCTCTGATGTTTTCAAGCTTAATATTTTTTTCTTTTGAAACGAATCCGTCCTGATTTAATGGCTGAATATGCCTTTGGATATTTAGCCTCTTAATGTGATTTGCCTCTTCCTGTTATGTTCACTTGTCTTTCAGCAGCTAATCCGGAAAGATGGGCATGACATTTCGTACTAAAGTTGTCCATTAAATGTCATGCCTACTGCAGTGTAAGCAGCTGTCATTCTCTGTTCCAGAGATAGTTTGTTGTCTTGTGAGTTGCACTACCAATGCAGGCAGTGGCCTGGATCTGGCTGCCTCCTTCGACGCACGGCGAACTGGTGTGTGTGATAAAGACGGGCACAGCCTCTCTAAAGGCTGCAGTGACAAAGCACATGTTCTGGGCTTCACGCAGTCCTCTGCTCTGCTTAGGGCCAAACCAGGGGTGACGGTTTTCCTGCAACTAGTAATTGCACGATCCTTTAGAAGCCCAAGTAAAGCGATGACTGGTCTGGGTGAGGACCTGACGCAGCCTGTACGCTGCGTTCTGTCAGCGCACTCTCCGTATTAAGGAATGCTGGTCAGGGCAGCTGGTCCCACACTGCGTTGTTTTGGCGTTACTCGTTCGCAGTTACTGTTGTGGCTGGGGGGGGGGGTGCGAATATGGTTTGTGTGGAAGAACAAAGGCTTGGAATGGCCCTTCTGCACCAGTTGAAATGCGAGGAAGCTCAGAAAGGCGCTGTGCCCAGGGCCAAACATTGGCTGAGATCTCCATTGGAAAGGGTGCTGGGTACAGTTCATGGCTGGTCGTTGGTGGTCTGTGGAGAGGGCTCAGCCATTGGCAGCGGTTCTTCCCCCATCTGGGCTCACTGGAGCCCGGCTAGTAGCCCATCGGTAGCCTTTAGCCCAGAATAACGTTCTTCAGCCTGATGACTAGACTCGCAGCATTCCAGACCCACTTTGTGGAGGCTGATAGGTGCTGAAGTCCAAAATGTCTGGAAGTCACCAGGTTGGGGACAGCTGGTCTGGCACCTTCTTCCTAGCCATTTGAAGGCCCATCTGGGACCTGTTTCAAAACAAAAGGGAAAAAGTAGAGAGAGGCATATTCTGTGTACCAAAACTCCTGTCCTTTGTTTTGCTTTTGAGGTGGTGCTCTAGGAATTGCTGGGCACGGGCAACTTCCTTCCCGTGTCGCTTAACTGCAGCAAAATGAAATTTCAGTTTATTTCAGGCTTGTACTTCAGGAAAGGAACCATGTGTCCTCAGTCCCATTTTGGGACAGTGAAAAGGCACCGAACCAACTTAGTTATTTTAAAGGCCTCTTCCCCACTGCTGAATTTCCAACCACTGTGATCGCTTTTGTATTTGTTAAAAGATGCCAATCTTATATAAAATTTAGGCTTTCCTTTTTAAAATATAGCAGTGTTACAGATTAGATTACCATAAAAAATACCCTTTGTTTTTCTTAGCCCATTTTAGCGGGAAGAGTTTTCAAAGTGAAACTGGCTTTTCCTAAAGACTAACCACATTTTTTTAGAAAAATCACGACAAGAAGAATGTTACACCTATTTGATGTTTTGTAATATTTTGTGGCTAAACAATAAACAGCTAACAAGCACGCTGATGTTGTGATTCTGGAATGAATGGGTTGTGCCTTTCTAAAGAACACAGTTCTAATTTTTTTGGTTCCAAGTGAGATGAGTCGGCCCTTCACGTGCAAAAACAAGTATATTCTTGGATCCGCAGCCGGAGAACCCAAGACAGACTTTCTGCACAAGCTGAGGAACATTTACTGAGAAATACTGAACCAAAAGAGATGAGTGGAGGGAGTGCAGAGTCGTGATCTTGGCAGGCGGCAGTAGTTGCTGGCAGCCCACTTTGCGGAAGGCACGACAGGCCGATTACTTCCTGACTGGGGCTTTGCACATTCCTGCACGGTCGAAGTTGACTAAAGTTCCTTTTAGCCTGTCTCTCCTATTCTCTTAATACTTGGATATTCAGACCCCAAACAGCGCGGTGTGAAATTAGCTGTGGGAAACCTATCCTTGAAATGTGTCAGGAACACCTCGGAAGGTTTTTTTTTTAAAAGGCTAATCCCATGGAGCTCTTGAAATCTATACATGTTTAGGGCTGTGCCGCCATGTCTGGGAAAGGGCTGCTGGTTCAGGCCTGCCCAGGTGGCTTGGTTTTTAAATTACATGGGTGTTGCAGGATAAGCCCCTGAAAACAAGTTCAGTCCTGTGTGATTGGATCCCTCACGTGCAGGCTGTTAATACTGCAACAGCGGTCCAGGTCTCGCTCTACATGGTATTGCTGGTGGTATGCAGGTTGCGTCTGTAATTTTGTTTGCATCTTCCTCTTACACAGATTGTGTCTTTAATTTCTGTGTGCATCTTTCTCTTACGCAGATTGTCTGTAATTTCTGTTTGCATCTTTCTCTTACACAGATTGTGTCTGTAATTTCTGTTTGCATCTTTCTCTTACGCAGATTGTGTCTGTAATTTCTGTTTGCATCTTTCTCTTCAGCCCTAGTGTCCATTTGCTTGGAAGCGTTGCTTTCTTTGTTACAGCACTGGAATGTGTGGCTGTGAAACTCTTGGCCAAAGTATTTTTGCACTGAGTGTCCACCAGACAGGATAAAGATCTGATGTTTGTGAGCTGTGTTTGGTGAACCAAACTGACTGTCCTATTAGCATATATTCCTTTAATACGGTACAACGTATAGGTTGTGGGCAGACCAACTAACTGAACAGTAATGTGTACCATCTGGGGAGTCTGAAACAACAACCCGTTGGCTAAATCAAGTGTTCCCAATTTTATCTAGCTAATGTAGATGTTTTTGATTAATTATTTTGGATGATGGAAAAAGTACGACATGGAGTGGATATCATGAACAGTTAGTTGGACTTATGCCCAAGGTCCAGTAAAACATTTAACTTGACCCTTAACTTAAAACTCACCAATACAATATGCCAATGCCTTGTGCAATTTCCAGATGAATCTGATGAAACAAACATTGTTTAACAAGCTTACATTGATCATGATTCTAAAGGCTGCCCACCTGTAGTTCCTGTGTAGAGATGTGAACTTCATTATGAATGCCTAATTATCATTATGGGAAAAACAGGGTTCTCTTCCTGGAATGCTACAAACTGCATACGTGCAGCTTTGAAAAACTGTAAAATCCACTCTTTGCTTGTGCCAAGTTAGTTGTTTTTGAAGGTACGGTATTTATCTTTGTAAGATGGTCTCTGATCTATTCAAAGAGTTTGCATACGTTCTGTCCTTTTCTGCTGCTTGTTTGAAGAGAATCACCTGAACCTCTGTCTTTAGAAAAAAATACGATAAAATAAAATCCTGTTTGTTTTGGGAATTACATGTCTTTTTTAAAGGGAGAAAAGGGAACATTAATATCCCAATTTTAAATGAATTTTTGTTTTGAGTTTGAATTTCTGAATTTGAGCAGGGCATCACTTTAATATCTGAATAAAAATATGCCTTTTGTACAGAGATCTGTATAGGTCAAGTGGCTGCAAGGCATCCGTTTAACTTGAGTAGGCTGTTGGATTCGTTCAGCAAATGAAGAATTACCTGGCTGAGGGAGCAACAAAGTTTTGCAGAGATGCTAGTGGAAGGAGGAAATTCAGCCGCACTTGACTGAATGGGATCACCCACCATATCTTGCAGCTTCTGTAATGTACAAACTGAAGATCTTAGGAAGTGGTTTACTGGGGTGATATAATTCTGTTAACTGATTCCAAAATGGATTGTTCTGTCTGTTGCGACTTGTTCTGCCACCTGCAAAGATTTATATGATCTGTACTTCAGAAATTGAAATATATTTTGCTATCTATGAAATGTGTTGGCCTGTTTTCTTTCCCACGTTTGGTGTACTACCTTCTTTTTGTACATTGCCTCCAAGCGCTTTGTTTCTGCAACAATCTGCTGCCTGGAATATAGTCTGTGCCTGTACTTCTGAGTGGGACTTGCGGCCAAATGTTGCTGCGTGATGTGTACGTGTTCTGTGTGCCAGCCAGCCATATTTTCCTCCAGCACACTCCATTCCGTTCCCCATCAATCCTCAGCATGCCCAGTCCTCATCGAGTTACGGGTTGTGGGGAGGGCTACTTCTGCAAAGCTTTGAGTGCATGAATGTGCAGAGAATGGTTGAAAGCCTGTCGGAAATGTCTTGCTTTGGGAGTTGGACAGTTCTAAATGTGACCTGTTTTGCAGGAATTAGTTTCTGACAGAGCTCTATCACTTCAGAATTCTTCTGAAGCATTTCCCCAACCATCTTTTCTTAAACGAAATCCCTGAAGTACAGGGGGTCTGTAAATCTGAGTTGCTTAGATGGTTTGATGAGTTAAAAAGGAAAGACCATATGGAAGCCAATTCTACATTTACAAATGTAGAATTCACAGTCATGCTGTAGATCTTTTCAATAACATCAGATGCTTCCTTGTCTCTTCATGTTGATAGCAACGACTGTTGACAGCAACTACTGCACATACAGAAGGCATCTGGTCTCCCTCTTTTTTGATACATCTGCAGAAAAAGGGCAATTCCTACCAATGGGAAAAATACACAGTTCAGCTCTACTGCATGGAGAACACCATCCAGACCTTTTGTTTGGCTGACAAAACTGCACTGCTGACTGAAGCTGGGTGGTTTGCAAAATATGGTATAATTGAAAATAAACATTAATTCAGATATTAAATCAGCACATCATGGGTGACTAGGGTCAGTTACTCTCAGCCTAACCTACTTCACAGGGTTGTTGTGAGGATAAAATGGAGATGTGCGAGCTGCCTTGGGCTCCTCAAAATAAAAATTGAAGATGAATGCAATATAGTAATTATAATAAAAATTGCCATAAATCAGAGATGACTTGATGTCACTTAAGAGCAACGCCAAGAGTTTGATTTAACAAACTTTCCAAACCTAAGTCTGTTTTCAAAGCTAGTTTGTTTCAGTTGATGCATTAATAAAGTGGGCATTTCCTTTTAATTGCACCCCACTTAATAATTTTGCCTTGCTAGATACAACACGCTTGCCTACAGATTCCTAGTATATCCTGACCTCCACACTGGTTGAGGGTCAGAATGGATAAATAATTACAGCTCCCCAGTAAGAATTTGAGATGACCACCTATTCGACCTTTATCGTTTAAATGCAGCAGAGAGGGCAAATATCAGTTATTCCTTAAGGTTTCCCGTGGCCTGTAATAATCGGCCGCGCCACCCCACCAAGTCCCTTACTGCGGAAGAGCCGAGGCGCTTGCAATTGTCCTGCCCTGCATTTATGGGAGCTGAGGTGGGGTTGAAACGCGAGGGATTTGGAGCCACAAATCCCCCTCAGGCTTCAGCAGAAGTCACTGATGAAGTCTTTCCTTCAGCCTTCCTCCCAAGGCACACAGAGGCAAGACGCACTTTATTATTATTACATCACATTTATATCCCACCGTTTCTGCTTGCGGGGAGCCCAAGGCACTGTGCATCCCTCTCTACCCCATCCCATCCTCACAACAACCCTGTGAGGTAGGTTATGCTGGAAGTCACTGATTGGCCCAAAGTCACCCTGTGAGCTCCATGACTGAGCAGGGACTAGCACCCGGATCCCCCCACTTCCCAGCTCAGCGCCCCTAACCATTGCACCACACTACCGCCGCACTTTGAAATTTCTTCAGCATGATTTCATTGCAGATGTGCGGCCCAAGATGGAAACGCATGCACTTCTCGCTGCTTTGCCCGAGGAGGACACGCCGCCGCGCCGCCACAACCCGCTCGATGTCTCCAGCATCTCCCTTGATTTACGCGCTATCTTGTGTTCCTTCTTCAGGAGTCGACGACTTCGGTGTCCTCTACATGTTTAAGTCTACGATTCCCGTACTGCCTCGCCATTGGCTTGCTAGAGCACACGGTCTATGTCTTACGCAATAGGACGGAAAGGCCCCCAGGCCCGTTGTTGAGGCGGCTAATGGAGTGCCGGAAAGAAAATACCCGGCGTTCACGTACGTTTGGGGGTTGAAGAGAAGCCGGCGAGCGGCGGAGGCAAAGGCAGGGGCGGAGAAGGGGTGTTTCTGCGAAGGAACGGAGGAGCGGTCGCCAGGGGGGCTCTCGCGGGAGGCGTGCTCCGTTCCCATAGCAACGGCGGCCTTCAGGACGCACGAAGGCCGAGGTAAACAGCGCCGCCGCGCTTGCGCCTCCTACCTGGCTTGGGGCCAGGGCACCTGCGGGACGCCGCCTCCAGCCGCACCGGCCCGGCCCTGCGTTCCACTTCTTAGCCTTCCCCCGAGTCCCTCCTCCGAGGGAGGCCCGGCTGGTGGCTCCCAGGAACGGGCTCCTCGGTGGTAGTCCCCAAATTCTGGAACGGTCTCCCCGCCCGCGCGCGCTGGCTTGCCCTCCTCGGCGTCAGGTCACGGCCGCCGCCTCTGCTCGGGCATTTGAGTCCTCCGACGAGCACGTGGGGCGGCGGCGGCGGCTGTTTTTTGTTTTTTTACGCAGGGCCAGCAGTTTGGTCTGGTTTTAATTGGCGAGTCTTTAAAATCTGGTTTTACAATTTTAATTTAACGCTATCGTGTTTTATTGTTGTTCGATGTTTAGTACTGGGCTGCATTTATAGCGCCCTCTGTTGGATGCTACAGGAACGGAATTATAATAATAATATGTAGGTGGCGAGTCCAGCAATCTCTGCATTGAAGGCTTCCCTCTGGACAGTATGTCATACTGGTCCCTGTAGATTATATCTTTTCTCTGGGATTAAGTCTCTAGTCTTCGCAGAGAAGTAGTTGGGGAACTCAGTTCTCATTGGTGCTAGAGGATAAGGGTTGTTTTCCTCGTGGGGAAGGGGGAATCTACAGGAAAAGGTAGACATGTAATGCAGTTGAGATTCTTGGCCTTCTTTCTTTCTTTTTTTTTTCTTAAAAAGGGCACTTGCGTGCATAGAGACTTTCAGCAGACCTTTCATTCCTTCAGTAAAGGTTATTAGAGGTGAGACAATGTTGAGATGGGAATATGGATGCTTTTGAGTTTTTAATCAAGAACAATTGAAAAATACTAATCAAAAGGCGAATTAATGTGTCTAAAGCATGGGTCCTCAAACTATGGCCCACAGGACGGATCCGACCCGCCATGCCCATTTAACCGGCCTGCCCCAGAGGTTTTGCACTTGCCGCATCATTTTGGACTCGCTCGGAGAAAACGATCTCTGCTCAAGCAAGCCACTGCCTTGCCCCGCGCCTCCCCCCGCCCCCTCCCCCCCCTCTGTGCCCCCCCCCCCCCACTGGCCTGTGCCCCCCCCCACTGGCACTGCTTTGGTGGCCCACGTCCACCGCCGGCACCTTTCAGCTGGCCCCCTCTTGAAAAAGTTTGAGGACCCCTGGTCTAAAGGATGTGAAGCTGATATATGCAGATCGTTGTTTCAAGGCTATATCTTTAACCTTGCAGTTATGCTATCTTTGAAGAATTGGGCTGCATCTTGTATTAGAGTATGAAAGGCAATAGATTTTAAAACTCAAAATCAAATGAAGTCAAATACACTTTTTCCTTCAGTCTTTCCTTTTTCCTCCCATTGCTTTTACAAACCGGCTGGCAATGCATTAAAGAAAGCCCTGTATATTGTGATATTCCTGCATCTCTATTACCACCAGATCGAACAGTGCTGTTCAGTAGGTGCAGAAGCAATTTGTGATCTTCCTATGGGAGAAGCAACCCCAAATGGACAGCATAGACATGGTGACTCAGTGATGTCCTCTATAATCTGGGCTAACCGCTACAGGTGAAACTTGAGGGAACACTTTAGTCTTTGATGGAATATAGAAAGCCTAGTTAATACGCTGCATTATCTTGCAAACAAGTCCACAAAAATAAGTAGCCTGCACATTTGCAAGCCAGCCTTTTCATATGCTATATTTTCCTACAAGCAAAAGAGAAACTACGTAGAGCTCCTTTTCTCCATCACAGGGATAGACAAGCTTGCACTGCAGACATTGATGTGGGTAAACAGGTATGTGTATGCTGCGCTTTGTGCTCTTTTCCTCAAGCTGGCACTCCTTCCTAGTTATGGAGACTGAAATAGGACTGTGTTATTGGATACAATCCTATAGGCTGCTTCTAGATGGCCCCTACTGCTATGTAACACCAGGCAAAAGGCATTGTGCAGTGATCTGTCTTTTCCTTGAAAGATTCCCTGCACAATTTCATGAGTGATACAGAGCAATCGGGCAATAATAGCCTCATCTGGCCAATAATGGCCAACAGTCTGTCCATGTGAGTTATATATCCTTTCTAGGTAGGTTGCTGCTGCTGCTGCTGAAAATCTGAGTCAATGAGCAAACCACCCAAGATCAATTATTCAGCATGTCTGCAAACAAGGAACAAATTCCAGTGTTGCCATCTACTTCAAAACAAGAGATCAGAAAACCAAAAGATACATCTATAGTACCTGCTGGCAAGGGTAATAAAGGTAAATCTCACTGGATTGTCTGATGCTGTAAAGCTATTGCCAGATTGAAGCTATTGGGTTTTACTGATTGCCCTGTCCTCAGTGTTTGAAATCTTCATAGTACTGCTCAACAACTGTAGGACACTTTGTGCTTCAGTGTCATTTGAACACATTTGTGGCACAATGAGATGTGCAGGTGTTGACACCAAAATGTATGGGAAGAAACGATTCCCCCAGGTATGCTGCTAAGGGCCAGGGTTGCTCAAATCTAGTGGACAAATCTGAAATTTTTGCGTCTGTTGTTCCTCATTGCCCTGTGGCCTCATTCTTTCCCCTCCCATACCTAGGCTTCATTCAATGCACTCTTCTAGAAAAGAGTTCAGATATTTTTGCTCGTCATTTATAGAAGCACCTTTCCAATAATGAAAATACGGGAGGCAAAAGTTTCCACTGGGCCTCTCTAGATAAGCACAGGCATCTTGGCTTTGCCTTGCTGTGCTGAACTTGTACTCTCACTACCACTGGCATAAAACCCTGTTCCATGTAATGGATTTCTGGGCAGGGGCCAACCTGTGGTAGAGAAGATGCCTGTCCTGGCAAAGGGCAAGTTCCTGGGGAAGCATTGCTCAGTCGGCCCCCTTGCCACCTGGGCAGCCACAGTCTGCACTGCACTGACACTTGCACTTGGCTGTGGTCCCTGGTGGGGAGAGCAAATCCTTTCACAAAGGTTTGGCAGGGATTATAACAGCTGAACACAGTCATGAAAAGCAGGTATCTCGTGCTATCATAACACTGGCAATTACAGGCTGTGCTTCTTTCCTACTTTTGTCTAGAACTTCCTGAGTTGAGAGGCAGGCCAGGTGTGGTAAACCATTCAAACCCTCTTTCCACATCCTTACAACGTGATTTCATCCCAGAAGAAATCTTCGTTGCTCTGACCTCTGCTGCCAAACCTGTCCCATGCCCTGCTTTTTTAAGACCTCCCAGGAAGAAAAGTACAAAAGACTTCCAGGTATGTGCCTTGATTTCTCCTAGATTAATCTGTACTTTTTCAGTATAAAGTCTGTTAACTGAAGCCTCCTGTTGACTGAATTATGGGTCGGCAACCCGTGGCTCCAGAGCCACACGTGGCTCTTGAACCCCTCTGCTGCGGCTCCGTCGCTCAAAACACATGCCGGCACAGCCGCCAATCTGTGACCAAGGCTCCACTCAGGAACGCAGTGCCAGCTGGTTAAGTAAAGTGCTGCATACCTCTGCTATTGTGCAGGGAAAGAGTGGAACAAGCTTCCTGCAGGCTCTCATGTTACAGGAAAGAAATGTTGCTGTAAGGATTCTCTTTGTCCCAATGTAATCTCCTTCCTCTGAATGTTAAAAGCTGCGCTTGGGACCTGTCACAATTCACAGCACTTGACTGTTTATCTGCTAATCAGTCACTAAACACACCTATATCTGCGACTTCCCCCAGTTGGCCAACCATGGATAAATCGAAGAAAAGAAAAGTTTCTGAAGAAAATCAAACATTTAATGGTACGTGGGTAGATTCATTTGCTTTTACTGCTGACGAACTTATGGGGTTTGCTGTTTAATGCATGCAGCCCTTTAGCACTGACTGACTCTGCGGGAAGCTGTTCTCCTATTCAAAACATATGAAAGGAGTCCTACTAGTTTATAACGTAAGATTAAAAATAACGGTTTTTAGCGACTGAACAAGAGCTGCAGCTAAATCATAATGAAGATATACATAGCATTAAGGTGAAAAACGATACATGCAGTGCTATCCTCATTTTAGATGTCAGAAGGGTTTTGCGGCTCCCGGTGTTTTCTTTTGTGTGGGAAACGGGTCCAAATGGCTCTTTGAGTGTCAAAGGTTGCCGACCCCTGGCCTTTGCACAAGGAACAAAGTTAGGTGAGGAATGGAAACGTGAGGACCTCATCCATCAGGTTTGTGGGGAAAACGGTGGTGCCTTCGTGGAGGAGGAGGTGGCGGGCGGGAGGAGAGATGCTTCAACAGGAGGCGACCATGAGCAGGGAGCCGCGTCGCACTGGGTACTCCTCCTGGGAGGGTCTTTGTCTGTGGGGGGGATTATGGCCATATCTTATTATTGATATTAGTCATTGTATTATGTATTGTGTTATATATTGACATTATGTATTGTATTGTGTATTACATTGTTGTATTAAGGTTTGTTTGATTTTGTATTGCTTATAGTTAAATATTAGAAACATAGAAACAGAGCGAGTCAGAAGGGGTCTCCTGGGCCATCTAGTCTGACCTCCGGCACCGGCTGGCTCCGCTCACGACATGCCCACCATGTGCATGTCCACCCTATCTTTGAACAGCCGCACCGATGGGGCTTCAGCCACCTCCCGTGGAAGCCCATTCCACACCTTCGGGGTCCTGACTGTCAAGAAGTGCTTCCTGGCATCCAAGTTGAACCTTGGTTCCCTGAGCTTTGCTCTGTTGGAACGTATCCTGCCCTCCTCTGCAGGGGAGAACAGGTCTCTACCCACCTCCGTGTGACATCCCCTCACATACCTGTATGTTGCCAACATACCTCCTCTGAGTCTTCTCTTCTCCAGGCTGAAGAGACCCAGTTCCCTCAGTCTCGCCTCATTCCCCATCCCCTGCAAACCAGCCACCAACCTTGTGGCCCTTGGCTGCACTTGCTCTAACCTGGCTATATCCTTTCTGTAATGAGGGGCCCAAAACTGAGCACAATATTCCAGTTGCGGGCCCACCAGAGTCATATAGAATGGTAGTAATACCTCTCTTGATCTAGAAGCCATACTTCTGGTTATGCAACCAAGGGTGGTGTTCGCCCTCTTGAGCACCACAATTGTATATTGTATTGCTTAATTGTATCACTCTAAGGTATTACTGTATTTTTATGGGATATGTACTTTTTTGTTGTTGTTGTTCTGTTCTAAGCTTCCTAGAGGGCCCTGTGGGCTATGGGGCGGCATAAAATTGTAAATGAAATGAAATTAGGATCTGAGGTTATGTGAAAACTGTCAGATGCAAGAAACCCCAGGAAGGAGGACAGGGCAAATGGCTAAGAAAATACTGAACATGAAGTTGTTAGAGGCCCACGTTACAGCAGACTTGCTGAAGCTGAGTGAGACTGAGTCTCATTAGCCGTACCGGAATGGGAGACCAGTTTGGAACTCTGCTTGCTGCCTTGTGCTACTGGTGAAAAAGTGGTATATACCTGTAATAAATAATTGGGAGGAGTTCTTAAGTCCGCATTATTTGGGAATGCAGGGACATCAGGGAGCTTCCAAGCGCAGGAACTGCACGCTCTTGAACGAGAGACGCATGCAGCTATAACATCTTGTGTGCAGAAGATCCAGATTTTGTTCCCTGCGTTCCCCAGTTAAGAATCTAGGGAACAACAGATTCAAGAAGCCTTCCCATCAGACCCTCCTTCAGTTAACAGATTAGCCTTCTTCAGATGTCGCTGACTGCAGGTTGCTGGGAATTCTAGTCCAGCACATCTGGATGGTACTAGCTGAGGAAAGCTGCTGTAGATAGGCCAAAGGACCAGCAGCTTCAGATGTTCATCTGGATGCTTAATTTCTGAGTTTGTCAATAATAAGAACTAACTCAGACTGGGATTCAGATAGCTAGAAGGGATGGGGGGGAAGCCAAATAACTATGTTGGTTTCTTCTCAATTTCACACACTTGAGGAGCCAGTTAATTCGAGCTGGAATCTCCCTGAGGCAAGGCTTCCTTTGAGCCTCTCTATTTGCATGCACTGAGTATGTGGCAGGTTTGTTTATTTATTTATTTAAACATTTCTATGCTGCCCCCATCGCAACAAAGCCTCGGGGCGGCTCACAATAGATTTAAAAAAAACATTTAACCCCCCCCCCCCCCCCGTGAAGAACAGTTTTTCCAAGTGCAGGTGGCAATCTGAAGGGAGGATCACTGTCTCAAGTTGCCACCTCTCTCCCTGCTTTGACATTTCGTCAGCAGGTATAACCATTTTTTATTGTTTCAAAATCGGTTTCAGCAAAAGTCATACAGGTACATCCTGGGAAAGGAAGAACACTTTTCAGAATGCATCTTTTCTAAACTATTTTCTGTCTAGATTCAGACATACAAGTTCTAACCAAATGCCTTACAGCCTAGCTATTGCTTATCTACACTGTTCAATATAACCAAACAATATTTATCAGAATTGTAGTTATTACCTGCTCTTCCTCCATGGAGTGTATACCCTTAATGTTTTCTTAGAACTGTGGCTATCTCCCAGACAATTGCCATGAGAGGGGCTATATTATAATCAATCATTTATCTTCTCTTTCTTTGTTTATAAAAATCGTGTATGTGCAACTGCAGCCTGCAGTTTTCATCCTTGCTTTAATGAAACTTCTTTTTTCCCTTCATTTTCTTAGTGCATTTATAACATATTTATCTTTCCTATTAATAATAAAATTAACTCTTATTTACAGGGACTTTTGCAGTCAGAACATGACCTTTGTATGCCATGAACTGCTTCCCTTAGCACCCAACTGTGCTTTACAAACATGTACATATCTCAGTATAATGGAAACCTGACAGCTGCTGCTTCTCCCAAAAAGAAGTGACTTTTCACTTTTGGCAGGTAGGGAAAGGTCATGAACCCTCTTGCCCGGCCTGCTGCATCTCCACGCTCCATCTCTCTCTCTGAAGTGGCTTTTCCTTCAAAGAAACAACTGCCAGGATTTCATTATGCCCCTTCGCCTGCCACATACACTCAGGCCATCTGCAGCAGGGACTTGGTTTTGCAGAGGCCCTCTTGAATAACAGGTTTTCCTTGTTTATCACCTGACCCTTGAGAGCCTTTCGGCGTGGACTGAACTTTTCCACTTACTTTTTAGGGTTGCATCCGTACTGCTGATGGAGTCTGGCAACATCCTGTCCGCAGAAACAAGTTCCGATACTTGATTGAGCACCCCATCTGCCTGACAGGAGCTGGAAGGTACCAGTATGGAAATAATAGAGCCTGCAGTTAAGAAGGTACTGGGACCGGTATCTCATACCTCCTTACAGGAGCTAGTTGTTTTCTTAGGATTGGGGGAGCCCCCTGTGAGAGTGAAGAAGAACGCCCAGCAAACATGTATTCAGCATCATCTCTGTATAAGGTGCTCAACCTGCCACAAGGATGAGGTGATATGTTTGGACAGGAACAGGCGTGCTTGTGTGCTTCCCTGTGCCCTAGTATTATGCAGCAGTCAAAGGCCCACCAAGGTGCTCTTCCTTCCCCACTTTGAATAAACTTTAACTCATTTTCCTGCAGGCAGCAGGGATTGCTGTGAGATAGGTTGCTGTTAAAAGAGACATACTGTGTATAGGAGCTCAGACCCCACCTCTGCCTTTATTTCATATTTTGGGCAAGCTTCATATCTTCTTCCACGCCCCTCACGGTAGCCATTTTGTAGCAGTGCCCAGGACTGTCTCCCAAATATGCAGATGTGGCCAAGGCCCAGAAAGGTGCCCTGCCTCTGTCCTAGAGCGGTCTTGCACAACCTGTTACCCTCCAGATGTTTTGGGGTACATTTCCCAGTACTGCTCCCATTAACCATGCTGACTGGGGCTGTGAGAAGGTGTAGTCTGAAACCTGGGGGGTTCCAGGTCTGAAGAAGGCTGGCGTATGGGATTGCAGCCTTAATACGTGGCCCAGACTAAGAACGAGGTATCAGACCGAGCATGTAGCACACACCTGGCCCAGTGCTCCTCACCAGCATTGTGCTCCCGTTCTTCCTCTTGCACAGAGCTCAGGGCAGCGTTCCAATCCATAAAGCATTAGCTGCTTCTTGGGATGGTTGCGATGAAGATCTTTTCTTGCCTGTCTTTCTCAAGCTGCCTTGCTCCTCAGAGGCACACCGCCCCAAAACACGGGGTGGGGTGTGCTGGGCACGTACTGCAACACACAACAGCGTAGTCCTTTTCCCTTACTTAGATTTGGCTTGTGGCACACTTGGCGAAAAGGATGGCCATCGCTGTCCTTGGAACGCGAACTGTTTAGAACGGACTCCCCCGTTATGCACGGCTCCATTTGTGCAGTACTCATCCCGTCCTTCAGCCTGCCCAGCTCTCCTCCTCCGTGATTTATGGAACACTAGCAGAACGCAAAGGACTGCAGTGCCTGTGTTGATCAGCTGAGGGGAGGAAGGCTGAGGAGAGAATGCACGTCAAGCAGCTGGTGGGGCCATGGACAGATAGATGATAAGAAGGGGCAGATGGAAGCGCGAATGATTCTCTGGACAGTCCACCAAGGCTCTTTGGACAGGGTGCCGCTTGGAATTCGTGTCAGGCAGCACAGCGCCTTTGGATGTCATTGGCAATAGGGGACAGTATGAAACAGCAACAGATAAAATGCCCAGGCAGGACACGATGGCTGTAGCTGCAAACAAGAGTCGTGCGTCAAAGAACTAATGCATAAACTAGCCAGTACTGGGCAGTGCTGAAAGGACGCCAGGTTTTGGAACTCCAGCCGGGCATGCAAGACTTGCTTCCAGGTTAAAGGGGGCAGCAGCGCAATGGGAGGATGTATTTATTGCATTCCCGGTCTCTTGCCTCCCACTCGCTAAAGCGGTCTTGGGGTTTACAGAAATAAAGCCATGACTGTAAAAACACAGTGGAGCATAGTATATAAATTGAACGACGACAGGAAAAAAAACCCCAAAATGAAAACCAAAGCAAAAAAAGCAAAGCGTGCAAACCCCTTGCCCGCACCTTCCCAACTGAGTGATCTTTTCCTTTCTGCTCATTAAGGGATGTATCTTTTCTTTATGATGTCGCTGCTGTAAAAGAGGCAAAGAACCCTCCCCCAACGCCTGTACCTCATAAGACCTCAAAAGACTCGGAGCAGGACCCTGATGCAGCTAAACTAGTGAGTTGAGTTTGCCTCCCTGGCAGGGCACTGGTGTCAGTAGGCACAGGAGCAAGCTGTTGCCAATTCTCTCCCAAGTGTTGAGAGACAAGATGGCGCTTGAGTCGAGACCTGAGCGCATGCTGAGGATTGCAGCGAGGCAAAAAGGCCCCCACCCTTTAAACTTGAATGAGCAAGGAAGATTGGCAAGAAGGACTTTATGTTCCTCCCTTTTGTACAACACAGCTGTTTTCTGCAGTGATCCACGTTCTCTCTGTGCAGATGTAGTGCCTTATCACAGTTTGACGCATGATTCCATGGTATATCTGAATATCTAAGCAGTGGCTCAGCATTGGCTGCAGGGAGGCTGGGGAGGCGGGGAAACCACTGTAACTGGGGCCTGCTTGGTGCAGACAATAAAGTGAGCATGTGGACCATGGCATATGTCAACAGAGGTTAATTTTTAATCTGCACTGAGGAGTAGCTTATAGGTAAGGCAATTCCCTGCTTTTCCAGCTTTGTTCCATGGAAAGAGGCAGGCAAGCAAGCCTTGGCATCTCCCTGTCCTTGCTTTCAGGGGGCACTGCTCTGGAAGTGGTGCAGTGATCTTAACTGTCTGTTTGGAGAATATAAACTCGTGCTTAAGGAATGGGAGCAAGCAAAATTTTAGATGGCCTGTGTTTGTGTCAAAACCCAAACTCAAATACGATCCTTGGGAAAATGTGGATTCTTTATGTTTGTCTCATGCTAGCTTCTTTTAAAACTTGAAATCAGAGAACAGAAATCTCTGTTCTCTTTTTAGCCGGCAAGTGTAGCAGACAGTCTTGTTCCCGAGGAATTTCACATTGTGAAAAATCGAGCTGTCCTGGGCTTGGAATATTATGATGAGTGAGTATGATTGGGCTGCCCTAAATTGTTAATCTGCAGTGCTGCGTCTGCAGCCGGGGGCTTCCCAGAATCAACTGGGAGGCGGTAGGGTATGCTGGACTCCCAGTGCTGAGAGCCTGCATTCCCAGAGCTGGGTGCTGAAGACTGAGGCTCTGTCCTGCTGCAACATCCCATGGTCATGGGGATGCTCTCCCAGGAGCCGCAGGACTGCTTTCATACTCAGCCCTATTACTGTTGGCATTCCCTGATGTTTTGGATCCCATTGTAGCTGAGAGTGTCTTGTAAATTTAATTAAACAGTAGCCTTTAATAGAATTGCTCACATCTGCCAGTCTGATGGGCTTTTTAAATTCCCAGTTTCAGAAACATAGAAACAGAGCGAGTCAGAAAGGGTCTTCCAGGCCATCTAGTCTGACCCCTGGCTCCAGCCGGTTCCGCTCACGACATGCCCACCATGTGCATGTCCAGCCTATCCTTGAACACCTGCACCGATGGGGCCTCAACCACCTCCCGTGGAAGCCCATTCCACACCCTCGGGGTCCTGACTGTCAGGAAGTGCTTCCTGGCATCCAAATGGAACCTTGGCTCCCTGAGCTTTGCTCCATTGGAGTGCGTCCTGCCCTCCTCTGCAGGGAAGAACAGGTCTCTCACCTCCGTGTGACATCCCCTCACATACCTGCATGTTGCCAACAGATCCCCTCTGAGTCTCCTCTTCTCCAGGCTGAAGAGACCCAGCTCCCTCAGTCTCGCCTCATACCCCATCCCCTGCAAACCAGCCACCAACCTTGTGGCCCTACGCTGCACTGACTCCAACCTGGCCACATCCTTTCTGTAATGAGGGGCCCAGAACTGAGCACAATACTCCAGTTGTGGGCACACCAGAGTCGTGTAGAGTAGTAGTAGGCTATGCGAAAGGACGGCATACAAATACTATACATACATACATACATACATACCTCTCTCGATCTAGATTTAAATAATTTAAAAATGGGTTGTTGAATTCTTCAGACCAAATCCAGTTTAATTATTTTGGATCTTTTGCAGTAAATATACAACCTTACTTGAAGATGAGCAGAACAGACTGCGAGTTTTCCCATCCATGTGAGTAGCACTGCGTCAAAGTATTCTTGTGTTAAATGTTATAGAAGCTGGTCACCTGTTCCTTCTGCTGTCTGTTCTGCCCAATTAGGAAGCCATCTGGGAGGCTTGAGGTCCTTCAGCTGATGAAGGTGATGGACAGCATGCTAGAAAGGGCAGGAGTAGATAATGAGGAAGTTGGAGTATCAGGGCTGTCCCAGGTAATGCTTCCTAATTCTAATACAGTTTCATTACTTCTGACATTGGAAATTTTAGTTAAGTCAACAAGTTTTCTGTGGGCAGTTTGCCGTATTGGTTGAAAATTAACAGTTGACAGCAGAACATGCATGTCTCTAAAAATACCGTGCCAATAAATTTACCCACAAAGGCTCTGCAAAGACCTCCGTAACTTATAATTCACCTAGTTGTGCGTGTTCGGGCTGCAGGACCACTAACCCTCCTCCCTGGCTGTATTCACACACACACTAAGCAGCGCTGCATGGTTACTGCATGGATGGTCTCTCACCTTGCGTCCTGGGTTCACACGTTTGCATGGTTTCCATGCATCTCCTTCTTCCCTCCAAATGATGGGACATATCCCGCCCCACGTAGCTCCTACAGCTGAGAATCAGTCCCAGTCTGCACTGCTCCTCCCTGCCTCTCCCTCCTCGTGCGTGCGCCTGCCTGGGCGTGGCTTCAGCCAGCTGCCTTTTTCTGTCTCTCTCTTGCAGCTCAGCAGAGCAACTGCCTACTCGCTAGAGTAACTGGGCTTCTCAGGGCGGTTGCCCAGATGGCAAAGTCCGCAGGCTCACTGTTCTTGCCATTTTTTCTGTAGCCCCAGCAGCATAGGAAGCACTTTAAAATAGCATCATAATCAGGGAAAGAACGGCTGTGCTCCACAAAACTTGCTCTATAATTTCTGATTGGTGGAAGAACAGGTGCTATTGATATGCAGGAAGACAGTATGTTTATCTGGTCCTTGCTGTGTTAATTACTTCTCTTTTGGTTCCACTTCCCACATTTTATGCTTTGAAAGGCTCTCCCTAAATCGGCAGAAAGTAAAGCACTGTCGGAGGTTTGCTGGCTGGGTCAAGAATTTCCTTTCTTCAATGTAACATTTTGAATGACTGTCCCAAAATCCATTGCAGAAAGGGCGGGAGCATCAGGCATCCGCTCCCAGGGCTTTACTCCAAGTTGGAATATCCATTTTAATATCAGAGCTGGCACAAGTTCTGTTTAATTTTTTTCAGAAGTATGACTGGAGCTCTTTCAAGAACCCAGAACCATTGTGGGTGAAGTAAGACCTTTGCTACCTAGTTTTGCAAAGATCTTAACTTGTTTTTGCATCTTTTCCAAGATGCACAATGTACTAGAGGTGTTGAAGGTGGAACAGAACATCTACAATATAGTGTTTCATGAGATCATCCGGCAAGTCAGCGTGGATTGTGCAGAACGAGGAGAACTGCTTTCCAAGCTCAGGTCAGGAATGTAAACAGCCCAACTACTCAACCATATTCACTTCAGCAAGCATCCAATATGAATACATCTGCTGTTATTTTGGGAGGCATGACAAGGCTGAATGCCTGCAAGTGGCATAGATACATTGCCAGAGAACTATGGCATAATACAGCTTTTGGTGGAATCCGACGCTGTGGCTTACACAATAGCCACATAATCTAGCTCCATCTTTTGTGAGAGGAACATCTATGAAAATAATGGGTGGGAATTGCTTCAGAACCGGGGATTCTCAAGTATTATCTGTCCAGCACTTGCTCTATTTCTTTGCTGGCCCCGGTTGCTGGATGCTCTGTGCATTTCAAGCCAGTTTGACTTCATTTTGCTGGATGCTCTGCATTTCAAGCCAGTTTGACTTCATTTTGCTGGATGCTCTGTGCATTTCAAGCCAGTTTGACTTCATTTTGCTGGATGCTCTGTGCATTTCAAGCCAGTTTGACTTCATTTTGTGAGCTGAAGCTAAGAGTTCAGTTAATATCTAGACTCACCACAGCAAGGGAAGTCCTAAGCTGCTGGTGTTGAAGGCATGTCAGAAACGAGTTGTCAGAATGGATGTTCCCTTTAAATGGTCTTTCCCTTCAAAGGGTTCTTCTCATATCCTCTCCTCTCTCTTACAGACAAAGATACGTGGAGTTGCTGGAACGGATTCCCAGACAGATGAGGACTCTCTACAAAGAAATGATGGCCCAGAGAGTAATGGACAAGCACATCACTGATGAGTTATTCTATTTCAAGGAAGCCATAGGACAGCTGACAAGGTCTGCGTTGTGACTTGCGCTTCCGTTTCACTTTGTGCATCAAGCTCTGATCGCACAAGGCAAAGGAGGGTCTTGCTGTGCTCTGCTGCAGGGAGCTGAATACTATCCGAGAACATGACCGCAGAGCAACTGTCGAAGCAGAAAAAGCTTATGAGGAGCTGGAAAAGGCAGTGCGTGATTCGGAGATGAACGCAAAGTGAGCACTAGTTTAGGCGAGAGGAAAAAATAGTCAGGTGGTATTATGTGTGGGCGAGAGAACAGCCACCCCTCACTCCCAGCCCACTTTGTGAAGCAGCATCATGAAATTACGTAGATTTTGTCCAATTAGGTTGGGGTTGGACTTCATGACTTTGGAGGTCCCGGTGCAGAGAATTATCAGAGGATGATCTTAACTAGCAAGGCTTCATTTCCAGTGATTATAAGATCTAAGGTGGGCTTGGGTGACACTACAGTCTGCACGCAGAGCAAGCGATGCCGTGCAGCTCCCGAGTTGCCCTGCTCAAAATGTGCCTGCTGAATGCATGCACACACTAACTGCTGGCCCCTCAGCGGAGCAGTGCCCTCACTGATACTTCATGCCTTCCTTCTCTAGCCTCTTGGATGAATATCGTGAGCTGTACGAACTGCAGCGAGCGAGGCTTGAGGGTCAGATTCATCAGCTAACGCAAGAAAAAGAGCTGTGGAGCAATACTGCGTACGATTTGGCCTACAAGGTAGTTGCTGCAACGGGCAGGGAAGGCTTTTGCACCTGATAAGACGCTTTCCCCTTAAAGTCTGCTGCTTCTGCCGGCAGATGCTTGAGAGCCTTTTGATTATTTTCATTGCTGCCTTGTTTGTTAATGCCTCTTTAATCAGCAGGTTTTAATGCATAAAGTTAGTTACAAATAACTTCTTTATCCTCAGAACTACTTGGGAATAATTTGTGAACTTGCTCCCATTTCACACATGGGAGGGAACCAAGATGTTCGCATAATTTACTTGGGATTCAATTTATGAATGGTATAAATGTGGAGAAGAAAAAGCACAAAGCTACAAAGTGCAGAGCAGTTACTAGCCCACCCTGAAATGTCCATAGCGTTCCTGCTGACAGCCGCCAATCACGACGAGCCGTGTCATTGGTGCCCCCATGTCATCCTGTTGTGGAGGAAACCAGTCTGCACCTGGGGATGGCGAAATGTCTCCGCAACATCAGTCAGGCCGTTGCACTGCATTTGGATCTTTGCCGTGCATTATAAGTGGGTCTGCCCTGGAAAATGGCCTGGAAAGCTAAGCTGGTCCGTAAGAAGGCAGCAGCATCGTTAAGCAGGGAATGACCAATTCCATCTGGCTCTGAAGTACTCTGTGATCTGCTCTGCCTGCCAGTCCGCCTTTGTACAGCATTCATTGGGGCCAAGTTACCTGAAAGATCCTCAGCCTGCCAATGAATTGGCTCAAATGCAAAGATCATCTCCTAGGGGGCTTCACCGAAGGAAGTGAGGAGGGTGCTGCTAAAAAGAGGGCCTTTTCAGGAGTGGCACCCCAGTGGTGGAATGCCCTCCTCTGAGAGGCTGCTTTGGTGCATATGGTGTCCTTTTTAGTACCAGGTAAACTGCTCTTTAGAAGGCCAGATGCTGAAGATGAAACTCAAATACTTTGGCCACCTAATAAGAAGAAAGGACTCCCTGGAGAAGAGGCTAATGCTGGGAACAATAGAGGGCAAAAGAAGAAGGGGACGGCAGAGGATGAGGTGGCTGGATGGAGTCACTGAAGCAGTTGGTGTGCGCTTCAGTGGACTCTGGGGGATGGTGGAGGACAGGAAAACCTGGAGGAATGTTGCCCATGGGGTCGCGATGGGTCGGACACGACTTTGCGACTAACAACAACAAAGGCTGTTTTGTTTTCTTTGTTCTTTTTGACCATCGGTTTTTAAAACTCTGCCAGTATGTTTGTAGATCTGTGCTCTGCCACTATCTCTTACTCTGGTTTGTGGTTTTTGTCACATTTTAATATTGTATTTTATGCTGGGGTTGTAAACTGCACAGAGAGCTGTTAGAAATTGTATATGAAAATAAGCTCTCTTGATTATGATTATTATATTTCTCTACTGCCCAATAATAGCTAAGCTATTATTGCCATGAAAACAAACATAGTTCTTTTGAAACCAGGTTGGCCCATATAACCGTAAGGCACACTTTCACCAATACTTAAAATTCTCCAGGTGGCAGCATGTTTGGCATATTTGCAGCATAAGATTACACCTAAACTGAATTTCACACTAGTACAAAATTGAAGTTACTGTTTTCCTATTGCCCATCGTTTGATTCTCTTCGGGTGCGCTTTCCTGGCTGGTGTAATTTCTAAGACACCCCTGCTCCGTACTGTAACCTTGAGTGCCAAGCTAGGCTACGCCAAGTGAGGAGGACCCTGGCACCTGTCCCCGTGTCTTTGTGTGGTGCCAGCAGGGGCTGTCTTAGCTAAGGCATTCCTCCGTCTTTCCAGAGGGAATGGATTTTTTAAAAGAAGGAACCTCCTGCCCACTGGTTTCAGCAGGTACCATTTTAGAAGAGGTCATGTATGAGAAGGAAGATTGCCTTTTGCAAAGAGGCCAGCCCGTGCTGCTAAATGCTTAAAAACAAAAGCTGTCCCAGTCCATTGAGAGGTGTGTTTCAAAGCTGATTAAAAGTTTTTAATTCAGATAATCTCACTGATTAATTATCTAAACACTGCAGTCCTACTTCATTTCTTTGCTGTGAAGGGGATGGCATAAAAATGCTTTAAATAAATAAAAATAAATAAATTTCATTGTGGTCCTGTGAGACTTGACATGCCTCATGAACAAAACTATATGTTTGGGCTGCGTGTTTCTTAATTGTTTCTTAAATGTCCTCTCCATCTGTCCGTCCGTCCATCCATCCATCCATCTTGTGAATCTCTCTGTGGCCTTTCCCTTCCATTCCCTTCAATCTTCCTTGAATCTTCTGTCCTTCCTTCCTTCCTTCCTTCTTCAGGTGATTGGAAAGAACAAGCTGATCTTGGCTCGCAGAATGTATGACAGCGAAAAGGGCTGGATTAAAGTCATTAGGCACTTCATAATGCTAGTGGCATCACAGGTAGGACTTACTGGAGGATGCTTGATTAGGATAACAGGAGAATGTGACATAAGCTGAGATGGACAAGCCATTTTGATTGTTCCAGGGAGGCTGAGTGTGTTTGTAGACGTGGCTCTTACTGCGTGCTTGTCATTTTCACTCGCAGCAGTTTGAGAATGCCTTGGGTGTGGCTGTAATCTTCCAGGTCTTCTCCCTTGTTTCTCAGTCATCACTGCAGGGCTTTTCCACTGCATTTTGGGGAATGGTGGAATGAAACGCGCGCATGGTTGAGCAATTCTGCCAGATGACCTAGAGCTGTTCCGTGTTGCTGTTCGGTCCTGTCAAGTAATCTCTGACTTATAGCGGCCTTCTGAGGAATGTCCTCCAAAATGTCCTGTCCTTGAGCACCCTGCTCAGCTCTTGTACACTCAGTGCTCTCAGGGAATTCCAGTGTGAGCATCCCAGTGTACAGCTCTCTAGTCCTATTCCTACAGTGAAATCTGGAAGTACAAGCAGTGGTCAGAGGGTGGGCTGAAACTTTGCCTAGAAGTGTTTGGAGTGTATGAAATGTTTATAGTTTCTTAGCAAAGCATTTGTCCTGTATCTGCTATCACTTTGCTAGTACAGAGGTGTGAGATGTGTATTATTTATTTATCATTATCATCAGGGTATACTTTAAAGAAGGAGAAAAGCATGTTTGGCTCTTCTGGAGCTTTCACAGCAGGGAAGCCTTGATTGGCAGGGTGCCAAAGGAGCAGTCCGTTTTGGGCCCTGCACTTTCTGCTGTTTAAAACAACATACCAGCGCCCCAGGCTAGCCAGCTGGGGACGTGCACCGTGGGATTGTACAGAATGCAATTTACACAGCAGTTCAGCTGTGCACTGTAAGGAGGCTTTTCTGTGACATCGATCTTTATGCCATAAACCTGTAACCTGCGTGTGGTTTCCCCTCCCTGCACGTGTCTCCTGTGACGCCTCCAGGACGCCCTTGATCTTTCCACTCTGCAGCAGCTGACGCAGGAGTTCCGGGAGCTCTTGAGCCAGATTGGCACGGAGGTGGGGCAAGCTGAGGCAATGAGTCGGGAGAGGGCCGGACGTATTCAGGACGGTTTGACTGGCTGGCTCAATTACTTCTACAATCATGTTCTGTGAGTGTGTATCATCGGGTGGGTGCATGAGGAAAGCTGGCAGGCTCAGGGTGCACCTGATCTGAACTACATCATCCCTGGCAGGTGAAGATGAAAAATTTGCTGTTGCCCAAATGGAGACAGGGTGGAAATAGGCCATGGCCCTGATAACCAAAGAGGCCCAAGGACATGTACACACGAATTACCTAGATGGGGCCATTGTGTACCATTCTTTCTAATGCTAATACTCTGAGCCAAGATGGGAGAGTTCGAGTGCCTGATTGTAAGAGTGGAAAAAGATTCAGTGGACTTAATGATAACCCTATAGAACAGAGGGATCCAGTGGAATAGAGTTATCCATAGGCACAGACTGTAGGAAATACAGCAAGGGGTGTATTCGTAGGGATGTACGTCAAAGAAGGCACAGTTTTAAGCAAGGGGCAGAATCATAGAACCATTGTGGGTGACATTACCAGACACGCATCAAAAATGCTTTAAGCAAAATACCTGTTAAAAGTAATCAAACTAGTCAAAGTTCCTGGTAATATGCTTTTAATAATGCTTCTTTTTTTCTCAAGAAAATATGAATACAGTAGCCTCCCATGTGTGTCGGAACCTACAATTCATCAGGGTGGAAAAGACTGACAAAGTATATTTCTATTTAGGTTTTAGGGACCATCCTGAGAGGGGTTTGTCTTCTGTTTCATTGCCACTTTCTTTCTCTGATCTTCCAGTGGAAAGGGAAAATACACTCCTGCAAAGGGAATAGATTTGTTGGATCAAATCCTTGCAGATCTCAAGGTGTGGGAAAAGGTAAAGAGTTTCCGAGTTATTCCCCGTGAGTACAGTAGTAACCACTGTCACGTGAGGTTCATCTATATGCCGTCCTTCCTGCTTGCCGCATGCTTGGTGAGCCTGCCTGAAGGCCGCCGGGGTGGCGAAGGGGCTCCGCAGGCGCCAGGTGCAGGGCTGCGGTCGTGCATCGTCACATTCACAGGAGCAGTGTTCTTCCATGGGAGGCGCAAGCTGGCTGCTGTGGGGCGCCCGCTGGTCTCCCTTTCGGTTCCTGATTAGGGCCACCCTGGCCTGTGTTTCACAATGCCACGTCAGGGGCTTCTGGCGGTTCATGGGAGTGACTATGGATCCAACCAGATAGGACACGGGGGACTCATGAAATGTTTCTCAAATTTGCCTCCCACTTCACGACAGCCAGGGGTCTCCTGAAATCGAGAGGATCGGCAGCTGCGGAGGAGGGTGGGCGGCTTGTGTACATTTTTCCTCGTAGACTGTTCTTCACCCTCAGTTGCCCCAGCACTTAATTCCTTTTCTGCTTGCGTGATAGGACAGGTGGCCACACATGCCTTTGTTTCCCATGTGAGGGAAAGCACCTTATTTGAAGGGGAGAGCAGCTCTGAGGGTTCAAACAGCTTGCGCACACACAGTGCTTCTGTCAGAGGTGGACCCCTTCTCCCCAGCAGCTGCGCTAAAGGCTGGGTCAGGTGCTCTTCAAGTCTTTAGGTCAGGTGCTCTTCAAGTGGCCCTCGCCTCTAGCTCGGTCCTTGGTCTGTTAGCCTGTAAGTCAGGAAAAGGAGCGTGTCGGCCGGTCTTTGGCAAAGGCTTCGGGAGGTGCGTGGAACACTTTGCTTTTCCTTTCAGATTTTGAATGAGGAGTTGGCCCAGTATGGCGGAGACGTGCTCCTCGTGAGGCAGGAGCCCCTCCAGACCGCTGCCAAGCTCCAGAAACAGTGGGTGGAGCTGGGGCTCGGTGTGCTGGCCCGTCATAAAGATCTCCATGGCAAGATGCCTTCTCAGCTGAAAATGTTGGAGGAAGTCAACAAAAACTCCAACCGACTCTGCGAACAGTACCGGATAAGGATCCACGGAGAGAATGGTGAGAAGCGGTTGAGCTTGCCTAGAGCACTTCCTTGGGTCCCTCCAGCACAATGAAGAATGCCTGTGTGCCCGCTGTGACCAGGGCATGCTGGGAGTTGTACGCCCTTTTCCTAGCTAAACTTGCATAGGATTGCACCTTAAATGGAGGAAGTCTGGAACGGCAGTAGCGGTCAGGCAGGTAGCTCTCCCTGACTGTCGTCCCAAGTGGCATAAAACTGCCCCTCAGTTACCAACAAATGGGGTTGCATTGCTGAATGGCATCTCTGCCAGTGAGGGTTGGCAGCGGGCCCTTGTGGGGTTTCACACAGGGACACTGGTCCACGTCCCCATCCCTTGGCTTTCCCAGGTGACCTTCTGGAAAAGGGTTTATTATCGAGAACATGCCTTTTAATCTGCTCTTGTTACTATTGGCTTGAAGTAAGTGGCAGAGAGTGGTGATTTGTGACTCATGAGAAGATATCAATTGTTTGTGTTTGGCAGCTGCCAGATGTGTTGGACTCAGTTCTGTGTGCTCTTCGCCACTGGTCCTTGACCTGCTGCACCATTTCCTGTCTTTCTGTTTTTTCTGCAGGCTCTGCCAGGATTTTAATAAGCCTGATCAACAGTTTGGAGGACTGGTCTTTCAAGTTGCTCACCAGCAAACAGAAGTCTGCTATGCTCGAAGCTGAATGGATAAAATTTTTTCAAGCTGTTTCTGATTGGCTGGCCCAAATAGATGATCTGCTTAAGTTTATTGGCACTGTCGAGACTCCAGAGGAACGAAAGCATAAAACGTTTACCACCAATCCGTAAGATAAGATCATTTTAAGCATTGTATATTTCTCTAATACTCTATTTGAACTGAATGTTTATATTTTTGCTAGAAGTCTTCAGCTAACAGAGCCTTTCTCTTCTAAATTGTCAACCGAAATGTGACCCTTGGCTTTTGAGACATTTAAACAGTGACCAAGTATCCGCAGGGGCCCTAGCTCAGTGGGAGAGCACCTGCTTTATTTGTGTCTCACCTTTTTCCTGCAGGAGCCCCAACGTGACTTTCATAACCCTCCTCAATTTTCTCTCCATTTTACCTTCACCACAACCCTGCAAAGTAGGTTAGACTGGGGATCTGGGACTGGCCCAAAGTCCCCCACAGAGCTTCATGGCTGTGTGGGAGCTAGAACCCAAACCTCCCGAGTCCCAGTCCAATGCTCTTAACCACTTTGCTCCACTGGCTCTTGCCAGTTTGCATGTAGAAGATCCCGGGTTCAAGCCCTGAACTGCTAAAGGGGAGGGGTTAAAGCATCTTTTGCCTGTATCTTCGCCAGCGTGGCAGAAGCAAGAGAATGGCTTGGCAAGGGGCGCCTTGGGGTTGTGGGCTCTCCCACATGAGAGGCGTTCAAGGCGCAACTGGGCAGCCCTCTGAGTGGGATGGTATAAATTGGTGACCTGCGACAGCAGCAGGTGGACCTGATGGCCTTCATGGCCCCTTCCGACTCTACTCTTCTATGGCTGTGTGATTGCCCGGGGAACAGTCCCTATACTATTGTATTGGTGAAGGTGGCAGTTCGCTGGTCCACTCAGCTGCTGTCATCACCAGGAAGCGTGTCCCCTGCAATTCTGCCATAATGACCAAGAACTAAGCAGGGCACGCAGGTTTCACTGTGCTTCTTAGGGCCAAGACAGGACATGTTGCTTTCCTCCACACTTTAGTTTTGGCAAACAGTTAATCCTGATGGGCAGGAAGTTGCTTCGTACGTCAATCATTTCTGCACATTTTCTGGCTCAGAAATACCCTCCTCAAGCTGTTCTTATTTCTGAGGGAGACAAGTTACAGACACCCATGAATGGAAAAGCCATTGCGGGAGGCGGTTCTGGTTCCCTAGGCTGATCATGACAGGAAGAAAAAGGTTAAAGGGAATCTTCCCCCAAGCACTTTTCTCTTCGTGCTGAAGAAATAAACAGATGTCACCTCTGTGCCAGCCCTTAGGTACACTAGCTTGGGCTGTGTGTGAGATTTTCTGCTCGGCATAGAATTTGGGGGGTCTTTGAGCTCATTTTAATTACGACTTTAGAAGGTAGGAGTCCTTGAGGTAGACACTCAGGGCTTTACCTGGTGGCTTGATTGGCTGACTGATTTGTTTCTCTTAAGGGTGGTACCAGAGAATCTGTTCAAGAAGATTCAGCAGTGGATTCTGACAACCACGAATTGTTCAGAGAAAGAGCACGTGCAGCTTACTGTGGAAGTATGTATGCCGTTGTTTCGGACACTTCTGGTAAGACCGTGGAAGAAGCTGTGCTGGGGGGTCAGGCCAAAGGCACGCCTGGTCCAGCACAGATGCTGCAGTGGGAAGCCCACGGGTAGCGCACAAGTAGGGCAGCTGCTCCCTCCTCCTTGTGCTCACCAGCCACCGGTACCCAGAGACATCCTGTCTCTAATCCTGGAGGCGGCGTGTGGCCTGGAGGTGGCGTGTGGCATGAGCCTCAGGCACGGGCAGCCGCCGCCTCCGTGAATGTTCCCATTCGCCTTTGGAAGCTGCCTCAGTTGGTGGCCATCGCTGCATCGGGTCTGACTGGGGGCCGTGTCCTGAAGGCCCCATCAGTTGGTTTCACTGAGTGAGGCTGGGTGTAAGTAGTATATGTGGAAGCGAGAAAGGTGGGCCCATACCTACTTTCTCTGCATCAGGTGTAATTGATGCGCCCCTTTCTCTCTAGGCTAGAAAGTCCCAATGCTTTCCTCACAGGGCTCAAGCCCCTTGATAATTTTGACTGCCCTTTTTAGAGAGCAGAGGTACACTCGCTTCTTGCTTAGAACTGAGGGCAAAGCAAGCATTGCCAGTCTGCAGGGGAGTCTCCTTGCCACCCTGCGTTTCTGCATTAGTCACTTCACTGGCAGTGTGTCCTGGCTGGAAGCATTTGATCTGAGCTCAGTGATTCGGGCAGAGAAGCAACAGGCATCCTCTTCTGAGGGCCTGCAGTTCTGCCTGCCTCTGTGCCGGGAAAGACTGAAACGCTCTGATCACCGCTGATTTCTGTTTTCTGCCTTCTGCAGTCAACTGACCTCCACAATACGCTGAACAAGTGGATGGCAAACCTGTTGATCCACCTGGTGCCTGACTACACCTCTTCTGAAACACTTCCATTGACTGATGCCGAAACTGCCAGGCAGGCAGAGCAGAAGATCTTCAACATGTTCAATCTGGAAGGCGAAGGGATGGGTTTGGCTGCAAAGCTGAGCAAATTCTCTTGTTACATGGTCAGGTATTGCCGATTTCTCTGGATCCGGTCAGCTGTCTTAGCTCTTCCTATTACGGATGGGTGAATCCTGCGATGTGGAGCATTGGTCCAGTTACACAAAGATCAGTATGACGGGATGCAGCTAGTGATACTTGGTTTTTAGCTGCCCACCATATATTAAATGAGAGTAATTGTGTCTGCTTCACAGAGTTGCTTGAGGAGGAGTATAAATTCTGTCCCATCTTACATAGGCTTTATCAGGACTGAGCCTGCAGAATAAGTCTCATTGTTTTAGTGCCTCAGCCTCACTTCTTCCCTGCTGACAGTAGAGAAACGGTTTAGGTAACAGAAACCATGTTTGACCCTCACCTCCTGTGATAAACTTACTGTGTGACTTGAGGCAAGCTTCTCTCTCTTACCCTCACCCACCATCTGCAGGATAGTGATATCACTGGCCTCCCTTAGCAAGTTGTTGTGAAAATCAGAGCAAGGGTGTGTAGGTGAAACTCTTCAGGCACATTTATTTATTTAAAACATTTGCATGCCGCCCAATTGTGTCACAGCACCTCTGGCTGGTTCACAAACACAAGATAAAAACAAAAGAAGACCAATTGCCACATATTAAACTATCAATAAAGCTATATTTAAAATAGCTTGGAAGTGCTGAGCTTTCTGACTGGCATTTTACAACTCAGGGCCCTTGGACAGAGCTCCTGCCCTGCACCTAAGGGAGCAAGAACAGGTATTTTTTGAGGGAAGATTTTATTTCATCCTGGGTTGGTCCATTATGTCTTTGTCATCTGTCCAAAGACTCTGGAGGAGGCACAGCTACTGTGGTTGTATCCTGATTCCTGGGAATGGCCCAAGCTCTGGTCCTAGGGCTGAGTCCTGCTCATATGGCAGGTAGAAGGTACAATAAAATTGTAAGTACATTGTGCAAATCAGGCGGAGGCTGAAAGTTTCTTAGCACACTGTTTGTTAACAGCAAAGATTTGTTTGCAAGATGAAAGATTTTCCACCCTAGATGAAAGGATAATAACTAATCATAAAATATGGAGCAACTTGTGCTGCATTTGGGAGTGATCAGCATCTCCATTATTTTAAGCATTGTTATTCTGTGCTGTTGGATGGAGTCATCCCTCCTCTCTCAAATGTAGGGACTGAGGCTGCGAAAGAGGCTTCTCGAAGGCCACCCAGTGAGTTTATCACAGAGGTGAGGGTTGAAACAGCAGAGCTTTCCTGGCTTGTAGAAAGTACAACTTTTCTGACCAGTGGTCAACTTGCATCGTGCGTTTGCAAACACCAAATAAGCATGGCCGGCAGAGTCGAAAGGAAATCGACTGTCTTGTGCTAATACGGTACTGATGTGACTTGACACGTTGCGGCAAATTGGTTGGCGTTCTCTGTTTCCACAGCTGTTGCAAGGAGATGGTCGCATCCATAACACGTAAGCAGATGGCTGCCCTTGAACCAGATGCAGATTATGAACTGCAGGAGCTGGAGAAGGTCAAGGTAAGGACAACCAGCCGCACGCTCCTGCCTTCTCACGGTACAGCCTTAATCCATCAAACCATTAGGGGGAGAGCCATGGGATGGATGAAATACTATTTTTTATGTGGACCCGAGCCGGCTTATTTTTAAAACGGTGCAGGTTTCCATTCTTTGAAAATGAACTCTCTTAGGAACAGATAATCAGGAGAAAAGTATTGTATTGTATTATGAATTGTACTCTTTTAGCTCCTTGTAGAAACATACCATGAGCTGCCTTATCGCTAATGGGGCGGCATATGAGTTAAGTAAATAAAACCAGATAAAAACAAATGAGTCTCCTCCTCCTCCTCCATTATTTACACAAACAGCAATTATCTGAACCTTTCAGGATTTCTTAGCAAAAACAGGCACCACGAAGGAAATCCTTGATCCCAAAGAGTTTAAATATTTCTCAGTCTCAGTGAAGCATTTAAGGAGGAAGGTGAGGAGGAGGAGGGAGGGAGAGATGAGTGGCAGGGGGAGGGCATGAGAGGAGAGGGCAAATCACTTTGCAAGGGCAAGAGGGCAAGTCTCTTCTTGTCTGTGCCACGTTCACATGGCCTTACCCATAAGCCTGTTCTGTCCCACTTCCGCACTTCATCTGAATTCTTAAACCTGCATTTTCCAAAAGTGTTTTTCTTCCACATACGCCTTTCCAGAAACGGTTTTCTCTCAATATGCGCAAGAAATCCACAAAACGTGCAATACGGTGCCTGGCACCGCACAGCTTCACCGGTGTGGGGACGGCTGCACTTCAGCATGATGCAGTGTAACAGGCTCTACCTGGGCCACAAATGGCTTTTCTTTTTGTTTGGATGATCAGCTGCTCCCCTTTTGTGTTTCCAGACTGAGTGCTTGGATTGGATTGAAACCTGCACCCTTCTCATATCTGCAATGAAGTCCTCTCCCACTACATTAATTAGCAAAGATGAGCTGGTCAACCTGTTTGGGTCAGAGGTATTGAAATAATTGATCTTGCATGCAAACAGCAGAAAAAAGCTTCAAATTTATAGCTGCCCGTTACAGTGATCATATTATTGTTTTGCATTAAGATAACATCCATATGTGTACTTATATGGGGCTTGTGGAGGAACATTTTAATATATTTTTGAAAAGAAAAAGGCTCCTTGAAATTAGTCCCAGAAACTCTGCATCTCCATAGAGTGTGGATTTTGTCTGCTATCCGGCCTGGCCAGGAACATAGGAGGTTTGCATCTGGGGAGGCAAAATGCTAGGCTTATTTCAGGACGTGCACATACATTGCTTTTTCAAACCCTGTAAGAGAGTAAATGAGATTCAGCCTTGCCCACATCCCCGGAGAAAAACGGTGTAAGCTTACAAATGCCTGTAAGCTTTTTGAAAAGATATTTCAATGTATTTAATGTTCTGGTTTTTCTTGTCTCACAGTTGTGTTGTTTCAAGTTGTTGTATGCTGCCTTGATGTCTTTTTAGCAGTTTTTGAACCACCCAGAGAGCTTTGGCTATTGGGCAGCACAGAACTGTAAATAGCAATGATCCTCAGTATAAGGCAGTACAGAAATGTCAATAAGACATAATAACAGCACCCATTAATATGGCGATATGCAACCATGGCTTCTTCCCCCTTTTGTCCTCCTCACCCACAGTAGCAATGGGGCAGAATCCAGCTGTGCCATCCCATTGGCGAATCCCCCCAACACACAACCCACCCGGGGTGGGGCAGGGGAGGGGGACTAAACTCCTGCGGCTCATCCCTCCTGGGCTACCCCGGGAACCAACCTTTATAGGTTGCTTCCAGTGCTGCTCTTTCGCTCTCAGGAGGGATTTTGTGCAAGGGGAGGCTGATTTCCCCCTTTTCCCTGCCACCCCCAATCTGCTGCAGAGGGCTGAGGGTCCCTTTAGAATAGGGGGGGACTGCAGTGGGATCGGGTGGGAATGGCCCTGCCCTGCCCTGCCTCCAGGGGCAGGTGCTTCACTGCATCAGATGCTTTCTCGTGGGGCACTGGAGGCAGGCTTGGACCTGCAAATGTCAGTCTGCGTAGGCAAAAAGCTGGAATGAAAAGATGTCATAATTTGCCCATTCTGTAGTTCTGTGAGGCAGTGAGTTGCCCAAGCCACATTTACTATCTCTTTCCTCCTTGGAGTTATCAGATGCTGACACTCACAATACCAGCCCTGAAGACTGAAACAGTAAAAATGTCAGGCAAAATGGGAAAAAGTAACTGCCTAATTTTTGGAGCCAAAATAACCTTCCGGCCAGCTTATGCAACAATGACATCAAATGAAACCTGATGTAGTGTTCTTTAAATCATCCAGTTAAAGCCATGCAACAAGATCCCAAAAGTCAGTGAGAGGACTTCGACCCTTCTCTTGAATGCCTACCTGTTCTATCTAAGTTGTTATTGACCTCATAAAAGCAGATTCTAAAAGCGCCCCTCTCTTTCGGCGCTAAGCAAGACCTCAGCTTGTGAATGCATGTGACCAGCCCTCCGTGCCCCCTCACAGGCGCTCCAGCCACAGCGGAAGCTCCCCCCTCGGCCGGGGCATGACATGAAGACATCCTCCCTTGCTCAGTCCTCAGGGGTCCTGGAGGAAGAGGAAGCAGCAGCGAAAAAGGAGGCAACTGTGGAAATGGAGGTGGAACTTTCCTTTTAAATGGGACTCCGGGTATTTCACGGGGTTGCATGCATTGAGTGCTCATGAGCTATGTATAAGCTGGGCTGTCTGTCATACAAAATAATAGTAATGCAAACCTCACTGTAGGTTTTTGCACAAGAGAAGCAAGTCCTTTCTCCAGCTTCTACATGTGGGGTCCCTGCTTGAGAAAGAACCTTATTTATCTATTTATGATGTTTATATCCCACCTTTTTCCTTTCAAGGAATTCCAGGGGGCTTACACAATCCTCCTCCTCCTCCCCCTTTCCCCAATCTTATCCTCGCAGCAACAACCCTGTGAGGTCCACGACTGTCTCAGAGTCACCCAGTTGGCTCCATGGTTGAGTGGGGACTAGAATTCAGATCTCCTGAGTCCCAGTCCCGCATTCTCAACCACTGCAACACACCGGCACTCTTAAGAGGTGCAGCAACCTCATTTCCTTGAATTTTCTAGGTATACAACTGTGTCATGCAACTGAGATTTGGATCTAAAAACCTCTGGGAGGGAATTAGAAGCAGACTTACCAGAGAACTTAGCTGTTCTGCTTTCTACAACTTTAATAAGATGAATCCTGGGAATTATGATTGGTGAGGGGCTAAGAATTCTCTTTTAGAGTGTGGCTAAGCTCATTCCTCATTTCAGTGAAGAAGCCCAGAGTTTGCATCCTCTGGAAACCCTGACCCACAGCTGCAGGCTCTTCTCCGGCTGCAGGAGTCATCTGCAGAGTTCCAGTGCTTGCAATTCCTCTGCAGGGGGTCTGTGAACACCCTCCCCAGGAGGTCCCAGGAATCTAGGCCATAAGCAGAACACGAGCATTTGAGACGGCCCTCATTCCTCCGGCAAAATTTGAAATTCTCGGAGGAGGTCTGGTTTCTTGGATGAAGGAAGAACTCACGTGCTGTGTCCCGCTTCCCTTTCTGTTGCAGAAGGAGGTCCCTGCACTTGGAACCGTCACTGAGGAAAAGACTGGAGGCCCTGAGATTGCTTACCCAGTAAGATACATTGGTGACGACTGGAACGTGCACGTCAAATCTATGAGTGCGGAGGAAGTCACCGTCTCAGGGGTGTGCAGCTATGAATGCCTTACTCAGCCCCACGCCCTCCAGATGTGTGTGCGGTAACTCCCCATCATTCCCAGCCGCCTGGGGATGCGGCTACGCTATTTGCACCGTATGTTTTTATTTGCATTTATGCGTTGCTGTGCACCACCCAGAGAACTTTTGCTGTAGGGAAGCGCAGAAATGGAATCAATGCGCAAGTAAGTGGATTGCTCTTCTCCTTTCAGCGGGAGTTGTATGCCGGGAAGTGGACCACTGCATACTCCAAAAAGGAATTCGAGATGCTGGCTTCACTGGAAATCCTGGAGGAGCGGCTGCTGTGAGTACAGGGCTGCCTGCGTTGCTTCCCACCCACACGTGGGCCCGCAGGCGGTCTCGCACTTGCAGGTTCTGCGGGGGGATCGAGTCTGTCTGCCATCCAGCCTTCAGAATGTTAAACGGGTTAGAAGATGTTGTGCTTGAGTCCTTACATGGATTTAGAATGGCAGGAGTCTGGATGCTTCTGTAGATGTTAGAGGCGTGGCACAGAATATCAGGTGTGCCATGTTAGGATTGCAAATGTGAGACATATTCTGCTGTGCAGATTTCACTGACGTGAATCTTTCTTTCAATGAGACTTGCCTAGGGGAACTTCTGGGCAGCCCATTTTAAGTCAGAGAAGGAAAGACGGTGCTATTTTACAGACCAGGCTGGAGGGGTGCAGCAGTCTTGCATCTCTTAAGTACATACTCCCCTTCTTTGCACATAAAGGATGGTGGGAAGGGAAGCAAAATTGGATCCCCTCCTCTGTTTTACATTGCTGGGAGCAGTTTTTAAAGCAGTTTTCCCTTCAGCCAGGCTGCAGTGCTGAAACCGAGCTGGGCATGAAGAACGCGCAGTTCGGGAGGGCCAGTTTTGCCTCTCCAGGTGTGCATGCAGACCCCCTTTTGTCGTCTCTGCTTCATGTGCAAGTGGACAAACGTGCTTAAGATCTATGGCCAAGCCTTGTTTGGCCCTGCCTAAGGCACCAGCACACAGTGAGCTCCGCCTGGACACCTCCAGTCTTGTGGGTTTTTCTACACAAGGCATTTTTTGGCACCTGTGGACATTTCGATGGCCTTTTCACAGCCTTCTGCTGGTCCACAGTCTCTTCTGTGTCTCCCAGCCATTTTCACAGCTTTTTTTTTTAGAGAAAAGAAAGTCTGGTATTTTCCTAAAGGGCACCTGCATATGCTAAGTAATATCACCGTTCTGTTCTATACCACAGTGCTACCTTGTCTTGTGTAATGGAACATACATATTGTATTGCATAGTTGTTGTATGTTTTATGGCTTGTTGTAAGCTGCCCAGAGAGCTTTGGCTGTGGGATAGAGTAGAAATGATGATGACTGTGAAGGAGGAATGTATAGAAAGGCAGAGAGGAGAGCCCCTAGGAAAGAGCCCTCATCTGAAGGATGCACTGATCCTCCTCCGAAGGAGACAGAGGAAGAAGGCTCAGTAAAGTGCCATTATATATCTCAGACAGAGAAGCCGTAACTCTGCATTTGGTAGTTCTGACGGTTACACATCATGTCTTTGGCAAGGTCTTTCAGTGTCCCACTGGCTTCCGTCTTTTCAGAGAGGCTGAAAAGCGTGCACAACAAGCAGAAGAAAAATCAGAGATCCTTCATGAGGAGTTGGAACAAGCTCTGTCAAAAATAAATGACCTGGAGGGTGAAGCACCAGCACTGAAGACTGCTGCAAAAACACCTGAATCTGAACCAGGTATGGCTTAAGATGTCAGGGATGAAACTCGCCTCCTAAAAAGGCAGCTTACTGGGCATTATACATCGCATGTTCAGACATGCAACAAACAGACTTGCAAACAAGAGGAGATCCAAGGGCGCTTGCCTGAGAACGGTCACAGGCCAGAGTTTTCTCTGAATACCCAGCCCACTTGGTGGCAGCATTCAGCTTTGCCCTGCATGAAATGGCTGTGAAGCCCACTCTGGCCTAGCAGTCAGGTGTTAACTGCGGAGCTGCTGTGCTGGGGAGCTGGGTTGGGCCAGGAGCCATGTATGAAATTTCCCTGAGCTGGATTTTGAACCACACTTTCTTGTGTCCAGACCCAACACATTGGTCCTCCCACATTTGGTTCCCACATTGGCCATATGTTGAAGTCCAGATGTTTAATGCTTCCGTATGTCTCTCTCATTGCAGAAGCTTCTGAGAAAAAGCCAGGTGCAACTTCCCCACCTACTTCTACTAAAACATCCACACCCCGTACGAAGAAATCCGGCAAACTCAAACGTTGAGGGGAGAGAGTCCAAGGAAGCCTTTGGCCTCTGCCTGTGGTTGACATGGGACGCAGTGTGAAGGCTGCAGGACTGCAGGAGCTGCTGCAGGAGCTGCTGCTTGAGGTTTTCCCAGTTTTGTTAGAATTCTAGTACAGTACATGGACAGGAGTTGACCAAATGTGGTGGAATTCTTTTCCAAGTGTTATTGTTTATTCAGACAGTATCCATGGGTCATGCTGGGGTGGCCCTAATGTTGCAGCCTCTTAGGCCATCCCTAAAGCCTGCCATGAAGCGAAAGCCTTCTGAAATTTAGGGACATGCCAGGAAAGAGCAGCCCATTCAGACCTCTCATGCTGGATCTGACAAGAGAGATCTCTTGCTGCTTCTGGGCTGCAAGGTGAGAACCTGGTTCCTTCCCTCTGCCAAATCCTCATGGACGTGAAGCTTCAGGGGAGGGGAAAGTGAGTTCCTCATCTCCCCTCAAGTGCTCTGTTTGGGGTTCCTTCTTCTGTGCACACAGCGCTAGTGCCTCGTCAAACCCTGATTTTTTAGGAACGGAAGTAACTGGTTTTGGCTTGCCAAAATTCCTGATAACTGATTCAGATTTTAGATTAATTTGGAGTCTATACTTTTTCTGTCCAGCATTGCATCTGTTTCACAAAGTTGTCCAAAGAAATTCATCTTAGAGAACAGCAAACATGTTTCTCTCTCTCTCTGTTAAACTCTTTATGCCTTCCTGTTTCCAGGGTTTTTATAAGAAGGGTATATACTTCAGCATTTTATTTTGAAGAGGAAACTGGAATATGCTAGGGCAGCAGCATCCACTCCAGATAATAACCTGGGCATTCCTGTTTATGATGTAAAGACCTAACCAAGAAGTAATGAAGTGAAATATACTTTAATTGCCTTATCTTACACCATTGTTAGAGCTGGCACAATGAGATCTAGGGCTATTCTGGGAATTTTGCTTCAGTTTGGAAATCATTTGAATTGTTCTACTCATGGTCCCAAATACATACAGGAGCATATTTTTTTTAGAAAAATAATTTGCACATTCCCAAACTTGTGATCACAATCAAAAAATGAATTTGTTGAAAATGGGCACTTTAACATGCACACTTCCCTTAAACACTCATATTTACTCTTTAGTCAGTGTGGAAAGCACTGCAGTTTGGGAAAAGATGCACACAAAAATACACACTTCTCATGTTCGAACATAATGGTTGTGCATGCTAACAGGAACAAGACGAGCCAAATGAGGAAGTGGAGTTTGAAGAGTCTCAATGAATTTTAACATCCTCCATAGGATCTCAGGCAGAGGCCTTGCCTGCTGTGTTGTCCAAGATGTGTTTTAACTGAAAATGCCAAGAAATTAACCTTGGACATTCAGAAGGCTTCTTTGCATCAGGTTCTCCATGTTGCCAGTTTAAGGTTTCTTCTTCTGTTTCCTTTGTGTGGAGAAGAAAGCCTCTTGTAAAAGTTCTTTCTTCCTGGAGTTTGCCTCTCATTATCTTTCTATATATTCTTACTAATCAGCCACTAGTGGCTATAGCAGTATAGTATAGTGGAATTATGACAAACCATGGGACATCCATTCTAGTTTATTCCACATTTGAACATAGTAATTGACATTCTTTACTCTAAAAAAAAAAGTTGTGGAAATGGCTGAAAAACACTAGAGAGGCCCTGGAGGATGACAGGGTCATGAAAAGGGACCCACAGACTTCCGTGAGTGATGGATCAGAAGCACTCAAAAATGCCTCCTGTACAGAAGCCCAGAGCCATGATCCTTCCAGCATTTCCAGGCCTGGAGAAAGGAGTACAATTTTCATTGATTTCCCCCAAATGGCCTTAAATTGCTGCAGTTTTAATTTAATCTTATAATGTTAGAGGAGGACTTGCTTCTGTGGTGAAGAGAAATAATAGCTGCTTGCTCTTTTAACACTGATTTCAGATACCAGCAGGTCCTAGCTAGTGTTAGACAAGGGGAAAATATTCTGCCCACTAAAAGGGGAATGGGAGGGCAGTGTTCAAATGAAGGGGCACTACTGCAGAAAGAAGTAGATGGCTTTGCACCGTTTTTCAGTTGTTTAAAGAGAGGTGTTGTGTATTTCGGTAGATATGGCTCTACCTATCATCTTACTAAAATTGAAACACTAGAACCTTTAAAATCAGAGTAGTTCGTTTGGTGGCATCTTCATTATCTAAAAGGAGCCTCTGCCACCTGCACATGCAACTTCAGAAATTTCATTTTCTTAAAGGCAAACTGTATGCTCCCTCTTTTCAGGCAAAAAACATGGTCTGGCATTCAGTGGTATTACTGGTGGGTACAGTGAGGATCAACTGGTACAGTTTGAGAACACGCTCTTAGAACCAGTGCCCGACAGCCATTCATTCTGAAAACCCAGTAATTGTAATTTATTATTCATTTGTAAATGTGATGGGCTACCTTTTGGCCCGAAAGCTTCTGGATGGTGCAGAGGAGTTAACACAACACAATCAGATTACATTAAAAAAACAAAACAAGAAAGATATCATCAAAGAAACATGCTAAAATCTTTACAGTTCTAAAAGATAATACAAGACCTAGACAAAATCTAGTATGGAATATACATCAGAAATAGCTAAGACAATGTCTAGATTCAATTACCAAGGCTGGGTGTTTAGAGGACTAGGAGCTCTGTGTGTGTGAAGCTTCTTCCCCCGCCCATCTCTACATTTACTAGAAATCACTGACTTCTTTTCAATTTAATCTAAAACCCATATGGACTGGAAGCTTCCATAATAGAACATTAATATGAGATACTGAGGAAGCTGATAGATCTGCCAGCTGGTGTTGTATGGTCTCGGTCAGACATGCACTTTGCCGCAGTACTGAAGGAGTTAGTACAGCTGACGTGTGTCCCTCGTTGGCTTTAATTACAGACTGGAGGGCTGCTCCCAAAGCTAAATAACCATTTAAGCAAACAGACAGCCAAGAGCTTCAGCAGCAAGTTCCCAGACTTCATTTGTGCTGTGCTGCTCACTTTCATTCAGGGATGATTCAGCCAGTTCAGGCAGGACATACCATATCCTGGCCCCTGAAGCAGGGTTGCAGCCAAACAATGTGCCTGCAATGCCAGTTGATGGTTCTGGCTTGGGCAGGTCATCATTTGACCGCCAGCACTTCTCATGTGTACCTTCCTTTCGTGCCAGAGCTCCCCTCAACCCAGAGCTGCCCCCTCCCTCCCTCCCTCCCTCCCTCCCTAGAACAGCATGCATGGCCTTTCCTGCAGCTGCCCCATTTTATCCTCACAACAACCCTCTGAGGTAGATGGGACTGAGGCATAGTGACTGGGTTGCAGTCATCCCAGTGAGCTTTGTGGCTGAATGAGGATGTGAACAGTCCTCTCCACAGTCAAAATCAAACACGGTGTATCGTACCCCATTGTTTATTTTTTTTAACATCCACCTAAGGTGTTTTAAGTGTATGTCTAAAATCTTAATCTAAAACATACAGTGCTTGACTGAAGCAAACATCTGTTTGACCACGTGGCTATCGGACAAGGTAGGCTGCAGCTCCCCATCAGAATTGTACTTGCTGGTCTTGGTACTTCCTGACAGGTGGAGTGTCCTTTGACCTGTCTGAGGTTGCACACTGGGAAGCTTGAGCAGGAGGCGTAGCCGCAGAAGGCGAGTCGTGGGGTCAGCAGTGCCAGCATCAGCCACGACTTGAAATCAAGCTTCTCTGGATTTTTGCTGAGTGCCTATAGCATTGGGGAATCTTTGTCCTTTGAAACATCGGGGTGGTTGGGGGTATCTGAAGAAAGATTGCGCCCTGTGGATTTCACGTTTACTGCAGACGAGAGGTTCAGGAGATCAAAGGGTAACGGGAGAATAAAGGCAGGAGGTTTTTCTGCTAACATGCTCTGCAGCGTGTGAAGGTACCGGAGCGGGATGCCGGCAGGAGTGTGGGCCAGGAGCTCAGCTGCCATCTTCAGGGATTCAGAGGCAGCCTTTTCTCCTTCGGCAGCTATCACCTAAAATACAAGGTAACGCGAGGGTATTTCTTCCATAACCAGAGCCGTTGAGGACTGCAAAGGGATTGCTTCTCCTTATCTAATAGCCAAAACAGACTTTGCCCAGCGCTTTATATAGTGCTATATGTTGCCCAGTCCCATCCTGTACAGATCCTGTTCAGTATCAAAGGTTCAGGCTCTTTTATCTCTTCCAGTTCATGCCCTGACTTCCTTGATTTAAAAAAAAATCATACCGAAATAGCACGATTGTGTTATAAGTATAATAAAGGACAGAATAATGCAAGAAACCAGTATTCATTTCCCTTATACTGTAAACTGACTAATAAGGAGCAACTGTTCTAATTGTGTTGAGCAGGAGCAATCAAATGATCAGAACATGCAAACAGGAAGCTTTTGATTAAAGGCAAGTAGTTCTGAAAAGTCTCAATAGTAATTTGCCAATCCATCTCAGGCCGGCCGGCACTGCAATTGATTTATGTTGTGTGGTTATTACAATCAGATCTGGGGAAACGCGCATGTTTGTGTGCACACACACACTCCTCTTGAAAGAAAATTTGCAATAATACTATCTGGATTTATTTTGCCTTTTGTACAAAGCTGATAAATTATAGCAATGTTGAGGAAAGGGCTACTAGGGAAGGGCCCTATTATGGAAGCTGCATAGGATTGAAATAATTGCAGAGTATTAATTGCAGGTTTGGCTTCCAATGTGCCTTTATTTTGTGACTCTTCATTCCACTCCATTTTTTTAACCTCATTGGAGAAATTATTTCCAACCAATGGGTAATAATGAATTAACTGAAAGAAATTAACAAATGCAAACAAGCTAAGGTCATCCTTTGAATTAAAAAGAGCTGAAGGGCTAGCCACACAGATTTTTCCTAGAGACTCACTCCTGTACAATATGAGGCACAGGCAAATACTCCTTAATACAAACTTTTCCCCATTCCTGAACAGAGGCTTTGGCAGAATGTTTTTTGTTGTGGCAGGGGTGTCTGAGATGCACAGGGAAAGACCTGTACCAAAGTAGCTGTTCTGCTCAGTGACTGGGTTCACATAACACGACAAGCAACCCATGATCTACCTGTCAGACAATCCAGTGGTTTCTGCATCACTGTGGTTTCCATCTTGACTGCTCAGTCATCCCACTGTTGACACATGCCCCATCAGCCACCACACCTGAAATTCAATCCCAATCTTAATCTCCCTGCCTGTGTCACCTCCTTTCAGATTTCTCTGACATCCTTAACTTCAGTTCCCAGAAATCCCTGCCAGCGAGTCCAATGGTCAGGAATGCTGGCAGCTCAAGGGCCAAACATCTCTTGAGGAATTGGTTGCTCACTCCTGCCCTATACCACCAGCTACCTGATCCTTAAAATATGCAGGTATGAAGAGAAGCTGCAAGGCATATTCTACACATGTGTTCTCTCACAAATTCTAAACCGTTGCTGAAATTATTGGAATTAAACATAATCTTAGCAGGAGGAGGATGAGAAAAAGGGCATATTTTTCCTTTCCAACAATAAACTTGTGCAGATGGTTGGCTTACCCTCACTTTAGCCTGTCTCTGGGCTTCTGCTTCTGCAGCCAGTGACTCCTGAAGTTCAGCCGGAAGCCGTATATCTTTACTGAAACAAAAATAGGCATTGTGAAGGTGGGGCCTGCATCCTAAACCAAAAACAATGGGAACCATTTAGTTCTAGTGAATTCAGCGATTGAGTTCGGGAACAAAGATTCAGCTTCATTGGGGAAAGGAGTGCGTTGACCCTGTCTGTTCAGCTGGCTGGCCCATTACCAGCATAAAGGGGATATTTGTCTAGGACGCCATCCTACAGGCCAGCCAAGGGGCGTGTGTCTCCGTCATGGCCTCTCCTGGGCACGCCTAGGCATTTCCCGGCAGCAAAACATGGGCCTTTACATTGCCATCGACAACGGGGTGTGTCCCTGTGGCATGTGTTCCCTTATTTTGTCACAAAAAACCACTGCAAAGGGCAACAGGTTGGGTGCATCTATATTGCCCAGGTGCACCGTAGGCTGAGAGACCATCCAGGTGGGAAAAAGGTGAGGAGGAGTGAATCGTGTTTACAGGGGTGCTGGCAGTACTAACAAAAGACTTTAAAAAATCCTCTTTCCCTCCCCTGATGTTACCGGATTGGTTCTGCCAGTAACCCATTTCATACTTACATTTCTGTCCGCTCCACCTTGACTCCCCACTGGCAGCTGATGGCATCCACAGCCACCTATAAAAAATGGCAGTGCGTTAGTAGCAGCAGCAGCCTGCAGGATAGGCCGATGGAACGAACAGTACCAAAAACAGCCCTGCTCAAGCAGGGTTCTCCTGCACTTCGCTGCATGCAAATTCTTGGCCAGTTATCCTGACAGGTACTGATCTGCTCAAGTGGGAGCGCAGGTGCTTCCAGATGGAGGGCTTCTAATATTATTTATTATTTTATTAATTTATTTTAAAACATTGATATGTCACCTATCTTGCCAGTGGCATCCCCAGGTGGCTAATAATCACATAATTAAAATTCAGTATGAAAAATAAAGACCAGAAAACTGCAAATTAACAAAAGTAAAAAATCCATTAACAGGCTACAGGCAACATGCCACTCTCCCACTCGGTCATGAGCACCCAGAGAGTGTCGGCTGTTGGGTGGTATAGAAATTAAGTAAGTAAACGAATAAAATCATTCTTCCCTTACTGATTTCTTCTGGTAAGAAAAAAAAAAAAAAAAAAAAAGCCACGGGGTGGCTACAAATTGAAGATAACATGGCCTGGGTTCAAACAATATAACTCATGCTCAAGGGCTGGGTATGATGAACCATAGGGAACAACCTACTGTACGCAGTGCGTTCTCTTCATGGGTTGCTTGTGGTTAGCAAGCCTCAGTTCAATGACGATTCGTGGTTCAACAACAACCCATGCTCAGTGGCCTGGGCCAAATCATTTAGAGACATTAAAATGAAAGGGGCTTGTCCCGAGTTGCGGAATGAGCATCAAAAGGACACGTATGGTTCAGTAAGAGGATGCCATGTTGGGGCAGAAAGAAATCCCACTTCGTGTTTGCTGATGCGATTTGGACTGGCAGTGGCTGACCCAGACCTTGTGGGGAACAGCTCAGTGAGAACGTCAGCACAGTGGCAGCTGCAGTGAAAATGGCAAATTCCTGAAATGGGTTTAAAGTGGGAGATCTGAACCGTTTTATTGTGGATCGGCCTATAACCAGTGGGTATTACGACTGAAAAAACGGTGCCTTCATGTTCAGAATAAATGGCTAACATCTGAACGGCTGCCTCTTTGCTGTGCCTTTCAGAACCAGCTTGATTTCTGGGCATCTCTGGGCTGAGATCTTCCTCTCCATGCCATGAAAAGCATCAACTGCTTATTCGTGCAGATCAAGCTCTTCTTAAAGGTACAGGAAGCAGGCCTTCCGGCATATTCTAGTCAGTTGCCCACCCTCCATGCGGTGGCTGTACGCTTCCGATTACCAGAGACTGCAGACAGACACAGGAAGGCTTCTATGGCTGCCACCATTCCCCACCCGTGAGCGCCCTGGAGGTATTTAGCTTTCTGCTGTTGGAGGCAGCTACATTAGAGAGGTCTTGGTCTGTTAACAAGGCAGCACTGCGTATGAATTGGCCTATTGCAAAACTCCTTTCAGGAAAGTGAACTTGCAAAATAGCTGGATGGCAGTGTCTCAGAGGCACCCCCTGCACTGGTTACAATGCCTTCGCTATTTTTGCTTGTAGCAGCAATCACAGAAGGCCTCCAGCTCTTCAGACGCTAGCAAGTCCCTAGCCATGGCCACCTTGATCTCTTGGCCAATGCTCTTCCTTTCCGTCAGGATGTCGGCGAGAGACCGATGTGCCAGCAGCCGTTTTGAGATGACCTGTACTAGCAACTGGACCGCGCTGGACAGGCTGGCGACGGTGGTCACGAGCAACGTGGCGTTCTCCATCCTGTAGTAGCAGATGGCGTCTATTTTAAGACTCACCATGTCCTTGGTTATGACCTATGACAAGCAGAAGGCATTGTGGGTCACCATCTCATGCAACGAGGGGGTGGAGGGGGGAAAATGGGGTCATAGTTCCACCAACGGCAAAATAACAGGAAATCTGGTATTGGCCAGGGCTTGGCCTCAACTTTCCTCACGTATTAAGACAAGGGCTGGTGGTAATTCTGTGTGTGAAGGCACAAGAGGGGTGACCAGAAATGATACTAACCAATTCCACTAGTGAACCACCAAAGAAAACTCGGCCCTTTGGATTGCTCCAGGAGCTTCGCCTGCATGATGCAGTCCTTCAATGTTCCTGGAAGTTAGTTCAGTATTGGGGCGGGGGGAGCCTACCTAAAGCCAAGCTGTGAGTCTATAGCCACAGTGAAAGCTGAATTCCAGACTTCTCATTCCCAGGCATGGAGAATCTGTAACTGCACCTGGTGCGTAAACTGGGCCAGAATAACATTATGCCACAAGAAGCGCCCTTAAGAGTCTCTATTACTTTCCTGCTACAAGCGATTTCCCTGTGAATTTCCTTTATGGCATGTTTTGGACAACTGCATTTGATCCTGATTGTCGGAGCATCGATTTGCCTCCTGCAAATGTGTTTAAAGAGGCAGCCTGGGAGGTCGCGCTTGGACTCGCTTACCTCGTAGAAGGGAATCTCCAAGATTTTGAGGCGAATGTCTATTTTGTGGTAGGTGTCCAAACAGGGAAGGAGGAAGAACAACCCTGTTAGAAGAAAGAGAACTGAAGCACTTGTAAGCCAGATGCTGTGAAGAAAAACCATGTTTCTTAATGCTAAACCTACCAGACCAGGACTATACAAACAGTAGACCTGACGCAGGCCTTGAATCCAGAAACCTGTGGCCCTCCTTTTCAAAAAGCCAAAGGTTACAGGACAGAGGCACTGTTGCCTAAATTACATAATTATACTAATATTGCATTTATGCCCCCCTTTATTTCTCTTGTGAGTGGAGACTACTTAGCCTTACTGTACAAAACTGGTTTTTATAGATTCTTCAGGGGTTACAAAATCTGGGATCAGAACAATGATACAAAAAGCAGAAACAACTGCATTGGTATAATGAAACTTCCAAAAATTGTATAGTGTATACAAATGGAAGGCTTTATGAAGCCAATTCAAATATCCCAAAAATGTGCAAGCTTTCAAGATCTATGGATCTCTTCATCAGGCAAGATTTTATGAAAGCAAGCTGGACAGGAGGAGGAGGAAAGGTGACGAGATGCTGTTCTCAGTGTGTCTGCGTCATTAGACTCTTAAAACAATATGGAGGAGGACAGTTTGATGCCTCTCTTATGCCTCCTTAATGCTTCCAAAAATTATTTTCTGCCTCCAGCCTCAGACTTATTTTGTGGCAAAGAAACCTTGAGTCGCTCACTCTACCTTGCTGACTACATTTGTGCAATTCTCAGGAGCTGGAAAAATAATGAAAATACGTTCTCAATTTTGCTTTGTTGGGGCTCCGAAAAAATGAACAACTCCAGCAGTGACTGAAAAGGGATTGGAATCAGGGTGGGCTGGGGGAGATACAAGGGGTTCTGCCACGAGGGGCAGCTGGATGGCTGAGCTGCAACAAGCCACACGGAGCCCGATCGTCTGTCAGGCGCACTGCAGGTTGTTCCACTAATAATCCACACCGTGCAGCTGATTTGCAGAGCGGCTTACCCTGTTGGGCAAACTGACGTAATAGCTGTAGTAGTTCGTACAGCATCTGATTAGACCTTTGTTTCTCACCTGGGGGGTGTGGGAGTGGGCGAGCAGGGCTTCTTTTCCCTTGACACCAACAGTCCAATTCACAGCGATGCCGCAGCTGGCAGCGTCCCACCCTAAAGCGGCGCACGAGGCTAATTCTCTACTCACCAGGCCCACGGGGTCTTCCACGGAGGATGCGCCCAAAGCGAAACAAGATGGCTCGCTCGTACTCCCGTACAATCTGCCACAAGAAACGGAGATCGTTGTACAAGGAAGGGAAGGTGGAACGCAGGATGGGGTCCCTCTGCCCAAGCAAGCTGCTAAAGAGGAGCTGCTCTTGGCGCCTTTTGGGTGCAAGCGCAAAACAGTGGCTGTCGACTGAGTGGGAGAAATAATCCAGGCAGGATTTTCTAACGGCCTGGACCTTGTGACCCCCAAGTAGCCAACACTGTTTAGGGCTTGGCAACATGGCACTCTGTGTGGGTACTGCCGCCCCCAAAATCCCCAGCTGTGGCTGCCAGACCCCGTGAGCACCACGCTGCTCCTCTCCTTCGCCCACTTTCCTGTGTCCCCACCACCCGCTGCCACTTGTCCTTCCTCACCATGCCAGGGCCGCCGTGCTGCCCACTTGCTGTCCCCCCGTCACCCTCCTTCCACGCAGGCAGTGCAGCTGCCCCCCCCCCCCCCACCCCCGCCCCCCCCCACCCCCACATCGCCACCGCTGCACACGCACAGCCCTGTCCTCCCTTCCCAATCTGCTGCTACTGCTGTTCCTTCTCCCACCCTGGCCCCGCTCCCCCCATGCTCGTTCGTCACCTCTGCCTTTCCCACTCTGCTCCCCAGTCGAAGCATATGGAGGGCTGCTAGTCTGGGACCTCCGGCCGTGGGGTGACCCAAGCATTGCTGTGTCCCCCGCTTAGCTATGGGGGTGCGATCATGCTCAGTTTCCTATGTGGCCAACAAAGGATGCGCAGCCTTTGCTATTCAGTGGTAGAAGATGCACAGGGACTCAAACACGCTGCCTTCTTCTGCGCACAGTGTGAACTGAGACCTGCTATTTCCACACGAGCAGATCTTTCCCTCGTCAAACGACCAGTCTGGAAAGTACTGGTGTACGACTTGCTTCACGTCAACTCTGCACAGGCATGTATATGTGGCTTGCTTGCAATGCCGTTTGCCAGGGCATATTGGCATCTGTCTGTACGTGAGCTGTGGATATCACAAATGGCGGCTCCAACGTGCACCCGCTGCGACTTTCTACAGATAGCCTTACCTTCATGCAGAACCAAATGGAAACGGGGAATGTGACTATGAGGAAGAGGAGACAGAGGACAACCAGAGTCCATTCACAAACGCCCAGGCCTGGGGTCTTTATACCTACAGAAAAACAGGAGTGGAGAATGCTGCAGAGGACATGCCAAAGATTCCAACCTGCCCTGTGGCACGAAGGAAAAGCCGATGCTCGGGACGAAGCAGTCACGCACAAGCCAGGCGGCCTGTGGCTGGTGGTATTTGGAGAATCAGGTAGAAGAAGGGGAAAAACCTGAGATAATATACCCAGCACCCATCTCTCTCAGACAAAAATAGGAATGCTCTCATATTTTTAACACTCTTGTTCACACACCAAGAATAGTTTTCCGAGAAGTTTTCCTTTTTCACAAGTGAATATTGTTGAAGCTCCTCTCTGCCAGCTATAGGCTACACTTGATAGCTGGCCACAGAGACTCAGTGTATCTCTGTCCCGCAGCAGCCCTTAGATTCTATGAATTTAAGAATCCTGCAGAATACAGTTGCAATTTCCTCCCTTGTAAGGAGATCCTGCTCGTTTCAAGAAAAGCAGAGTACTAATGCTGGCTACCATTCCCAATCCAGTATTTGCCATGTAGGGAGAGAAGGGGTGCAAAAATCTTCCACCCTACCCATGCCTGCAGGGACTCCCCTCAGATGGACCCTCCAGTCATTGTTCGACATTCTTCTCCAGTTGGGAGTAGAAAGCCCAGCTATGCCTAGGAAAAGCCAGGGCAGATCTGGAGACAGTCAGCAGATGTCAGTTGGTGGGAGCTGTAGGCCCAAGCATCTGGAGGGCCACAGGTTGTCCACCCTACTCTAGACGCCAGTCAGCTGCTTGGTAGACAAGCTATAAGACAGGTCTTTGGCTAAATGTAATTAATCCTAGAAGCACAAACCCAGGTTGCAAGTTGGCTTCCTCGGAAGCTTGCTCCACCAGTAACATCCGCCCTGGCCCGGCCTTAAGCTGGCTCTCAGGCTCTGATCAGTACCAGGCCTGTCTAATGCTGCAGAGCAACCCTATCAGGGATGTTTGGGAGGCTTAAAATGGGCGCAAGACCCGGAAGATTTCCCTTCAGGGTTCCCCACTACGAGAGGGGGTTCACCACAAGGTATGACGTCTAGGGCCCAGTCAAAGTTGGACCTTCTCCTGCTAGACAATCCATCATGCAAGTCAGAGTCCACGGCAGATTCTTACATGCCTGAGTCCATCACTCCCAGCCTATATGTACTGTCTGTACAACTTCACTGAAAGGTGGGGCTGAATTTTCCCTTTAGGAACCTGCAGTGATGTTGGTTTTTTTTAAACACTGGGAGCTACCTGGCTGGCTTCTGTGTTGTTCATATAAATTGAACATGTCTATCTTTAACAGAACCCTCAAGGAGGTTGTTCTGCCCACCATAGAAACTGACCCTTGCAGCCCCAGTAAGAAGCCAGACCAAGGCACTGCCAGGCACATCTCCCTGGTGTGTTATGGGGTCAAAGCGATCAGTGTGTCTGCCACTTGCAGGAAAGGATAAATGGAATGTGACGGTGAGAAGGCTCAGAAAAAATAGGAGACCCCCCCCCCGAACAATGCAGAATAATTTTCCCCACACAGACTTTCCAAAACTCCTGGAAAAAAACAGGAAAAACATCCTCCCCCCCCCCCCCCCAAATATTCCATCTCTGCATCCCCCCCCCCTTTTCTTGTTCTGCCTCCACCCCAGCCCGGCCTTCTCATCTTTAATGGCATCATGTTAGCTTGAACTAAACATTTCCCATGAAGCACAAGGAGAAGATGGAGCCTGCTGCCCTTGGTATTGGCAGGTGCAGAATGGGCCTGCAAAACTGGTACCTTCTGGTGAGGTTGGTGTCCCTTCCAGAGGACCAGCTGCTTGCAGCTACCCTCACTTCTTCCTTACCTTCCTCCTGTCTTTCACCCTCAAGCAGGGCCATCATCTCCATTTCCTCCTCGAGGGACACCACCTCATCCACATCCACCACGGTGGACGTGTGGATTTGGTTGTTTGCTTCAAGGGTGCTCTTGGTCTCCCGTTTGCTTTCCCTGCGGATAGTCTCCTGCCTCTCTCGGCCGGCTCTCCGGCTGTGCTCCACCCTCTCCTTCCTCCCATCTGGCGCTGGGTGCTCTCTGCTTCTCCCACGGTGTTTCTTTTCTGCCTTCATTGAGCGAGGCTGTGCTGTGAGACCCTGTGAGAATGTGGGAGGCTGTCCTGCCTGACCATTTATCCTGCCCCAAAGGGAGGGAAAAGCCATCACCCTGCAGGAGGTCCCTTATTAACCTACTTGGTGCTATTGGTCAGCCAAGTCAATCCTACATTTTAGTAGAGTGGCTTTGCTAATGCGTTGTGGCCAAACGACAAAGCTCTGCTGAATCTTAAGCATTCATATATCCAGCGTGTGCTTTCGTAAGTCCGACCCTAAATCATCCAGGACGTGCTCCAATGCATGTGTAGATAGCAGGGAAAATTCCTGGCTGGGGAATGCCCTGGGCATTCGGATTACTAATCTCTCTACCGGTGAGTAAGAGCAAGTTGTGCCAAGATGGGGCTTGTGTGTCTGTACTTGTGTGCACACAGACTCATGGCCCCAAAAGAGTATCACATGTGGCTCTTGTGCACCCTAGTTCTACAAATGTTTAGGACACTTGTTAGGAAAGGGGTAAGTCTCCGGGAACTGAGAATGCTTAGAAGAACTGAGACTCCATGCCAGGCACAGGGAGTAGTGCCCAAAATGTCCCAGCCTGAAGGCAGCCAGCCATCTTTAGCACCCCAAAGTACACATGAAGGATCACCTCCAAAACCTTTCCTAAGTGTAAACACACACCACTGCTGAAGGATTTTTTGTTTGCCACCTTCTTCAATATTCCATCCTCCACTTTTTTAAAAGCCAAAAGACTATTTGTTCTCTGCGATAAAAATATATTTGAAACACATATGATCAGAAGTTCAAAATATCCTTCAAACAGCTGCCTAAGTGTGAAATGGCATGATGCAGGCTGTATGACACCTTACTATTAATGTGTGTGCCTTTTTTTTTTTTTTTTTACTCAGTGTAAGCCAACTGAGAACTTGTTAAAGCATGAGATATATAAATCCCTAAAATAAATGCATGGATGTTAAGAGGCAAACACTCCTCACTCAGAGCTTTGGAGAAGAACCAGGAAGAATGAAAAGACAAGCAACCTGCACACAACCTTTTAGTGAGGCACCCCAATACACAAGAACAGGGACAAAATTAGGACAACAGTGTGCCAGAAGCATGCACAGCTTTTCCCCAGTAAATGAGAACAGTTGAAGTATATCAGCATTCCCTATTTGACAGCATCCTGCAAATGCCCACATTTGCTGAATTGATTAAATGTTGTCTTGCTTGTGATTTTATTGAATTAGTATGGCCTTTTGGAGATTTGTTCAGACATTGCTGAACAAATTTTGCATCGAATGCTATTTAGTGATGGAGACAAGATTGCTTTCAAAATTTCATATAGTTCGGTGTAGATTTCTCAGGGAAGATCTCTTACTCTCCTATCAGCTGATCAAAAGAAATAAATCCTTACACTTGTTCCAACAACTGAAGCGAGGTAACTCTGGATCTGGACAGTGCCTGGATGGCAACCCCATACATGCCCCCTTGAGTTCCATGGCAGAAAAGTGGTCTGTAAAATAGCAAATGCTTTTCTTACCATGTGCACCAAAATCAAAACCCATTTAGCCACCTCTGTATCTAATATTCAGCACCCAGAAAGATGGGGAAAGAGATGGAAACAGGACGAACTTGTGCTCACCTGATTCATTTATCATTTGATCACTTGAGACTACCTGAAATGTAGTTTTATAACAAATTGAGAAGAGCAGAATTGCCTGTTTGAAAAAGGTATCAGGCTGATTGGCTGGTACCTTTCAGCCCTGTCCCTCTCCCTGCAGCAGTTGAATGTCCTAAACTTATTTCTTATTTATTTCATTTATTTAGACTTTTATATTCTGTTCATTAGCACAGAGCTCTGAGAACAGCTAATGAGTTGCACCTCAGTCTGGGCCACCTGCCAAGTGCACACTTTAAAGATACATTGCCAACACTCCCCACAAAAGCAGAAAAGGGCCAGTGTTTAATCAGTGACAAACAACAGAAAATAGGAAAATGGGTTGGCACATACCAATGTCTAAAGGGCACTCGGATATAATTGGCATTCATATTCTGCTGTCACATTTTAAATGTATTTTAATGCTAGTTTAATTATTTTTAATGATCTAAATGCTGTTATTTGTATTGCATTTTATTGTTTGTATATCCTGCTGTGAAACACCCAGAGAGCTTTGGCTATGTGTGATATAGAAATGTAATAATTAACAACATTTGGCAAAAAATACAAAGGAGAGGGCCAAAACATACTGAACCTAAAATCTATTTTTAGTTTGTCCCAACTTCTCTCCCATTTTATCTTCAACAGAACTCAATGCCACTACTTAGTAAAGTAAAAATATGGATAGACAATTGAAATAAAACCCCACAGTAACAGAGAAGCACAGATTTCAGCTGAGATATTATCAAAGATGGAAGAAACTTCATAAAAGCTGAGCCGGGATGCATGCATGCGAAATGTGATTTTTTCACCGTGCTTTCCGGTATACTTGGTGTGACAGCGCAGAGGAGTGCAGGCAGTGACAAGGCCCCGCTTTCGGCGAAGCCACACCAGCCTCCTAGCATCTGCCTTCCGCGTCGGGCCACCCGGGACATAATGTGCCAGCCGCCCAGGATTCATGGCCTGGCGCACCCTCTGCAAGGAGCAACTCCCCGTCGTGGCCTTCCTGAAGGCATGCCGGAGGGTGTATCGCCCAAGACCAAGGACGAGCGAGCCCTGCACAAGGCCGTGCAAAGCCCACAGGACAGGCTACGGAGGGAGGGCCCATGGCCTGCAGATCCCACCAGGGCGCCCTGACTTTATTCTCATTATCAGCAGGGAAGGAAGCTTTCCCCTGGCCTTCGCAGCTATGCGATTCTAAGGCAGTCAGATACGTGCTGATGTTTGAAAATGATTTGGGGGCTGGGGGGGTTGGGAAGGGATTCTTGCATTCAGTGTTGCATTCAGTGTTGCAGGATATATGAAATATCAGTTAGGACGTTTGGTAAAAATCATTTTTAAAATAACTCAAAATAAGGGTACAAATTCCTGCCATGTTGCCAGGTGCATTTCAATGGGATCTCATGTCTGCATGTGTGTAGGGCTGGTTGCTTCGGAATTAGGACTGGCTTAGTCGTGTTCACAGTGCTGGTGGCTGAGGAGTTTAAATGACAGGACCAAAAAAAGCAATAAATCTTGTGCTTTCTCCTCCTTGAATTCCTTTGTAATTAGAAATCTCTGCCATTCCAGGCCATTGCAAGAAAAATGATTCAGCACGTAACTCCCTCACTTCAGTTATTTGGCTAGAAGGGGAACAGGGTCTTAACACTTTTCCGCCTTTAGCAAAACAGCCACGCTGACTGGACATTTTCCTCCGATTCCCTTTGCTCCTCGCTCTCCTCGGAGGATGAACGGCGAGCGCGCCTGCGCCGCGCGCTTCCCCGCCCTTAGGGGGCAGCACGAGCCCTGGCCGAGAGAGGCGAACTCTCGAACGGGGCGCTTCTTTCCCCGCCCTCTCGGTGGTTTCGAAAGCCGAGGAGCCGAGGGGGGGGGGCTGGCTCGCTCTGCGCGCGCGGGGCTGGCTCGCTCTGCGCGTGCGCGGCTGGCCGCGTGGCGGCTGGAGGGCGAGGCGGGCGAGGCGAGGCGAGGCGAGGGAACAAGATGGGGCGGGCGTCGGGTCGGGGCGGCACGCCGGCCACGAGGAGCGGGCGGGCCCGCGTGTGAGTACGGGAGGGCGACCGCTCGGCGTGCGTGGGGTGGGGTGAAGCGAAGCCCCTGCTCGGTGCGCTACTTGTCGGGCTCTCCCCAACCCTTGGAAAAGGAATTAACAAAACGCCTTTCCATTGATGCGCTTCAGACAGGAAGATGCGGAAGCTGCAAGAGGTTGTGTGTTGGTAGAGCAATGTAGGATGGGATAATTGGCTACACAAAATGTTGCTTGCCTGTTGTGCGGGGATTTTTTCTGTTTTTATTTTTTTAGCTTGCATGTATGTCTTTGTACCAAAAAGCACCTTCTGCATCCAGGTCGAGGTTACCGGCCCTTGAGAACGATCTGTAGGGTTCTTTGTGCATTTGTTGCATTGTTTTATGTAGTGTTCTAGATACTTTTTTAGTGTGCAGAAGGACCGGTCTCAGGCTGGGCTAACAATGTGGCAGCTACCCCAGGGGAGATGGTATGACTGTGGGAGCAGTGCCATCAGCCCTCGGAGTGGTCTCTTGCACCAGGCTCCCCCTCTCCCCCACTTCCCAAAATGATGATGAGGTTCTAGCCATATAATCACATTTGCCAATGCCTGTTTAATCATCTTTATTAATTATTCCATTGTTGTCGTTAGTCACGAAGTCGTGCCTGACCCATCGCGACCCCATGGACAACATTCCTCCAGGCCTTCCTGTCCTCCACCATCCCCCAGAGTCCACTTAAGCTCAATTATTCCATAGGGGAGTAAAAAAGTAAATTGTACCAAGCCAGGCATGATTTATAGTCCCGAAGTCATAATAGTACCACATCATAACAGTCGTAGCAGTTGTTAAATGCATTTATGTGCACAATCCAACCAGTATTAAACATTTGTATGTGGGAGTTAAACACATGTTTTAACCCTATCAGTTTTCACTGGGAGAGAAGATAAACGTGCTTAACATTGGCTGGAATGTGTCTGCCTATGACTGTCAATATTAGGCTTTTTAGGAGGCTGAATGTTGATGTTTACCAATGCTTTGCTAAGAGAGATGTGAATGTGGTACCAGATCCACTCAGATATGTGTGGGCTTGTTTTCTGGTGGAGTATTTCTGAAGATGGAAACAATGTATTTTAACTTCCTCCAAAAAGGTTGCATAGAATACCGTCATAAAACAAAACAGCATCTGTTTCTGAGTTTACTTTTCCCCAAATTGCACTCAGATGATGGGCAACGAGGGCTTTTTATTTATTATATTTACATCCTGCCCTTTTCCCTTTAAAAGAACTCAAGGCAGCTTACATACGCCTCCTCCTCCTCCTCTCAATCTTACCCTCACAACAACAGCCCTGTGAGGTAGGTTGGGCTCAGAGTCTGACTGGCCCAAAATCACCCAGTTGGCTCCATGCTTGCATGGGCACCAGAACCCAGATCTCCTGCGTCCCAATCCTGCATTCTTCACTGCTGTTTCACCTTGGCTGCTATGAGTCACCCGTGCAAATTCTGTGTAGATTAGTAATAATCCTCTGCCATGGATATTCAGTTCATCAGGATCTAGCTAGTGGGAGTAGAGAGGCACCACTTCAAGATTCTGTCCTTCCCTGGAATTTCATGTGTGCACCGCAGGTGTTTCCTATGTCCAAGAGCAACCTACAGCAGCTGTTCCAGGCCCAAAAGATTATAGTGTGGGCTTTGCGTCTTCCTCGTGTTCGTGTCATATGCTGTGTTCTCTGGTCTGGTGGGAGTTGTGGACCCTGGTAGCACTTAAAACAGTATTTTTCTGTCTTTTTCACCCTTCTCAGTGCAAACATGTCAGATCAGGAACATCTGATGAATTCATTGAAGAAGGAAGTAAGATCACTCTTAACACCAGTCAAGGAAGGCCTCACTCCTTTCCAGTTAGAACAGGAATACAGATGGATGATAGGAGAGCAGTTTCCATATCGGGCTCTGGGCTACCAGTCTGTCATGGAGCTGGTGAAGGAGATGCCTGACGTCGTGAATGTATGCCCCAGGGGAGATGGTGGTGTCATCCTCAAAGGTGGGTTTGAGGCCTGTTTGGCAAGAGCAGGGGGAATGTGCATGGGTTGAGAAAGTATGTTTTGCATGTGCACAAGGAGGAGAAGTTGGGTATTAGCACAGCAAATTGAAATTGACCAAATAGTTGTCTGTGGTAAACAGGCCCTGTAGTTTTGATACAAGCTTGTACAGGGTTTCTGAGCATTACACAGTCAAGGGCTTCTTGGCAACTTTAAATTTCTTGTAGAGTACAATTAGTTCACACTCCATAAACATGTTGTTTAAATACAAACCATTTTTTAGACCTGACTTGATAAAATTTGAAAGGAAAGTGATTAATTTATTTTAAAGGCTACTGTGAGCTTAGACCTGGCTTCACTCACTGGGGCAGCAACTTTAAGGTACTCCCACAGCAGAGTCTTGAAATTTGGAAGTGCTTCATCCGCATCATCCCGACCAGCTCGACCATATGGATAGAGCAGATTTTATATTTCATTTGAAAATAAGTCTAGAAATGGAACATGTCTTGCATGAGAGAAAATGGGAAGATATAGAAGTGCCTTCCTACACCATTTTAGTAATTCTGGCCTGGGGTGCTTGGGAGCTGTAGTCTGCATAGCTGGGAAAATAGCTTTGCTTCTAGAATGCAAGCCCTGTGTACTGGTATTGTGATATCTAGCTTTATTGTGCAATATTGTTCTACTGTTAGAGTTTGGCCAAAAAAAGGTTGCTGCAGGAAGCGGGAGTGCTGCCAATATTTTACTTTAACCATATTTTTTCTTGTCTTCTAGCTATTGCAGATGAGTCCACCAAGGGGATTGCGAGCTTGGTTGCCAAACAGAAGAGCAAACCTAAGGCACAGCCTTCCAGGCACAGGCCAAATCTCTCTCTTCATTCCACACCTCGCCCTGTCGTGCTTTGGCACCCCATAATTCCTGCAAACTTACTTCGGCGTGGCCGAGTGCCACCCATTCTGCCAGCTGTTGTAAAAAGTGATCTGAAGGAACTGCTGACGTTTTCCCCTGTCTTGCTGTCAGATTTTGACAAAGCCTTTTTAAGGCACTTTGGACGGACATTTGAGTTTCTTCGTTATGGGTTCTTCTCTATGTTTGAGGTGCTGAATGCGGCTTCAGATATCATCACGGTTGTACAAACAAGGGCAGGCTCCCTGTTGACTCTAAAGAAGAGCCCCTCGCCTAGGAAACCTCCAGAAAAAGTGCCTGAGTGTAAGACCACGTTCGCTTAAATTCATTTGGGGGGTGGGAAGCAGTTTTTATTCACCACTGTTGCATCCTTATGTGATTTATCCACTTATACCATCTATAAGTGCTCATATACTAGCAACACTAATCCCTCGCGTCCTCCCTGCCAATTAAAAGCTTAAACTCTAGGTTCTCAAGCTATGCCTCAGCCCTCATGCCATGTGGTGGTGTTACAGGGGTCAGGGAGGATCTTGAAGCATCTGCCACTGGAAGCAAGTAATGCCCAGAAGGGGTGGGTGGTGGACTTAATTTTTTTCTGAGACTGGCTTGTCTGTCTCTCTTTGAAAGACAGTTCTGTCAGCAGTCCAAGAAAGAAGTTACTCAGGTTCAGTCTAATTCAAGGTGCGCTGTGTTGCCAAGCAAAAGAGTTGGAGTACTGGGTGTGAAACATAATCTACCTGTGTTAATTATTTGTCCGTGTTAGTTCCTTTGCATGGATTCATATACACAAGTGCAGGCTACACTCCAGTTCTCATGCAATGACAAGCCACCGTGGCTGATTGGTTATGGTGAGTTGTCATGTCGTGCAACCCCTGCACAATTCCTGCAGGATGGCCTTTTTTTTTTTTTTTTTTTGCATGAACAAGTTGCCCTAAGAGCCCATGGCTTGTTTTAGGGTTGTCCATGCACATGGTGGCTTGTCATAGCACCCAAATTCAGCAGGAAGGTTTTACCGTGGGTTGCTGTGCACAGCTAAAGCACCGCCTGGCCAGAGCGGCAAAACCTCCTCCTGCGCGTTGCAGTCTTGCTTGTGCTGTCTCCATCCTCCCTCGCTGCTTCTCCTCTGATCCCTGCCTTGCAGGGCCTCAGTTTCCCCCCCGTTCACTGCTTTCCCATGCCATTTGCATTGTTCTCCCAAGCCTGCTCACTGCACTGTAACCTGTATCAAGATGAGAGTGGCAGCTAGTAATGGAGGGAGAAAGCAAGGAGTTGTGGAGGGGAGAACCAACAGTGGCCGGAGAGAAGGTGCTTTGCTGGTGGGCATCCTCCTGAGAGGAGACGTTCTTAATCTGGAGCAATGTGAAGCGAGCTTTTTTTAAAATGGGAATTTGCTGGCTAGCAGGTTCAGCGTCAAGGCAGAAGAGAAAGAAAAGGAGATGAGAGCTGAAACCCTTTTCTTGGCTTTATTAAGGCAAAGTGGTGACTCAGCCAGATAAGGCAACATTTCAGACCTCGCCTGCTGCTGTTCCAACACCTGTACTGAAGACCTCTTCTCCAACCCCTGCTCTTCCCGTTGATAACCAAAGTCCGATTCCAAACTGGGAATCAGAAACTGCATTGGTGCCATTGAAACGGATGGAAACCCCATTGGTGAGACCTGATGAGAAGATAAGCGAAGTAAGTTGTCAAAAGTGTTTCTCTGCAGTGGCAGAACTAAAAAGATTCATTTGTCTATTATGAGATGATGCATTTGAGAATCTGTATGAGCTGGCTGTCTTGCTCTTGTTAGCTGCATGCAGGATGTCTGTATATAGTTTGAATCTTGCTAGCAAAGCTGAGAAAAGATCTTCCTTAAGGTGGGCAAAGAAATGCTAGCAAATGGTTTTGTTTTAAAATCATTTTGCTATCTAATTATAGATAGACTTTTCAATAGGGAACAAGCCTTTGTGGACCCTTTGATAGAATGGCTGGTGAGGAGGGGGGTTGGCTCCATCATCCCGATTCCACTTTTCTATCCCAAGTGAAGTCAGGGCAGCTCATAACAAGTATTGAACAATAAATACACATACAATCAATAGCAAACTATGAATAGTAGCTTTAAAATGATACGGAAGATGGGCCAAAATGAATTAAATGCATGCTGGAATGAAACCATCTCTACTTCTCGCCAAAAGGTGGTCTATAAAGAGATCTGAAGTGTTTCCTTAGGCAAATTGTTCTGGAGTCTGGGCACCACCACTGAAAAGGCCCAGCTGCACTTCAGATGGCAGGGAGAACATGAAGGAATGCCACTTGGAATAGAATTTCCTGGCAGGTCCACATGGGAGGAATTGGTTCTGAAGATGCTTCGCTCCAGGCCTTTTGGGGCTTTGCTAGTACCATCAATTGAACCTGGAAAGAAATGCATAACCATTACTGAGTTTTGCAAGGAAGTACTGCATCTCTCTTTCAGTATTATCTTTTCAGTCGGCATGTTCTTGTCAATTCCAACTTGTAACTTTTTAAACTGATTTTTTAAAAATAAGCTCTAGCATGCTTTATATGCAAAACAGTGGCCTATGAAAGAGTGCAATAGCTTTGTGATGCCATAATACACGCAGCTGCCCTGTGTGGCGAAGGAACAAGGGACATCGCTCCAGGGAATGTGAATGTTAGTGTTGGATCCCCTGGCCTCCACAGGTCCATGTAGCGCCTGCTGCCCTGTTGGAGGAACATCAGACGCTGGCCCCTGCTCAAGCAGAGCTGGTGTAGCTGTTCAGTTTTGGGTTTTGAGTGTGTTGCCTTCGCTGAATCTGTTGTTTTGTATAAAGCAGAAGGCTTCTTGTCTGAAAGTTCTGAGTTGATAATTGCCGGGCATTCAGCAGTTCAGGCAGTAGTGTTGTACACACTTTTTTCAAAGTAACGAAACTCTTGGGATTTCTGAATAGATGGTCTGGTTTAAAATAGAAGGACTAACTTTGTGCCTGCCATAAGGAAAGCTGGATTAGTATCAGAGGAAGAAAGAGTGAAAATTGGTGTAAGATGCATTATTAAAGAGGGATGGTACCATGTTAATGGCAGAAAGTGCTGAATTAAACTGACTCCTGATGAAAGTGGAAAAAGAAAGTGTAAAAGCAGGACTATTGCAGAACATTATGGCAAAAATCTGACTACCGAAGATTTGCACAGCTTTACTGTCAACAATGAAGAAGTTGAAACTGTAAAAGATTATATATTTCTCAGTCTTTGTTTAAAATGGCAACTGTAGTTCAGTGTTAGGAAGTGTAAAGTGATGCCAAATTCACCAGCTTTACATATACACTGAGGGATTTTAGGATTGTGCACAGCTTGATAGAAATGGTGGCACAGTATTCAGTGGCTGTTAAAAATCTGGCACTATTTAGCTTAGAATAAGATGAGTAAGGGGAGATGTGGAAGAGGTATACAACATTATGCATGGAGTGGAGAAGTATTTTCCCCCCTCATAGTTCTAGAATCCAGTAGGTCATCCCATGAAGGTGAACGATAGAAGGTTTGGGAGAGTTAAAAGGCAGTAACTTTTCACACCGCATGTAGTTAAACCAAGGAATTTGCTATTGACAGTGTGCTCTGTGAGGCACTAACTTTGATGGCTTGAAAAGGGGATTAGACAGCTCAAGGTGGGTCCTCTGGTTGGGCCTCAGACAGGGGCAGGACCACCAAATGCTGGCTGCTGGGAACAACTAATGCCATCTAGTTGTTATTGCGCCCTGCCGGAAGCGTTGGCCAGTTCATAGCTTGGTCCAGTCCAGCAGGATTTCTCTTAGATTCATAGGTTTGCATATTTAACATATCCAAGCTACTAGTTACTCTTTTTTCAGAAACACATTTCACTTGGAGGGTTTCCATGCAGAATTTACATTCATAGTCATAAGATTCCCAGGATGCAAGATCTTGCAAAACTGAATACCGGTTTACCTGTACTGTCATCTCCCCTCACTGTTTGACTGTTTGTGCGTCTCCCCCAACTCCCTGCCCCAAGCTAGAGAAAGAGATGAAGATAGCACTTGCTGAGAAAGGACCTGGAGGAACCGTCAGCTCAGAACTCAAGGAAAAAATAAAAATAGTAAGTATTTGGATTAAGGTAGCAACCTAAGCTTTTAAGTCTAAGTGCATGAGCCTTGGAGGACCCTTGACTTTTGTGCTTCCTCTTCTCCTGACTTGCTGTGTTTTACATTAAACACCATTCATGCTGTGAGGCTCGTGGTCTGACTGTTTGCTTTGCAAACAAGCATTTCCATCTGTTTCTGGTTCCTGCCAGAAGGGCCACTCCTGTTGGGTAACTGATAGGTCCCAGTGGTGCTTGGGCAGCATTGGATGATGCCCCAAAGAAGAATGCTTCAGTGAATTTAATGTAAAAACTAGCCCTTATGCACCTCTGTTTAATCTTCCACACTATATTACTGAACATTTATAGGCTTAAAAAAAAGGGAAAACATGGAATAGCCAAATTGCATGCAACAATGTATGAAGTGACCTAATTTGCCCAAAATGAGAGCACACCATTGGTTAATTTGCCTGTGGGGTTCTTGCATCATGCTTCGTGCCCACAGGTGCCTGGCCTGCCATGGGTTGTGTGAACCCAGGCAGAAGAGATTGTTTGAGGGTTCAACAACCCTTGGATAATCCATGGCCTCTTTTAGGGTTATGTGAGGGCTCACAGTTGCCTGGGTTCACATGGTCTTTCACCCCACATCAAACTGGATGCCTGGCAGGATGCGATGACTTCCCCAGGGTGTAGGGGAAACAGCCCAGGGCGGCAGCTCAATCTTCGTGGCAGGACGTTTTTCTATTGCAAAGGTTTTGCATAAGGATTCTGGTCTGATTCCAAACTGTAAATATTTAGATGCTTTACACCAGAATCGGTTGTGTGAACAGCATTCATAATTCACTGTTGAGGCTGGAGTTTTCAGTAGGCACAACATTCATTTTCTCCTTTTTTCTTTTAATTTAGATTGTAGCACAACATCCAGAAGGCTTGCTTGCTTCTAAATTACCTGGTGAATTCAAGGTACATTTTTTCTCTCAGTTCTGTTACACAAACTTGCCATTGCTTATTGCATCTTGCAGTATGTGTGTGCCTTTTGTTGAAACAGTGTTGGGATACAAGTCAGCTACAGCGGTAGGGGTTCAGTTGTAGACATCACACCAGACTGCAGTTTGAGCTTCAAAACATATAGCAGGTGAACAGAGGAGGCTTAAGGGATGCTCTCTGCTTTTCTGTCGTCTTCACTCTGCTTCACAAGTTCATTCCCTTTTCCCTGATGTATCAGCCTCTGGCTGTAGTCACTGCATCAGTTCAGACATCACTTGAAACCCCGATGTACTGGTGTGTCCTACTGCTTCAGACCACGATTTCTGATTTCAGCTGGTTGGCTGGCAGTAACTTGTGAGTTCATGACTTACCAACTGAACTGTTTGGCGTGATGTCTGAGCTGAATCATTTTGACCTCCCGTTCACTTTGAGAAGGGAGACATTTTTTCACCCTGTCACTTAATTCTAGAATTTGGAGTCATCCCATGAAAGTGATGGGTAGGAGATTAAGGGGGGACCAAAGGAAGTTAAACTGTGGAATTCACTTCCTTGAGAGGTAGTGATGCCAACCAATTTGCAAGAGTTTAAAGGGGGATTGGCTGAATTCACGGAGGAGGAGGAGGTTATCAGTGGCTACTGCTCACTGTCGGCGTCCAGTACCAGATGCCATGTGTCTCGTTACACCAGTTGCCGGCGGACATGGGTGGGAGAGTGCTGTTGCGCTTCTCTCTCGCTTGTGGGCTTTTCAGGGGCAGCTGGTGGCATGCTGTGCAGGCAGAATGCTGGATACCATGAACTGCTGGTCAGATCTCACTTGACTTACGATCGCAACGTGAGAGCCATTTGGTCTTTCTCTGTTTTGTGGAACTGTTTCCTATTTTCTTATTCTTCTGCCTAAAGCTAAAATTCTGCAGATGTGCAGCGATGTCAGCATGTGCCAAAATCTTGTTCCAGTTACATCAACAAGAGACAAAACACATTGTGGCACATTTTTATCAGGCTGTTTTTTCTAGGTGAGCATGGGGGCATTTTTCACTTTTCTCAGGCAATTTTCATAGACATTGCCTATTGGAAGTTAATCTAGTTCAACATTTTGCCTTATTTTTTGAGGAATCAGTTTTATCAGTGCTCAGACTAAATCTTTCTTGGAAAGTTGTTAGCCAGGGTATATAATGTATGTATGGCTATCACAGTATAAATACTGCAGATCAGCTAAAAGCAGGGAACGCTTCAGGTCATCTCCAGCATGCTTTGATTTGTCTTTTCATTTAGCTGCATTTTAAAGAAACGCTGCCAGTAAAGATGCTGGGCTTCTTAACCCTGATGGAGTTTGTTGGTGCCCTTAGCGATGTTCTCCATATCGAACACAAAGAAGGAGAACAAGACTGGCTCATCTTTGACAGTGACTCACAACGTTTAACAAATGGTAAGTGGGGACATTGCAATTGCAAATTCTTCCAAGGTTGCTCCCTTTATGTAACTTGGGAATACTAGCTTGCATTTGAAGTAGCCATATAATTACAATGCAAGAATGACCAGAGAATATTAAGATGTATCATAAGATTGTATGTCTTGCATGGCATATATTAATATTCCTGCTTTAGTACAGAATTAATAGTAGACCACAGTTTGTATATACCATTAATACGTTTGCTACTCAGGTGTTTTGATGGCCCTTTGCTGTGGTTTTCTTGGCTGAATTAAATGGGTGCTTGCCACAGCTTTGCAACTGTAAATAAATTGGATTAAAATCAGTCACCGCATATTAAGCTGGCAGAACAATAGTCCTGAAGTAGAGAGAGAACCGAGAAGGTAGGAGAAGAGAGTTGAATGCTGTATCCAGTCAGTTAAGTTTGCTTAACCTGGATACTTTTATTTTGGAGCCACAAAATCGGGGCCCTGCAGTGGTTTTCTGCTGAAAATGGCTCCCTTCCTTGCTGCGATTAATCTTTAGCAGAAGATCTTCAGCAGAAAATCGGCCTCCCAGTTGGGTGGGAGTCCTGTTACGCTTTTTCTCCAGAATAAAAGCAGCTGGGTTATACATATGTTTTAAAATGTCTAACATCACGTGTAGTTTTGTGCGCTCTCTTAGAGTTAATGAATGCAAACTTCCCTTTATGCAGTCGAACTTTTGGAACTGACCTTTCTGACTTTTGACTGTGCGAGTTGTGTGTGTCTTCTGACGCAAGTGTGTGTTGTTCCAGCAGATGGACAAACGAATCTTCAGATTGCCCACTCGTTAGCATGTGAGGAGACCCCGCATGAGTGCAAGATGCCCAGTTGGGATTCTCCTTTGGAGGATTCTAAAAATCTGCAGACTAAGTTTAATGTCGTAACCAAGATGAAGACACCGGTAGGAGTGTGATATTGCAGTCATATTGCTGTGAATGAAGCAGCATCATAGCTCGGAGCAGTAGGCTTGCTGTCAAAGACAACCAAGAGTTGATGCTGTTTGTTTCGACTGTGGCGCTACGCAATTTTTACAATAGTCTATTGTTTCAAAGTTCTCAGAATGCCGGGGGGGCATAGTCTCATTTTTCTGAACAGCAGCTGCCCCTCCCCTGCTGAATGCAAACTGCCTTTGATACTGAGAATTCCAAAAGCAAAGAGTTGTGCCTTGAACTGGGAAGCTGCTGCTGAGAGAAGAATGAAAGCCAAGCCCTTACGTGAACCTCATCCCCACCGTGAATTCCAGCTGATTCTGAGTTCGGATAACACTTACAAAGTCTTTATTAGGGTGCTTCCACACTTCAACTCGGTCATCTCCAATTGAATCAAAGCCATTGCAAAACCTGGCTCATTATGAACTAGTTTCATTATTTGTTAGCATTATACGTTGCCTTAAAATTCTCAGGATGACTCACAAGAAGAAAATAAAAGAGTGTAACTTGCAATGAACTGTAAAGGCTGTAAAGTAAAGGTGTGCAGTGTAAAGACAAGTTGTCGAAAGCAAAAGCTACCCAAAGCTTTGGGCTGTTCACAGACTCTCAGCCTAGCTTCCCTCACAGGGTTGTTGTGGGGATAAAATGGAGAAGAGGAAAAGGAATTATGTCGTCTTGGGCTCCTTGGAGGAAAGTTGGGCTTTATATGCAATGCATAATAAAAAGCCCTTCCCCAGTGCTGACATGTGCTCGGTGGACCTCTCCGGGGGCCATTCTAGAGTGGGGACTCCATTCTTTTAATTTTTATGCCGCCTTCCTTGTTCATTAAATTGGCATGTGTAGAAAGGGTTACTGTGTAGAATAAATAGGGGGATGAAATGGGAGGAGGAGGTATTTCTGCGAATGATGTCATTTGCACTAAATGTGGGAGGCACTTGATCTTTGTTTACATTTTTAGTGGAGATGGGCAGCGCAGTGATACAGTGGGTAACACTGCATAGCATTTGAATACAAAGTGGAGGAGAGTTGTCTGATGTTGGGGTGGATTAAAGACTTGCATGCATTTTTAAAAATAAGTCCTAAAATATAAATTAAGCAGATAAGTAACATGACATGAGAAAGGGAAGAATTTCCTGATCTCTGAAGCCTTAAGCCTGCAAAATGGGTGTCCAAAGGATAATCTTCCAGTGGAAGCCACCTCTCCCAGTGGTTTGTAACCCTTCAGGCCTGGCACTATGGAATTCAGCCTGTGATTGCAAGCTTACCTCTTTGGGGAGCATTTTGAGCAGTTTGCTACCGAACTGTCAGCAAGCTGTCAAAAAGACGGTGTGTGTGTGTTTGCAAAGCATTTTTATGAACAGAGATAACAGAGAAAGCCGGAAGGGGCGGTTGAGGGGGGATGCACCTAACTCGAGCGTGGAGTTGAGCAGACAGTAAAAGTTAAGAGGGGCTGTGTGCACATCACTCGTGGGAAGCACTAGCTGTCCCAGGATAGAGTGCTTGTTACGTGCGCTTGTATGGTCAGCTGCGGGATAGAAACTAGGGAAAATGCCATTTTCCTGACAGGAAAAATTCAGCGTCTATTAGCAATTGCATTTTTGGGCAGAAAGACAATCCAGAAATGCTTATTGGGCCTTAAAGACTTCCAAGGAAGTCCCACCTGCTGATGGTTTCCTAGTTCATCGTTCATCTTTTTCCTGGTTTTTTTGGGTAGTTACTGGGCAAGTTTAAGAAGGATCTGTGCGTTCCTGATGTGCAAAACTGATTGACTTGGGAATTGCCCTTTTACTTACCTACTCTCTTTCCATCCTGTAGATCCAAGTTATTCAAGAGAAAGAGGGAGAGGTTTTGTTCTTTGAGCAAATCCTTATTATGGAGCAATCCTAACTAAGGAACATAGTAGTGGAGGAAAGGTGGTCCATGGGTTCTGTGGCAGTGTGCAATCTTTTGAGCGTTCGGGGATGTGGTCACTACTCTGTTTTTTGCATTAACTCAAAAAGCAATTCAGAGTCTTGGGCAGCCAAACACCTGCTGCCATGCCAGTTCGTCTCGGACCTTGCATGAACACCTGTTCCTTCTGTTTTCCTGTTTTTGTAGCACTTGGGTTTGGAGGAGCCTCACATCATGCAGGAGATAATGGAAGAAGAAATTCCCCCAGATGCTGCCCTGGACAGACGCCTTTACAGTCTCCCCCAGTTTAGCAACAGTACATTGGTGGGGCTATTTGTGGAATACATTCTGTCTCCATCACAGTTCTATGTTCGAATCTACAGTGCGGAAACCTCTGACAAGTTAGAAGACATGATGGTTGAGATGAGGTGAGACTATCCTTGGCTAGTTCTGTTCGGAAGTGAAAATGTATAGGCATCGCATGTATTGGTTTAAGGAGAATCCAATCCGATTTAATGTGATATCTTGAGATTTGTTTGTACAAACGTGCCTATTTTCAGTATTAAGGGTATTTGTTAATGTGCACATTCCAAAGCTTTCACATTTGATTTTATAATCATATATGTTTAAAGCTACAGCTCCTGAAAAATGTCATACACAGTACTACAGACGCAGGTAAGAATTGATTAATTAAAGTAGAAAAAAAAAAGGTCCACATTCAGATTAGGTCAAATTTAAGCGAATCCAGACTAATAATTGTTTCTAGTGAGGACCAGTGTGTGTAGAATTCTGTCTTTGTGTTGTTATGTTCTGGTTTCGAGTTTTTGACTCCTGAAAATAAAGGGTGTATAGATGGAGTCACTGAAGCAGTCGGTGTGAGCTTGAGTGGACTCCGGGAGATGGTGGAGGACAGGAAGGCCTGGAGGAGTGTTGTCCATGGGGTCGCGATGGGTTGGATGTGACTTCGCGACTAACAACAACATACCATTTCTACAAGAACAAGCTGCACGAATGTCAGGATAAAAGAAGGGACATGTTTTGCATGAAGGTTACTGAAGTAGCACTGGGAGAACAAACTGTTCATAAAGACTTCACATTGTACAAATAAACTTGTTGAATTAATTTGTCAGACTAGGTCTCTGATAATCTAAATATGAACCATTTTTTACAGAGCTGGATATTTGATAGTCACATGAGTTGATCTTCCAGGTTACACAACATTTAGCTTCCCAGAGAACAAAAAGTTTGTTGTCTATTTTCCTGGAGCAAAGCTTTGCAGCAGTTTGCATAGACCTAGATACTAGAGTCTTATCAGAGTGGTTTCCATTGATATTTGTCCTGTATTAAAATAAGGTTATATTAGCAATAGATTTCCTTTTACATTGTAGCATGATATACTGATACTATCATGTATAAACATATGCAGTATATATTTAGAGCTTTATACAACATATGTTATATGTGGTATATTGCATTGTGTAAGGAGGGAAGTCACTTTTCCCTCTCCCACTTTTAGATTATTGCTGTTAAGTCCTAATGTTTTTAAACTGATCTCATTTTTTTTAATTTGTGCAAACTTTTAATTAAAAATGGGCCACAAAGTAGAACTTCTTAAAATTGGAATTTTCCAAACTTAGCCTGCAATCCTGAATGCAGTTACCCGGGAGTAACCACACTGAAATCTGTAGGCTTTCCTTACTATTAAGACATGTCTTAGTGACCTTTTTGGATTCTTTCAGACGGTGCTATTCTAGTAAAAATGTAGCTGACCGTTACGTCATGCCTGAAGCCTGGATCCGACCCGGCCACCTTTGTTGCGTGAGAAATTTGGATGACAAATGGTGGTACCGAGTTATCATTCATCAAGTGCTCAATGATCAGGAAGTAGAAGTGTTTTACCCCGACTTTGGAAATATGGAGACAGTCCACAAATCTTCACTGAGGTTTCTCAAGTAGGTTGATTGCATGCCAGCCAAAGGCTGATCATACAGTTGCTGGCCAGGGCACAGAGAAACATTGCTGAGTTTTCCATAGTCTTCATGTGTTTATTTTGCACACTGGATTGGTTTGGACTATTTCCTGAATTGAAAGGATATGATATTCATATATCCCTTTTGTTTCATTCAGTTATAAAAGTTTGCGTCAGTGAGCACTCGCAGATGAACAGAGTAACTTAGTGTAAACACAATATCTTTAGAACAACTTGGTAGTTTGCATCATCTGCCAGCCGCGAGAGCAGGTCTGAATGTGTGTTAGGTGCAGCTGTGTTGCAAAAGGGTTGTTCTAAGCTGAAATGCCAAACTATGATTTGGTGCTGTGTGGAAAAGCCCTGCTCTTACCTGTTATGAAACTCATTCTTCCCAGAGAAAGGGAAGTGTCGGTGGAAATTTGGACTGCATTATGTCCGAGCTACCCCACTGTCCTGTTTGAACTTCAGACTGAGTTCCTTTCCTCCATGGGGCATGGCAAATGTCAACCTGTGTTTCATCTTTCAGTGTGAAACCGGATAGCTTGGCTTGAGGCAGCTGGAGAGAGGGGGCACTGGACTGCAGGTGTTGAACTTTCAATAGCCAGGTGCTAGTTCCAGGCCGTGCGCCGTTATCTTTTTATTAAAGAAAGGCTAATGTAAATGAGATGTCTATTGCAGTGCTTGTTTCATAAGCTATATGGACTGGCAGCTTGTTTTACTTCCCAGTTTCATATCTTGCCTGGGTATTCTTGCATCACTCCCCCCTTTGCTTTAGAGGCAGACAGGATTTGGCTGGCTCAAGCAAGGTGGCAGCTGATCTGCCTTGCAGCAGGAGTGGGGGCGGGGGCAGAGGTGTGCAAAGACAGCAGGGAGCAGCACACCTGAGATCCCTTGTAGCTCCAAACCGTAGTTTGGCAGTAAATCTGAAGTAGCCCATTATGTGGTTCCCGTTACAGATACTGTTACACAACGCTTCCTGCCCAAGCTATCCCTTGTTCCTTAGGTTGGGTGAAACCCACAGAGGTATGTATGAAATTCTCACATTTCACTTTGTCAGAGATAACAAATTAGTAAAGCAATCTGTCTTTGTTTTGAGATACTCTGGAACAAAGCAACATATAATTCTAGCCCAAGTTAGAATGTTGCTCAGGCTTTGGCCCTGAAGGAATAGAATCTCCTCACGATCTTCCTCAACCTGGTATCCTCCAGATGAGTTGGACAGCAACTCCCATCAGCCCCAGCCAACATGGCCAAAGGTCAAGAATGCTGGGAGCTCTAGTCCCAGACATCTCTAGGGTGCCAGGTTGGGGAAAGCTACAGTGATTGCTTGGCCTTTGCATTGACTGCCTCTCTGCCTTCGCTTTCGCTGAGCTGGCGTGTGGAAGCAGTAAGGCAGTGCAGTTGCCTCCTCTTCCATTTGTCAGTGGAGTGTGGAGTAGAGATTACTAAAGGGGGAACAAATTCCGTATTGTTTAGCCCGCTCCTCCTCCTCCTGTGATCTGTTTCTAGGGAGTTGGCAGTTTGCTTAAAACCGGGTGCTTGTGACAAGCTGTTGGCGGCTGGTTCATCTCCGGGTGACGTGCTCACCATTTGGTGACTTCTGGAAAGGGTTCCCTTGAAAAGTGTTGTGCTTGGGAAAATTGCGGGAGGTTGAACTTTCCGTCTCTGGTACTAGTTGTGTAACAGCTCATACACACATGCAGGGTAGCACAATCTTTTGACCGATTGACTATATCTAAACAGACCTCAAGAGGTAGTTTCATGTTAACGTTTTATGCCATAAACATCTCCGGTTAAAACACTAAAAATGAAAAGATTCATCTCAAGTTACAACGCTTAAAATCAGAGGACTGTTGACAGACAGCTTACATCTGTGCGCCAGCCCCAAGCCTCCTCCCTTTCTATTCAGTGCTGTGCAAAGATTTTTCATTCTACCCAGTCATTTAATCATCTGCTACATTTTTAAGTAATCCTGTTCCTGTGAAACTCTTATGGCTTCTTGCGATGCCTGCTGTTTTAACCTCTGTAACTTTTAACTGATGGTGTTATTTCCCCTCAGACCTAACAAGCACTGGGCAACTGCAGAAGATAAGACAGATACCCCTCATTAAATCCTATTTCCTAAAGATGGGATCAAGGGAAAATAAGTAGCTAGATCTTATGGAAGAAGAGGAAGGAGGGGTTTACAGTGGTTTGAGAGCTAATCTAGTATTGGAGCATAAATACCATGAATTAATATAAATGGTAGAGTATCTCAGAAAATGAGAGGCAGAAAAAATAGGAAAAATTACTAAAAATGCACAAAGAAATTTGGAAGCATATTAAGAAACTAGAGAAGAAATTGTTGACGTTAACTGATTCTTTAGAAAGGTCTGCTTCCTGGAAGGAATGCTGTAGACACCTTGAAAAGCTATTTGTGTGCATAATAATTATACAAATAGAATCTGAGGTTTGAGTTTCATGGAATTTTCTATTTTGTTGGCTTTATGCTTTACCCTTTTTTATCAAGGGTGACTGGACTGCCGACGCTGTGCTTGAATTTCAGCGGTTGTGCAGGCTGAAATTGTTGGTGGGAGTTGTGGATGAGTACATAGATGGAGTCCTTTACCTTTTCCTTTGTGACACTAGCCACGAAGAAGATATCTACTTCCACAGTGTGCTGAGATTAGAGGGCCATGCACTCATCTGCCGGGAGAACATTCCGTCCAAGGTGAAATGAGACCAAACTATTTGTGTGGGGGTGATGGGGATGCAAAGAAACAGAGAATAGTAGAGTCGGAAGGGGCCATGAAGGCCATTGGTTCCACCCCCGTGCTGTTGCAGGACACAAGCTCAAACCGTCCCACTCAGGTGGCTGCCCAGTTCTTCGTCGTGGTCTCTGTGCATCGCACATGATGGGTGCTGCGCCTGCCCAGTGCCTTTTAAATTAAGCCTACAATTTAAATTTAAATTAAGCCTACAAACTTAATTGTGGTTTGATGTGACCTTGTTGTGACCATCACTTTGCCTTTGGGACCACACTGAATCATGGAGATGGGGATGGACTTGGTTCTAAGAGGAAAGGAAAGAAAACCTTTGTTTTCCTGCTGGATGTTTAGAAGTTCAGACTGACAGGTGCCAAACATTTCTTCTTTCTCTTGCCTTTGACAGGGTTTTAAAGAGCTGAATCCCTCTGCCTGGTATATCCAATCCATCCCAAAGGAGGAAGCTGCTTTGACAGAGCCATCTGCTTCCTTGCTTCAGGAGGAGCTTCTTGGTAGCCCCCCAGGAGAAGATTCAGAGGTTTGTGAGAATGACACAGATCTGCAGGTAGGAATTCTAGAGCTTTTAAAATGTGTCTTCTGCCCCAACTCATTTTTCTGTTAGCTCCTTAACCGTATTAAACTCTCCCATGCCTAAGAATTGACATGGGAAACTGCAGCTCGAGAGAGACTGCAACACGTTGCCCAATCCAAGACTAGCTTGATGGTCTGGACCCCGAGTGTCACCATCTCCCTGCTGGTCCTCTTGGACTCTCAGCAGCTTCCAGTAGTCGAGGATTTTGTTGTGTCTCTGAGAGTACTTGAACCAGGGCGGGTGGGTTTGCAGAATGGCAGCACCCTTCTCTTGTCATCTGACAGCACTGGCCCTGCGGGAGCTTTCTTGTGCCGGCTTTGCGGGCTCCGTGTAACAGCGATGTTGCATGTATATATGGATGCAGAGAGTGAGATCCCCCGTGGCTCTGGGGTTCAGTAGCATCAGCTCGCTGATGACACCTGCCACTTTGTTTCTGTTCACTAGACAGCAGGAGGAGCACCTGTCTCCAAGTCTGAACCAATATCCGGTAGATGAGATTAAGCAGGCTAAAGGTGCATTCGGTTAGAGTACGGTTGTTTCAGGCGTTAGGTACGATGCCCAGCACCAGAGATTTTACAAAATGTTGTTCCAACTTGGCTTCGGGGGTCAGTGATCCCAGATGAATAATAGCCCTTTGGTGTTAAGAACATAAGAAAAGCCATGCTGGATCAGATTGACGGTCCATCCAGTCAACGTTCTGCTCATATAGCGGCAAACCAGCTGAACACAGGATCCCTCAAGCAGGATGAGTGCAAGACCTCCATCTGCTCCAGCTCCTCAGCAACTTCCTCCTTCATGAACTTGTCCAGTTTCCTTTTCAGGCTCTCCAAATGGGAGGCATCCCCATTTCATCTACCACTTAATTGCATGGGTTAAGTATACATTGTGTGAAAGACTTCCTTTTACCTGTCTAAGCCTCTCATCGGTCAGGTGCATCGGATGACCCCAGTTTCTAGCAGTGTAGAGAGTACTAGAGGGAGAGTTGGCCTCTTCACTTTCTCCACAGCCTGCATAATGTGAAATACCTCCGTCATGTTTCCCCTTCCTTGCCCTGTTTCTAAGATAAAGAGTCCTAGTTAGCTGCTCCTCATAGCAAAGTTGCTCCAGCCACTTGATCATTTTAGTTGCCCTTTATACTTTTCCCAGCACAGTGACATCCTTTTTCAGCCAAGGCGACCAGAATGGTACACAATATTTTAAGTGTAGTTGCAGCAAAAACATGTATTTATTTATTTATTATAGCATTTTTATGCTGCCCCGTCGCAGAAAACCTCGGGGCGGCTTACAAAGCAGACTAAGCAAACATAGAATAAACATTAAAAATCCGGAGCATCTCAGCAATAGTATAAATCCAGTAAGTAAAAACAACAATTAACAGTTAAAATATTGTTTAAATAAAAAGGTCTTGGCCTGGTGCTGAAAAACAAATAACGATGGCGCCAGGCAGACCTCTCTGGGGAGCGCATTCCATAGGCGGGGCGCCACCGCAGAGAAGGCCCTCCTCCGGGTGCTCACCCTCCTAATATCCTTCACGGAGGGCTCCCAGAGAAGGGCCTCCCCCGCCGATCTCAGGGGGCGGGCGGGCATATATGGACGCAAGCGCTCCTTTGGATAACCACTGTATAATTGCAGTGTGATCTTGGCAGTTCTGTTTTTGTGTCATTCCTAATTACGCATTACATAGAATTCACCTTTTTCAGAGTAGCTGTGCGCTGGGCTGAGATTGTCATCAAGATCCCTTTAGCTCTGTTACTTAAACTCTAGCTAATTAGCTGAAGTTCCTTCAGCTCTGCTTCCCGTGCCCTTTTAAACCCAGAAAGTGGATATAATGCAGTGAAATTCACTAAGCGTGCTTTGCTCTTTTGCACAGGCTGGGTGGTACTGGAGTCCCTTAAAAGGATTAGCCAAGACCCAAAGCGCTGCTTAGTAGCACGGAAGACTGCTGCAGATTCCCCCTCTGCTCTCCTTAGGATGACAAAAGTGCCTTGGATTTCCAGAAGCAGTTTGCAATCCGAAACGAAGGGTTTGGTCATTGGAATTAGTTTTGTTCTAGTTTGAATCTTTGTTCGTGCTGAGTGACTCTGGTTACATTAAAAGATTTATTTATCCACGTATTGCCTAATTTGAACAAATAAAGGCAGGTTTTATACAGGAAAACTGACAGCAAATGTGCTTTTTCTAGAGATTGCACGAGAAGGGGGAGGATTTGGCACGTTTGCAACTTGATCAGTTGGAGCAGGGACACAACTGCTTTGCAGATTCTTCTAATTGTTCATGTGACTTCAAAGAAAAAGGGCACTTGAAAGCCTGTCCTGAGAATGCAAGCCTAGAGCAAAATGAGCAGATGTTGAAAGCATCTAAGGTACAGAAAGAAGCTCTAAAAAGTGTATGCATTTTAGAGACACAAAAATCAGCATGTTATTTTAATTCCCAGGTGTAGGACATCATGCCATTCAAAGTTCCCAAAGGAAGACAGATTTTGAGAACTGCTCTTGAAGAGCAAAATCTGAATTTTACAAACATTCCTCTGAGGAGAGATAAACAGTGGCTTCTGTGTTTATAACATTTTATTGGTGCAAGTGTGGTCATGTCAGTTTGACACACAGCTGTCCCTTCACTAGAAGGATGTGTTAATTTTGGAGCATTTATCAGGTGGTTACCCAGACTGGTATCAGCCTAGCAGTAATTCCTTTTTTTGATAGTTCTTGTAAAGAGGTTCACCAGGAAATAAAACCATTCTCTCTTGACCCCAGTTCTGCACCCCGTTACTTGGAGCAGCTGCAGAGCTGCTCTTGCACACGCTGAAATGCCTCTGGGAGCAATGATGCATCATCCCACATTGCAAATTCCAGGGCGTTTGCAGTCTAATTTTTTGCAAGTGCTGCAAGACTATTCCAAGTGTTAGTTGCTTTTGAAAGAGAAAACAAATTTAAAACGTAGCCCTTGGATAACATCACTGAATATGGTTGGCGCAGGGGTTCAGTGGAACGCCATGTTGTGATTTGGACTAGAGTAGCAGGCACAGATCGTCTGAGAAGGCCTTAGCTGTCAGATTCAGTGCTGCTTGGGGGGAAAGCTCCCGAATGGTGGGTGGATCCATGAAAACAGGGCAGTTCCTAGGTTTAAAGTCCAGAAACGAAGGACACAAGTGGAAAATGGGATGGTGAGGAAGAAGAAAACGTGATAGTTCTTGTAAAAAGTGATGGAAAATGGGTGGCTTGCAGCTCCCAAATAGCGTTGGTGGCCTCCAGGAAATCATGCTGATAACCACATAGCGGTGGCGCAGCTAGAAGTTGTGGGGCTGGCGGGCTGGGACCTTGGCCTTTGGAGCCTGCCAGTTTCTTGTCCTTCGCGATGCCCGAGGTGAAGGTGAGAGAGCCTGGATGGCACGGCTCTGAATGCCGACAAGAGCCGGAGCAGGTGGTCCTGTTGCTGTTCTGCACAGGGCTGGTGATTCTGATGGTCCCGTGAGGGGGAAGGAGGGTCCCAGCCTGGCTGCCAAAAGTGGCAGTGGGTGCAGAGAAGCTCTGCTGTTTCCATTGCTTGGTCTTCAGAGGGCAGAGCCTTCCTTACTGTTTTGCACACTCGCTGGTGTTTGCAATGTTCGTGGACGAGCCATCTCTTATAAATTGTTAAGCTGTTTAAAATTTGAGGGGGCTGGATCATTTGTTAGGACAAGGCGATTGTTCCTAATGAGATTTTCAAGTCAGTGGTCCAGGTCTTCTTTTTAATTACCATTGACAAAAGCTGAGACAAATGGAACCCTTGCATATTTTCTCTCACGATGTTTAAAATGGTTCTTTGATGATAAAGCAGATACCATTCAGCCTTTCCCCCCCGCCCCCCCCACTATCTTGACTTTTTAGGCTGTGAATGTTTGATTGGTTCATCTCTTATAATACGATTATATAATTACCTTTTCAAAGGGTTCAGTGTGAATCAGTTTAAAATAAGTGGGGGAAATGGGGAATTAATCATGCAAGGAGCATATGAAATGGGAAGCTATCAACTGTTTGATCCTTCTGATTTATACTTTCATAGGAAATAAAGGGGCAAATTCAAGGAATAATGCGTGAGTAAAATATTGAGGATCTCCCTGAGACCACTTGGACGTGAGACCCAGTGTGGTGTCGGGGTTAAGAGCATGGGACTGGACTCAGGCGATCCGGGTTCTAGTCCCCGCTCGGCCATGGAGCCAACTGGGTGACTTTGGGCCAGTCACAGACTCTCAGCCCAACCTACCTCACAGGGTTGTTGTTGTGGGGATAAGATGGAGGAGGAGAATGATGTATGCTGCCTTGAGCCCTTTATAGGAAAAAGGCAGGATATAAATCCATAAATAAATAATATGGGATTCCTGGTGAGATCCTAGTTTATCATGGAGTTCTTAGAAAATCTCTGTCTCAGTGCCAATAATGCTTTACTGAATATCTGTTGTAAAGTTGGGGAGAGGTTGTCCAGTGAGTGAATTCTTTAAAAAAATGCTTAAATGAACATTATTTTCCTTTTTAAAGTTGGCACATCTGTAACTTTGCTCTGGATCATCTTCTAGGATTCAGGAAGCCTGTGCTCAAACCTTGAGATGCCGTACCTGGAACCTGTGTATTTATGCAAAGAAATTTGGGATGAGAACTGGATACCTTCCAAGTATTATGAAGAAAAGAAAAAGGATGATAGCTGGGATAATTTGTGCTCTGATACTGCAGAAAATTCCTGCCAGGCTGCAGGTGATGAAGGAAGCAAGGATGAGACCCGCCACAGCCAGGACGCCATGCCACAGGTGGTGCTGGTTCAGTGTTCAGAGGGAGGGTGACAGCAGAAAAGGGAGAAAAATCACACAAGCCAGCAGTGTCACACACAGACTTATTAGTGTAAAAACCTCGGGCAGCTTCAGCTGGTGCCAAATTCCTGCCGAGAGCGGCTGTCACTTGTTACCTGAAAGCTGACAGTGTGGGGGCTTCATTAGCATCCCTGGGCAAAGCATTCAGAAAAACGGACTCCCAGGGCAACGATCCCACTCTGGGGAGACTTGCACAGCGCTGACCTTAAGGGGCAATACCACTGGGTACTTTTGCCTCTACCAGAGCCCTAATGTCACAAGCGGGGCCCACCATTGTGGAATGAGGATTTAGTCCTTCGAGGCAACCGGAAGCTGGTGGAAGTGCTTGTGTCAGAGCTTCGTCGGGGAAGCTCTAAATCTGTTCAGAATCAGTGGGACTCACTGCTTGTGCAGCGGAATGAGCCACATGCATGAGGTGCCATTTCTGAGGTGCACTGAGCTGCTAAACCGAGTGCAGTTTCTGTATTTGCGGAAAGGGAATCATTCAGGTACCGGATAGGGGATCAGCTTTATAGTTTCAGCCAATGCTATGAATGGCACCCAGAAGCAAATGGGCAACTTGTGCAGCTCAGGCTATGCTGGAGTGATATGCTGTAGTCACCCAGCACAGCCAACGGCCCGGCAGAGGTGCCTCGCACGGGCCCCTTTGCAAAAGGACTTGCCGCTCCCCTGACTCAGCTGGTAGCTGACACTGACCCTGACGGGTAAAGCGGGCCCTCCGGTGCCACTCGCGCCTGATCGAGGGCTGCCTCACGGAGTTCTCCAAGGCAGCAGCCCCGATTCTTCCAGCGGAAGGCCCCCTTCTCCCCAGCCCGGGAGTAGCTGGTCCGTCTTACCTGAACCATGCAGGTCCCCCCACCTCCCAGTCTGGTTCATGGCTGTTGGGCCACCCTTTCCATTGCCTCCTTAGGCTCTGCTGAGTGAAGGATGGAAGGAGGAACCACCCGATTCCACGATTCTTAACAGAGAAAGTCCCCTTTGCCTTCACTCGGTCTTCCCTGAGTGCATTTTTTAAATCCCGCCGGCACATACGTGGGAGTGCTTCTTTGACTTTACAGGCTCTGTTTTGTGCACGCTTTTGCTTATGGAATGTGTATATCATGCTTGCAGGATGCAGATGTTTCCGGTACTGTTGACAGAATGACATGTCTTCATCTGGAACCCCTGAGCCAGTTCCCCCAATCGTCTGAAGGAACAGAGGTGAACCCTCATGTGTTGGCATAACTTCTGGGGGCAACTTCTTACCTGGGAAGAGCATGGCCAGGCTTTCTGTGGCAGGCGTAGGGAGGCCTCCATGTTCACATAACTCGAAGATACACTGTTGGCAGTTGAAGGACCCCACATAGGTTCCTTAAGGAAACTTCCTGAGCATCATGGCTTCCGAGAGAACCTTCAGCCTGTGCGGAGGTGGCCGATGCCGTGGAAAATACTTCCTGGGCTTGCAGCAGCCATTTTTGAGCAGGCACAGCTGTGTCTCTGCCCTGAAGCTACAGGCTGCCGCTCCAGGTGGCCCCTCGTACTCTTCCATCTGCGGTCCCTTCTTGGCGCCTTCCCCTTCAGTGGTGAAGGTTAGGTGTGGGAGGCAGGGCTGGGTGCTTGGCCCTGTCCAGCAGGGGAGGATTTAACCCCAGCTAATTCGCAAACAAGGAACAGAAGCCAGAATGGCAGCCCTTCCGAGTTTGCTAACCTTTAGGCTTGCTGACGAGATAGGGACTTCACAGGTTGGGATTCAGTGTTGTTTCTGATGAGAACTGTCGTGCTTGAGTTTGGCGATAGGAGAGGGCTTCCCTTGCTAATCATACTGGCAAGGTGGATCCCTGGTTCTGTGGGCAGGGGGAGTGTGTACATGCACACGTGGCCCCCAGTTCCCATCTGGCACTGAAATGGCCTCAGGACCAACAAGGATGTGCACCCCCTGCACTGTAACATGGGGGATACATGGACGCAGACAGACAGGCCTTACCCTGAGCACTTTTGCTGCCCACCATAAGCAACTCAGCCGAGCTTCAGTGCGGCTTGTTCCCTGTCGCCTCTTCCTGTTCTCGATGCTAATATGAGTGAGTGTCTAGGGAACCTCTCAAGGATCCTGCACTCTTCACCGGGGTATGTTTTACAGCTGAAAAGTGGGTTAAAAAATACGGAATTTGCCACCCACAAATACATACGCAGTAATGATACGAAAGGGGAGCTCATCTGTGAGCAGGCCATGGACAGAAGCCCGGGGGCTGGGAGTCATGGCCCTCCCTGGTGTGTATTTCCTGGATATTCTTCCGTGTACAGTATTTTCCAGTCCAGGATGCAGTCTGTAAGTAACAGATGCACCTGCCCCATGCAGGGTATGTCCACACTCCTTCCTTTTCCTTGGACTGCAACTTGGGTTTCGTGTGCATTAAAGCGGGTTTCTTACTTCTTCATTCGACTGCAGACAAGCCCTCCTGGAACAGCGCCTGATGCTTTGCCACAGACACTGGAAGAGTTTTATGTCTCTATTTCCCATTCCAAGAAATCAGGAGAGTCAGACGAAATTGATTTGGATGCCAGCAAATTATTTGCCCGTTGCGACCAGCCTCCACCATCAGCATCTGCGTTACATGGTACTTGTGGGCTTACAGCTTAATTGCAGGAATGCATAAATCGAGTTATGTGCATCTTGATGGTATTGTGATCTGCAGCTTTATTACTCTGATAAGCCTAAATTGCGTGAGTTTAGGGATGCCTGTGCTGGGTCCCGTAAGTCAGAGGCGGGGTGTTAGAACACAAAGCTCAACCCCTTTTAAACAAGGTTGTGACTGCTGGTCCCACAGACTGAATCCTATACATCAGCCTTCCACAATCTTGTGACTTCCAGACACCTTTGGACTGCAACACCCAGCATTCCCAGTCAATGGCCCTGCTGGATGGGAATTCTGGGAATTGTGGACCAAATGCCTCTGATGGTGACATAGTTGGAGGAGGCTGCTGTACAGGGGTCGAGAATTGACCTGGTGGTATAAACTGTGCTCTTTTGACCCATACGTACTGTTTCTTCAAGTGTAGTTGGAGTAAATTCTGGAGTACCAGGAAATATGGTCACCTGCCTGCACTGAGAGTCAAAGTAGTGAGCACTATAACCGATTCTAAAAGGGTTAAGAACGTCCATCGGCACGAGATGTAGAAGCCTTGCTGTCTTCAGTGCCTTGCATTCTTGCGTGTGTGTGATGTAATCATACAACTCTACGTTGCTTCATGGAAGGGACTCTGCAGCAGCATATATAAAGGCCAAAACAGTACATTCCTGCAGAGATGTGGGAGCAGCTTCCTCGCAATTCTCAGGGCTCCAGTTAAACGAACAGGCAGGAGATCACATGGATAAAGCAAAGGGCCAAATGGAGTGGCTTTTCCCAGTACCTCCAAGCATTGCCTCTTTCCTGCTGAGGGTTCTGCCCTGTTCTGTTGAGAAGGAGTTGTGGAAGTGTCCCCACACGGAGGTCGTTGTCTGCAGAAATTATCAGAAGAGCATGGGAAAGCATTCGCCATGCTTGCACTGTAAAAGTGTGGCTGCTTGGGTTGGAGACTTGAATCTAGGTCCCATCAACTGTGTAACTCTAGGGTATTTTTATCTTCTTTTTACTGTGCAGGGGAAGCTTCTTTGGAGAAGAAGGGGGATGATTCCTCCAGGGCCCAGGCACTTGCCCTGTACCGCACTACCAGCCGTCCTGATGACGGGACCGTAGGTTGCAACGCCTTGGTATTCACTGCGGAGCTTCAGGGCGCCTCAAAATTCTGTGTCCCTTGCAGCACAACAGTTGCCCTAGGAGCCTCTGCCCGCTTAGCCGCGTCGAACAGATATTTCTTCTTCAACCTGCTGAGGAACATGAAGGCATGAAGAAGGCCAGGAAGGGTCTGGATGGCCCTGAGAAAACTTCGGTGTTCAGTGACTTTATTGGACACAGCAGTCAAAAACCTTTTCGTTCAAATGCTGCGTCCTAATAGTTTGAACCCAGTTTTAGTTTGGACTTGGTGCAGACTTTGTTATGTTTTTCCCCTGTATTTTTCCCCCTTGTTCTCTAGTTGTGTTGACTTTCTATTTTTAATACACTGGTTTCAAAAGTAATCAGTGAGCTGTTGTATATCACACAAAATGGATATTCCCCCTCATGTTTGAGAAGGACTTGGTCTAATTTCGTAGTCCCTCACCAGCTATAGGATGCCACTAGAGTTCTGGAGAGTGACATTTCAGAAGTGTATTTTTCATTTGCTTAACGTTATGGGAATACGTTACATGTTCTCAGTTTGACTTTGGATACTGATGAGAGCGGATTCCCCTGGGAGTATGTTTTGCCTCTGTGGAGAGGCAGGAGACACTGAAGTCCAGTGGCTAACCTCATGGGGGGTTATAAACGGCCTACTTACTAGATGATGTTCTAAGCTAGGGGTCCTCAAACTTTTTGAATAGGGGGCCAGTTGAAAGGTGGTGGTGACCTTCACAGGCCAGTGAGGTGGGGGTCCCTGGGGGTGCGGGCCGGTGAGGTGCCGTCAGGCGCGTGCGGTGGTGGCTCGCTTGCTTGGAGATCTCCCAGTGAGTCCAAAACCACCTCCGAGCGCGCGTGAACGGGAGGTGGGCGGCGGCGGCTTGCTTACTTGCTCGTTCGGAGACCATCTCTGAGCAAGCAAGCAAGCCACCACCTCCCTGCCCACGCCACAAATGGTGGCGCGGGCCGGATGGAAGGCCATGGCCGGCCGGATCCGTCCCACAGGCCATAGTTTGAGGACCCATGTTCTGAGCTGCGATCAAGTTGAAACTTGAGCTTCCCTTGGCCAGAGTGGCAAAGCAGGGCTGCCAGTCTGACCACGGGCCGTTCTAGAAGATGGCAGCTGTCACCTCTTGTCTGCTCCCCGGCACATGCCAGTGCTGCAGGGGAGGCTGGATTGCTCCTGAGTGACCCCCCTTTCCCTCAGCATTGGCAGGAACTGGAGTGGGCCACCTCCCTGGGCCCCTGCATAGTTGGTGTCGCTTGCTGTAAGGAAGTAAGGCGGAACGGCTGGGTCCCTCCTCTGATGCCCCTGCAGCAATAGCCGCCTGTGGGAAGGAGCTGTTCCTACCTTCCTCGAGAGATGGGAAAGGGAGGAATGGGGCAGGAGAGGTCCCAAGAAGGAGGTGCACGAGGCAGGTGACACCACCGCCTGCCCTGCGCACCTTGTCAATGCCTAGAGGTACCCGGGAAGAAGCTTGTGGCATATGCCAGCTTACCCTGCTGCCTCTTGAGTGGGGTGGGACTTGCAGACACTGTGCCATCCAAAGGCAAGGGGGCAGGGGACTTACGCACCTGGGCAGCGTGCTTGGCTGGGCAGCTGGAAGGGTCAAGGGTGGTCTGGGGCTGCCACACTCCGGGTGAATGAGCAGAGCAGCCAGCCTCCCTCTCCTCATCCCCCTCCAGGATCTCTGCTTTGTATCGCTGCTTGTGTACAATTCTGCCTTTTTGTACCCACAGCCGTCAGCGGCAACCCCTTTCTCGATAATTACAGCTCCTGGTCAGAGAATGCGTTGTGGTGCCACTCAAGTATGCTTGTGGAGAATGCGAGCGGTATTATTTCCCCATCTTGTCCATCAGCAAATTCCAATGAGCGTAGGTCTGTGGGCATCCACGCCTCTGTGTGCATGTGTGCATATGCACTTTCATGGGCTCTCATGTTCATGAGCCATTACAAACAAGCAATGGAAAAATACCACACCTGCTGGCACAACTGGCCTTCATGATCATCTGTGCATTTAGGTCTCAGGCAAGAGACTGGCTTGCTTTTGAAGAGCACATTAATATGAAACCTGTTTACCTCGGCTCAGCAGTTGTGTAAAAACGTGTTTCCTGTGTGTGGTGCACGGAGGGGATGTGATGCTTGTGTGTCATTAGTGGCTGACGGTTTCTAATAACGTTGCTGACGCAAGCAGCAGCTGTTGCGTCTGGAGTGTGGGCAGTGGAGGTTAATCATTTGCCCGTGTCGGATGTTTGCGCCAGTTGTGTGGAGTGGTTCCTCGAGCCCACGGTGCCCCGTTGGTTGTATTCGGCTGGTTGGTGGCCAGCAGTGATGTGGATCGAGGCCGTAAGGAGAGCCACAGCCTTGAGCCAACAAGAGTTAAGCTGGGCTGTCCAGGGCAGGGCATTTTGGAGGGTGCTCGTTTGTGGTGACTTGACAACACACAAAATCAGCTTTGGCGGAGGTGGATGCGCTGTCCATCCCGCATGGTCATGACAGCTGGCTGTCGCTGAGGTGCAGAACTGTGCTGCACGGGCGCTCGGCTTCCTTTTAGCTTCTGGTATCTGGGTCCTACATGAAGTTTCTTAGCTGTTTTTATGTCCTTGCCAATTGCTCGTGATGCTGCAGCTTCACAAATGCCCTAGACCATCTTACTACCCTACTCATTCCTGAGGTCTTTTCAGAGTTTCTGGGTTTCTATTATTCTAGCTGAGCAGAGGATTCTGAGATCCCCTGTGAAACTTTGCCGTCAGTGGTCAGACTTACAGATATCTTTCTTTGCTTTTGCTCCATGCTTAGCTGCTTTGGAAATCAGTAAGGTGACTGAGTAGGTCCCTTGTGCTCAGAGGCTCTTAACTCGGGGTCCTAGGGCTTGCTTTAGCGCCATGCTTGCTCGTGAGGTCCTGGGCCCACCTGGCTGGCTACTTTTGGAGCCAAAATGCTGTACAACTGGGACTTCTGCTCTCATCCAACAGAGCAAGTTTGTCTTCCGGTTTCTGGCAACTAGATGGCACTCAAGCACAGAACTTTGGCTACAGGTATGTTACCCTCTCTGCGCAATTGTCCCCTTCCTAAAGTTATTTCTCCAAGATATCCTAACATATATAGCTTTAAACATCTAATTTAGGGGCGACTACCTTGATTCTTTACTTCAGTGTACTGATGTTCCAAGTGCCAATATCAGCAGCAGCTGAACTTGTATTGGCATTAACACTATGAGCTGTTATTTTGTGATTTCCAGTTGTGATTCTTTGTCCAGTTCTTTGGTCTACACAAGCTGGTAATTTTGAACATAGAAAGCCAACAGTCAGGTGTTTTGATGATGAGAATGCAATTGACTTCCATTACAAGCAAAGCAGGAATTGTGTATATAGAAGGGCTTGGTTCTTTCCCAGGGTCCACAGTTTACCTGAGAAAGCGAAGTCAGCAAAATGTGTATGTTTATTGCAAGTAGATGCGACTGGAGTTTGTTCAAGCGCATGTGTAAATTACAGGATTGCATGATTCCTCACCACTTCTTCACGTGTGGGGCGGACTCCTCCCCAAAAGTTGTGTTGGAGGCGATGTAAAGGTTGTGCATTAGGGTCAGAGGTACCCCGTGCACCAGATTTGAGTTGCATGGCTGGAGTAGTCAAAGTGGAGGAGGACCCTGGCCTGGTGGGAAAACAGGCTTGGCATGCAAGGGGTTCCGGGTTCCAGCATCCAGTCAGGGCTGAGAATGGCTTTCGTCTGTAAAACCTGGACGGTGCTGCCCAGGCTGACCTCGATGGGCCAGGGGTCTGTCCTGTGCTCCCGGGAGGTCAAGCACGGATCCAGAGGAGCGACGTTCAAAACCCCCACTGTCCCTAAAGCCTTTTAGGTGTCCTTGCTGTGTCGGTCTTTTTTCGCTTAGCCTGCCGCTCATGGGGGTGGAAGCTGTGCGTGAAGTTCCTTCTATGGAAGTCTGGCAAGAGATGGATGCTTGCCGCCATCTTGTGACATGCTTGTTAGCCGTGACATGGGAAAATTCCAGAGGACAATGCGTATTCTGGGGTCTTGGGAAAGCTGACTTTTCTGAGTCTGGGCTGCCTTTGGTGTTTGAGAAAGTGCCATGAGCTCTGCACACACGCTTCCTTCCCCCAGAGTCATCGCACTCCCACGGCCTCACAAATACACGCAGCGTCCTCAGGGACTGTGGCAGCTGTGAGTTTCGGGCTGACTCTGCCCGGCCAGATGTTTTCATCTGGTTGGGTGGCAATACAGCTTCAGTATGGAGAGCACCATGGCTCCAGGCCAAGGGGTGTGGCGATCAATTTAGAATTCCCCTTTGAATTAGATTATTTAGATTATTAAAATGTAGTCCTTTTAGAAATAGAATTTAGAATTCTCAGTATTGGGCAATGCATTTGGGGGAATCTGAAATGGTTGGTATATGTCCTTTCCTGAGAGCAGGAGGAGGAGGAGGAGTTGTAATTAAAATTTCTATACCATCCAATAGCTGAAGCTCTCTGGGTGATTCACAACAATTTCTTGAGTACAATAAAAAGAAATACACATTTAAAAAGACAGAATAAAAGACAGTATAACATTCCAGTATACTAACTGGAGACAGTCTAGACTACATATATACACAGAATAAAAGACAGTATATAAAACTCCAGTATCCTAATTGGAGACAGTCTAGAATTCAGATATACAAAATTAAAGCTATATAAACAAAACAATTTCATTAAAATTGGACCTAATTTGAATAGTGGGCATAACTCATTCTGTGCCACTGGATCCTTGGGAGTTGTAACCCAAAGCTGAAAAGACAACTGTGTTAGTGCTAGGCAGACCTCAGTGCAGTCAGTGGGAGATCATTCCATAATGGGGTGGGGCCCACCAGTGAAAAGACCCTCTTCCTTATGGCCTCTTCCTGACCCTCCCCTGCAGTTGGCAGTCAGAGGAAGGCCCCAGGCGCCCGTCGCCCGTGTGGCCTTTGGCAAAGGCTGAAGAACGGGAAGGGCAAGGCCGTCCTTGTGCTTGACTTCCTCTGTGCACATGGCAGAGCTGTGAGGATGCCAGTCCTGTGCCAGAGCGAGAACTCCAGCATGGTTCCTCTTGAAATGCCCCATTGGTCCTGTCGCCCATGAGGATGATGCATGTTGGTGGCAGGCAGCCTGGTCTCCAGTCAAGCATGTCTCAGTCCATCCCATCCACGGGCAGAGATATTACAGGGCTTAGCTGTCCTGTTCTTTTGCTACAGGCCTGTTCCTCCCCCTCTCGCACTCACACCAAAGCAGTTTTAACTGGACCACCTGATTGTGGCAAGCGGCCTCTCGGAAGCAGGGTGCAGCCGCTTCCTTGACCTTC